CACTACCCATGTATCAATAGTAAACTTCAAAGTTTTAATGGGCCATTTTTTATTCTAATGTGCAAAATGGCCCATGGCCCCTGCCTTTCCCAATCCCTGGGTGAACGTGGTAGTCCACAAGGAAATGGCATTGGTCCTTCCTGAATCTTGCATGCCTCAGACAAGTTAACAAGTGATGTATTCAAACACTATAAATGAAACATATGTACAGTTTGACTGTTTGTTGTTTAACGCCGCACTCAGTAATATTCCAGCTATATGGTAGTGGTGGAAGATATCAAGTGTGGAACAGATGATCAACTGTAAAACAGTATGAGCATCGATTTATGCAATTTGGACATAATAACATGTCAACCAAGTCAGCAAGTCTGACCACCTGATCCCGTTAGTCGCCTCTTACAACAAGCATGGGTTGGTGAAGACCAGTTCTAACCCAGATCTTCACAGTGAGTGAGTGAGTGAGTGAGTGAGTGAGTGAGTGAGTGAGTGAGTGAGTGAGTGAGTGAGTGAGTGAGTGAGTGAGTGAGTGAGTGAGTGAGTGAGTGAGTGAGTGAGTGAGTGAGTGAGTGAGTGAGTGAGTGAGTTGGCTGGGTGCTTGCATGAGTTGTGATTTGGATAACACCGCATTCAGATGTATTTCAGTGGGATCAAAGGGGCAGATTAGACATCTACCATATACAGAAACAGTAATGACGGGTATGACAAGGCAAAGGTTATAACAATTATAACCATCGTAACTCCCATACTTGGCTGATACCATCGTAACTCCCATACTTGGCTGATACCATCGTAACTCCCATACTTTAACATATTTAACACAGGCTTACTATGAGTCAAGGAGCTAACAGTAAACTGTATTGTACATTGTTTAATGCCACAATCAGCAATATACCAGCTACACTACTAGTCAGTAAATAATCTAGTCCTGACTAGACAATCCAATGATTGATATAAAGAACATCAATCTATGCAATTGAGATACTATGACATGTAAACAACCAAGTCACAGAGAGTGAATGAGTTTGGTTTTATGCTGCTTTTAGCAATATTCCAGCAATATCACGGGTCACGACACTGAGTGTGACCATACAATTCATTAAGTTGCCTCTCGTGACTAGCATAGGTGCTGGGGACATACATTCCGACACAGGATCCCATCAGGTCGCCTTTGGTAATATAGGTCCTGATCTATGTAATTCATTGTGATACTGATCATGCAGTCATGGATGCTCTTAATCTATAGGTATTCATACTAATGGATTTCTTATTATTCCACCAACAGTACATCTGAAATTGATGTAAAAGCAGGTCATAGTTGGGAGAGTGAGTGAGTGAGTGAGTGAGTATGGTTTTACGCCGCTTTTAGCAATATTCCAACAATATCACGGCGGGGGACACCAGAAATGGGCTTCACACATTGTACCCATGTGGGGAATCGAACCCGGGTCTTCGGCGTGACGAGCGAACGCTTTAACCACTAGGCTACCCCACCGCCCCATAGTTGGAAGATAAGGCTAAATAAGTGTACCTGTAAACTAAGAAAATATAAGTTAGGTCTTGTGTAATATTACAGTTTGGTGCTACGACATTAGAAAATTGAGAGGCCAATTACATATTTCCAATGCACAGCTGTGACAAGAGCCCATTAACCATTCAGGTTTGATTTGGAAGACAACATCTAACTAGGACAGACCAATGGCAGTATGTTTTGTAACAGCTGACTAATTAGGTCAATTAACGATCTGTTGTGATTCAGTCTACAGAGATACAGGGGTGGAAATAACCCATTGCCCGATGCCCCAGTCCAGTGTTGTTGTTTTTGTCGGGCTAGCAAATTTGTATGTCACTCTGTACCGGTGTCCAGTTGACTCCAACTGATTTTACATGTGCCACTGTACCGGAGTACACTAGCAATTTTAAAGTTATTTCCACCCCTGAGACCACAAGCAGTCTGACATGAAAGCAGCAGCCTCCGCAACAGGGTTGTCTATCTTCACTGTGTGCTCATGGTGTCAGATCAATGACTGGTATAGCCCTAATCGATAAAACAATCATACACAGTAACACAGACATGTGCAAATCTTGCGGCATTGTGTCGTGGCACTCACAGCTGATGCTCCCATCTGCTGAGTGGGCATATCATCCATTCAGGGACTTTTACATTAACGAACATGCATCCAGCTAGGGCACAGAAAGTAAACAGGACACAGAGCTAAACTTACTCAACTTCTGAGCTTATAATCGGGTAACACAGAAACGTTAATTCCATCCATGTTTGAAATATCTGCGGTCATAAATCAAAATCCATTCAGAATACAAGAGAATCATAGAAGATATGCTTTAACTTGCACACACACATAAAACCAAAGTTTATTAATACTGCAAGTCTGACTCCTCAAATGTTTTTTCTATGAAGTGTTTTTCTATTCTTGATACCAATCATAGTTATGGCAAAGAACTTTCCATGTTTCCAAAATATTACCATATTTGCTATAATAATCACAATTAACATAATACTGGTAAGTTAAAGTAGTTGTCAGAGATAGAGTGGAAGAGCACCAATATAGTTCAAATCTCAGTGAAACTTCACCATTTTTTATGGCAGGGGTGGAAATAACTTTAAAATTGCTAGTGTACTCTGGTACACCGACACAAGTAAAATCACTTGCCCTGATAAGTTTTCCACTATACCGGCCGTTTTCTTGTTGATTTTTTAAATAAACAACATTGTTAACATTGGAAAGTCAATTGACACCGGTACAGTGTGATATACAAATCTGCTTGCCCAACAGAAAAAAACACTGGACTCGGACGTCGGGCAATGGGTTATTTCCACCCGTTATGGTTATTCCACAATCATATTATATTATTTGTAAAACCCTATGAAATATACACACATAATATCACATCACAGACATTTTTTACCTCAGTACAAGGCACACAAAACGTGTCATTCCTTACTTACAAGATGCTCAAAGGTCATTATTAAAGAGTGTGAAAAAGTGAGTTTAGTTTTATGCCATTTTTAGCAACATTCCAGCAGTATAATGGCAGGGGACCCCAGAAATGGGTGTCACACACTGTACACATGTATTCAATCAAACCCGGGTCTTCGGAATGATGAGCAAACGCTTTAACCACTAGGCTACCCTACTGCCCTTGAGATATTAAGAGGGGAGCATAATACAGGATATTTAGAAGAATATTGTCAAAAAAATAAGTAACATGCACATGAATTGGTACCAAATACTTCTGACACTACTATCCTTTAGTTGTCACCATCAACTTCTATAAAAGTTACAACTACATTTTACACGATTCATACTCTGGACTTGGTGGTAAAAGTCATTCATAAATGAACACAAGGAAATGTCCTTTTGTAATTGTTCCATGTCATAAATGGTTATCTGTACATTATACCTAAAGTAACTCTTTCTCCATCTGTTTAAGAATGGCTTATCAGGAATTAATTATTACACAAGTCCTAACTCAAAGACATTTTATCACTTGGTCAGCTAATGCCACCCATGGGGTAGGCTTAACACTGTAGACCATAGATTAATGTATGTGAACCTTGCCCAGGGCTTACAGTCCTGATTGCCAGCAAGAGTGTGTATTCAGGGTCAAACAGCTGCCAGATCCTCAATTCACTTGGGGGCCTTATTGAATATCTGATGAGATTACAAGACCATGTGGCTATTTGCAGAATCTTTTGATAAGTAGCAATTGTCAGTCTTTGTTTCCCAGTTGATCTTATTAATGACAAGTTGGGTTCAACAATGGATGTGGCCTTTGTAAGTGTGTCAATAGGGTCAGCTATAAAAAGAAAGCCTGGAAAGATCTCTGATAACCTAATCTGTAATCAGTGGATAATGGGTGAGGGTGGTGGTTTTGCTGATAACATCTTGTCAGGAGTGAAAAAGGAAAGAAAATTCAGAAAATATGATACATTTATCAAAAAATATTCATCACAATTCAAAATATTGTTAATGGGTAATTAATAAATAATGTTCATATATATACTACTCACACTTTGCAAAGGATCACAAAAATTCCCAACTTTACTTCAACATAGATTCATAATTTGAAATTGTATTCATTTAAATTTGGATAAATAATGATATGGTAACCCCTCTTTAGGCAAACAGCCACTTTAATCTAACCTTATGCACCTGATACAGAAACCATAAAAATAGTTTTCATGGCACCAATCAACCATTTTGCAAATCATGGAATGAGTCATTGACAAGTACACAACACCTGTCAATTGCAGGTATGGGATCCACAAAATGCAGTGATATACTAAAACCTAGGATCCATGCTTACAATATATTTACACCAAATTAGACCCCACATCAGAGTTTTCTGTTGAATCAATGATTTGATCCTTAGCAAAGTGTGAATAATATATAATAATAACAAGCAACTGATGGAAAACATTTTCTCTATAAATTACAATGTTATTTCTTAAATATCTCAAACAAGTTAGCCATTTCTATTTAGATTCATCTTAATTTGTCATAGTTTAACAAATCTTAAGCTTTCATTTAAAAAGGTTTATTATGAAATTTTAAAAAAATAAATTACAATGATATCATAGTTTAATAGCCAAACACCAGGTATTATCCTGAAGTTCTAATAAATACAAAACAGAGCACTTTGGTAACATGTGTAACTTGCCGACGCAAACAACCCTTCAGCTGGTTAATAATCAATATTTTACTTGATGCACCAACATTAAGTCCATCTGACCCATATTGCTCTGTAAATAAATACAGCCAAGCTACCGGCAATGTTGGAGTATATTTTTTAAATCCATTTCAATTAAATTGAAACGCTTAAGCATGTTTGTGTAAAGTGAAGTGTGGATACATCAACATCTAAACACAATAGGCCTATCGACTTCGTAAGTTGACACCTTTCAAACCGTAAACAAACAGTTTTATCCGCCATCCAAAAGTAATTCACAGAATAAATCTATAAAATTAACATATTCTTACCTCAGCAGGTCGCACAGCGGTATCGCTGCTTTTCTGGTCGCCCTGTAAGACATTTTTGGGTCTAAAACAGGCACCATCAGGCAAATCATCAAGTTTGAGTTCGGTAACTTTTTGCACCCTATCCGGTATACCAGACGTGGAATTGGACCTCTGGTATCCTCGCTCGACATGGCGATCCCGTCGTTCCTGCAACTCTTTTGCATCTTGTTGCTCGAGCTGCTTCTTTGCCTTCGCCAAATACATCTTGAGGAATTATCATGCTACCAGCAGTAACAAAGTTTGCCGACAACTAGTTGAACACCAATCTTTGTTTTGCCACACCGCCATCTTTCTTTGACAGATGCGCGTGCCCGGTCAGTGCTTCCGGGTCAATGGGTCACATCTTCACTTATTGACATAGGGTCAAAGGGGGCGGGGCACATTACACGCGTCAGGGATCAAAAGCGACTTGTCACTTGAAGGTGTCGGTTGAAACAGGAAACCCGTGAATACTCGACATACATTATGCAAAACGACATTCTGTATTGCTGTGTAATCGGTATCTCCTCAACAGTCGTTAGAACATGCATCGCTGGAACCTTTAATTGAACCGATTGCATTTTAATAAAATCCATTGGTCATACAAAATGAGCAACTCTGTACAAAAGCAGGTCGAGTGGTGAATATAATCCTGTGGTCATTGTAGGTACGGGAAATTTTCACACTACAATTACACACGTATCTTTTTCACAAACCGAGACGGACAGACCGTGCATGCTTAGAATTTTGATTTTGTATGTGCCAAGTTCTTCCCTGTCACCGTGTTCATGCATAATTGTGGACCCAATACAACATTTCAGATTGGCTCGCTAAGTATTCGATTTATGAAGGAGGTCATAGCGTGTTCAACGTTAATAATACTCGACTGCACTGTTTCAGTTACATTTCAATCAATGAAAACGTGTGGCAATATTTGATTGTGTCGATAGATGGCGAAGCGGTTTTGAAAAGAAGGCACGGTATTCTTCGTTACTAGTAAGTAAACCATTAAATAATAATTTCATGTTTATTTAATTGCATTTATTAAACTTTGAACTTTAATTTTTCAAAGCAATTATCCAATTCACCGAAACAGATTTGACGTATAAAGATTCAGATTTGGGTCTGAACGTGCTGCACACAGTCCCGTTCAAGACTTGGCATTTGTGTGACTGGTTGGAGTGGTGTCAAATGTGATGCATTCAAATAGGGGTCGTATCATAAACGATTTTTTCCGTTATTTATCACTTTTATAATAGGTTTTTACTTTACCATTAAGGGATGTTTTAAAAAGACAGTTTTAATGGATGTTTGTTTTATGTATCCTGTCACTGTTTTATACCTTCTCATGTATAACAGGACACATTTTAAACAAAGTTCACATTCAATTGACCTTTAATTTCGTAAAACGTAGGTTGTGTAGCACCCTATCCCTAATTTGTTCATTAATACTAAGAGGATTAAACTAAGCTACACATAATCTAGATTTACGAATGAAAATATAATCTAAACACTAAACTACACACAATACACATGTAACTGTAGGACTTTCCGACAATCGGAATGTGTTGTCGGGGTCAATAATACCTCGGATTACATTTTAAGCACGAACATTTTGCATTAGCTAATTCATAACTCAGGACATAATGCTATTGTTGGCACAAATATATGTCACAATCATCTCTAATGACGTCTTTACACGTACTTTATTAATCCAATGTGTCCCATATATGGAAACTCTTTGATTGTGGGTGTGAATAGCACGGTATCCCACGCTTGGAGAGGTGGGATTAGCAGTTGGCTGATCACGTGTCAGTGTACTCAGATGGTGGGGATCGTGCTGATGCTAAAAGTCACTGGTTTGTCTGATCCAGCCTCGATATTTTACACACCACCGTCAAATAGCCGCAATATCTACGGCGTCAAACAACATTTATTCTCAATAATGCCCGAAGCGGATTTCTCTACAAACACACACTGTATTAGTATACTGTTTCAAAATGTTTCTGAGCAGTATAAACGCACAGAAACACCCACAATTACAAAATGAATACAAAACCATTTTGTAAAGGAGACCAATTTGAATGTCTTTAACTAGAAAGAACCTTGGAAAGCAGCATAACGTTTTAGGCTATGCAATAACATGATTATATAAATAAATATATCACACGTGTACTGGGGCTTTAAACGTCATCCGACATGGTCACTAAACTGATAATGTAAAACAAATAATAAAAACATACGCTTTTCCTGGAAATTGATATTTGTTTATTGTTTTGAGTAAACACGGAAAGGTTTTACATTTTTACAAAGTTCTAAGCAAATTAAAACAGGACAGTGTCGGTCTCTGGTGTGGGAATCCAATACTCGTCCCAGATGAAGACTGTGATCAGCCTCGGATGTTTTCACAAAGAATTACATGCGTGAAACAATCAAATCACGGTTAACAAGTCAAATAATTCATGGCCACTTCCGACAGTGACTTATTAACATAAAATCCCCCTTTAGGCGCTGTCACGATACGGTGTCCGTGACTACGTGACAAATCCCGCGCCTGTTCTCTGCTAGTGCTAAGTAAACAGCACACCATAGGCCTTGTCTTCAAGCAAAGCATTCCTTCGACCTTGTAGATACACAATCGTCCTGCCTCTTGTCACGGAGGGGATTGTTTGTTTCTGATGCGGTGCTAGGTCAGCTTGACCTGTCAACACCTGGGATGAGGCTGTTTGCCAAATCAAATAACGTGTATTGAGACAGGTTATCCGTCGCGCGACATGGAGTAATGGAGATTATGCGAGCGCTTCAGGCGTTTGTGTCGATAAGCAGTTTGTTCAGTTTTTGTCATGCTAAATATTTTGTGCAGAGTCAAATCAAATTAGTGGTTCAGCTTTATGAAAATCACTATGTATTCTTAATACCATGCCTTTTTCTGGTCCTCTGAATCGGCCATCACTTGAACTTGGTAGGCAACACCATTCTGCACTAAAAAAGATGCAAGAAAGTCCTTATTTAAGTCATTAATAATGAACTGAAAAATTTAAACATCTTATAGAAATTATTTATGGATAACATCAGTTTGTTAACTTTACCAATAATATATTGCCCTATGTAATTTACATTGCTGGGATCTACCTTCTGGATCGGGGATTTCCGTCAAGTTGTATGTTTTGCATGTTATATAGCTCTATATCTAAATCAATATACACCTGAATAATGGCTGATTGCAGTGTTAAGCAACAACCAAGCCAAGAGTAAAGAGACATGTGACCAGGAATAGTGTATCACAGGGAGGAGGAGGATTTGTATGGAGAAGCAGACAGACAGACAGACAGACAGATTATTTATTAGAGTCTCGCCTCATGGACATAAAATAATACAGCATAATATACACAAATAATACATGAGCCCCTCCATTTGGAGTTATGAGAGACTATCTGTTAAAACCATGTACAATGATAAAATACACTATGATATGAGAAGCATAGATATGATAATAAGCATATACATACAGACATAGGGAACATATTAAAAGCATAAAATATATAACTAGGAATTGTACAATTTTTCCATTCGTTTGTCTAAAATAAGTTTACATGTTTTGGAACATAAATTGGCTATCACAGTGCAAGATAATATAAAACTAGTTTTAGTGATATCATCAGCAGTATTAAACTCGGGGCACACTTCAGCACATCCTTGCAGTAAAACCTGTCGGACATCATTGTAGAGAGGAAATCGCAGTAACACATGGGTTTCGTCTTCGGTACAGTCATTACAGTTAAAACAAACTCGTTCTGCAACAGAGAGGTTAACATATTGCCCAGTTTATATCCTGATAAGGGCGACTCCACATCTAAAAACGTCTAACGCTCTTCTGTGAGATTTGGCCATAGGGGTAATGACGTATGCCTCAGCGCCGAACTCCGACTTGAAACAACCGTAAACCGAAGCATGTACAATGTGAATGACAGCCCCTTAAATTTATATACAAAGTAAGTGGCCCCTATGCATGTCGTACAAAATCAATGACACTCCCCTTAGTACATGTGTCCAAAATTGATGACACCCCTACCTTCCCAGAACAAAATCGGTGACACCCCCAATAAAATCCTCATCTCTGTTGTAAAACACCTCATCCTCTGTTATAGATCTCATAAAGATGGTAAATAACCAATGGGAAAGGTACATGAATGTTAAGTAGACATGTGATATAACCTATTTATTCCCATCTCAGGGATGTATATAAGGTGTATACAGATTTCCTGCCTATTTTCTTCTCTGAAAATAGCTTAGAAGCCCACAAGCTGTATGGGTTTATTCACATCAGAGCCTCTCGAGATAACACCCATTGTAAACCAAAAGTCACTGTGTTCTTTAATCTGATTGGTTGATAAATGTGATCAAATGGTATTCGATTCCCGGAAATTCGCTGCGTATTAATACATACAAACATCGCTCACACCATTGTATTGTTACGTCGTCAGCTGAGATGACGTCATTCAAATCATATTGTGACGTAAAGTCCGAATGACGTCACAAATGAGCAGTTCCAGATGCTACCATGGGAAACAGTCGTAACGGACGGCTGATGACATTTCACTGCTGTACCCGTACTCGATGTCAATGAGTGCAGACACAAAAACGTGTGTGGACCTTTTGGTTTACATTTGTGTTTACAATGTCGATAAACATCATGTGTTGGCCAATTTCCGGGTGTTATTGAGTATTTGAAGCACGGGAATGTTTCATTTGAAACCTCCAGCTGACGGCGTCGGTTCCAATTGAATTCCCGTGTTTCAAATACTCAATAACACCCCGAAATTAGTCAACATATGATGTTTATCTCCTAAGTAGATAAAAACTAAAAAAAGATAGATAGCTAATGCTGACTTCTTGTTTGTGGTTTCACTCAAAGTTTGTGACAGTTTGTACTCAAGACACATGGACGTCTTTGGAGTGAGTGAGTTAAAATTTATAGTCACATGGACAATATCTGAGCCATATCGTGACTATCTCAGCAGTGACAATTAAGACTTCATATCACGGTGATTGCACTCAACACCAATAACACACATGTTATCACCACAAGCCCTTGACGTTATGACAGAGCCAGTCCACTTTGGTTGTCCACTGGCCTCCATAAGCCTTCTGGAGCTGTTCAATGAAATATTCAACAGCCTCCTTCTCAGTGTTCTCCACAGATAGAGCCTTCCTGATGTACTCAATGTCGTCCAGAGATTGCAGCTCGGGGGATGCCACAGGACAACATCAGCGCGAACAGTGTGATCAACAAACGTTTATTGTCTCGTAAGACAACAAAGGCAGATACACACATCTCCTGGAAGCTGAAATAACAATCACAAACTGTGAGAGGGACAGGCTGTTCATGTGTGCATGTGTAGGTGTATCCATATGTGCATGTGTCGTGTGCATGTGTGTGTGCATGCATGCGTGTGGGCGCGTTGTGTGTCCGCCCATTTGTGTCCATTCTATCATTGCCTGTGAATAATTGAACTTGACCCAGATGAACCAGTGATTGATATAATGAGCAACTATAGATGTCACTGAGGTTCGGTGACACCTAGGCAACCATAATACTACTCGGACCACTCAGGTCATTGCCACCTAAGACATGCATGTGTGGCTGGAGACATATTCTAACCAAGAACACAACCGAGAACACTAGGTCTTAACATCATTGCTATGAAGTATTGCTCATGTGATTCACAGAAACATTTCAGAACAGTATGTCCAAAGGCTGAAGAGCGCTAGGAAGTAACAGATTCCAAATTTAGATAATCTTAAAATTTTGCAGAGAATATCTTTTCATGCTTTCAGACAGGCAGATGAAAAAGATCACACATACTATGTATAGGTAAGCTAATACTTTTATTGTATTTACCGTTCATATTCCTTTTGTTTGGAAGGCTGGTCCGCACCCTTAGCTATCACTCGGAGGAAGTCCTCAGTCAGGACAAATGGAACTCGTTGTCTGTTGATCCCAAACTTTTTTCTTTCTGTGGTTTAAGAAATGTCCAAAGTCTATATGGAATACCTGAAAAATATTTTGATCGTTTCAGCACTATTTTTATAAAATGCTTCCTCCATGTCAAGGGCACCTGTCACCGGTTAAAGCTATGCAGAGTTGTCTTCCTTATTATTGCCATATTATTATTGTTATAACCATTGCCATGTCATACCCGTCATTTCAGTTTCTTTAAAACGGTAGATGCCTAATCTGTCCCCTTGATCCCCCTGAAATACTGCTGACTGTGGTGTTATCTAAATCACAACATACTCACTCATTCACAAACTCACTCACTCACTCATTCACACAACTATCCCACCCCTGAAGATCCGGGTTAGAATTGGTCTTCAATAACCCATGCTTGTCGTAAGGAGCAACTAACGGGATCGGGTGGTCAGACTCGCTGACTTGGTTGACGCATGTCATCATATCCCAGTTGCGTAGATTGATGCTCATGCTATTGGTCACTGGATTGTCTGGTCCAGACTTGATTATTTACAGACCGCCGCCATATAGCTGGAATATCGCTGAGTGCAGCCTTAAACAACCAACCAACACAACCATCCAGGCAGTTACTTCCAAATCCAACTGTACCGAACTTTAAAAACTGCCCAACTCAGACCCCTCTCCCATTCCCCCATCCCCCACTACTTTATTGAGAGGGGCAGGTTTCTGGAGGCAGTTGTCCAGGTTAATTACGTGTCTGTGTCTCTCACCTGTCCTTCTTCCGTCACCATGATGTTTCCTGGATGCCGGTCGGTGATGCCCAGCACAAACGTGGCGACACAGTATCCAGCACATGATCTGGTGAATGTGTCAATGGCTTGGTCATACCTGTGAGAGTGACCAAATTGTCGTGTAAGTCACATGGGAAATAATACAAATTCTGAATATGAAGATGGTTGAAGCTATTGCTTGTCATGTCAGGTTCACTTTCCCACATGGTTGGAATGCATGAATCTCATTTCTGTGTTCCCCACTGTGAAATTGCTGGAATATTGCTAAAAGTGAAGGAAAATCCTACTTACTGACAGACTGACTCACTCAGTTTTTCTTAAACTCACTCATTCTCACCAAATGACCATAACACTTCAACAACTTTGGGCAGTTCAGGGCGGTGGGGTAGCCTAGTGGTTAAAGCGTTGGCTCGTCACGCCGAAGACCCGGGTTCGAATCCCCACATGGGTACAATGTGTGAAGCCCATTTCTGGTGTCCCCCGCCGTGATGTTGCTGGAATATTGCTAAAAGCGGCGTAAAACCAACCTCAGTCAGTCAGTTGGGCAGTTCAAGTGACAAAGTTTTCTATAAAACGTGTTTAATGCTCAGTGTAGTCTTTTCAACATTCAAACGGTTTCTGTGATGAGTTCTCAGAACCTATTCTTTAGCCACAACCCTCTCTTCTTCAGGCTGCAAATAAGTGAGTCCCCATTGGTTGAAACCAAGAAGTACCTGTCTGCATTCTTCTCCTTGATCCACCGATGAAGCTGTGATGAGTCCATCTGTATGGTGGCCCTGGCGCCCCCTCCAGTTTGTATCGATGTGATCGTCTTAGAATTCCGAACAACCTGAATCAGACCTACATCCTTCCCTGTTGCCAAGCATCCATAGGGAATCATCCTGAAATCAAATACTCTTACTTTTCAGTTGTTTAGTTAAAGCTGCACTCACCAATATTCAGATATATGATAAGGATCTAGCAACAAGCCAGACTGGATCAGACAATCCAGTGATTTTGATCAAAAGTGTCATTGTTAATCGCCTCCTTGGCTGCTGAAGACAAATTCTAACTTGGATCTTCATGGATGCAATTATTTTGTTAATGTTTCACCCGTTCAACAGAACAGTACCATATAACATAACCGCAGTACAATGCAACATTCCGTGGTGGTGCTGGGAGACTGGTTTGTGTTTCATCGGTTGTAATGATTTAAAAACTTTAGGACAACAAATATATTTCAATTTTTTCTTCTTTAAATGAATACAGAACTAGAATGTTGATAAATGTATCCTTGTCCATCATTTCTTTATGCTTTTGAAGTTGGCAATTTACAAGCGCTAATTGGTCATAGCAGCTTCAGTTTAGGTGGTCATAGGCAGATATCTGTGGACCCACCTGAGGTCCAGGCCTTCAGCCTTCCAGATGGTGTCCATCAGCCGTATCACCTGGAGAGTCAGCATGTCCTGTCTCAGATCTGGGACAACAATCACGATTAAAGTACAAGCAGTTTCATCCTTGTCTGGCTAACAAGGACTGTAGCTCACTGGAATATTTGCTTCATGATTTCACAAGGGTTGTTATACAATGGTAAGCACGTCCTGTCTCAGATCTGGGACAACAATCACGATTAAAGTATAAGCAGTTTCATCCTTGTCTGGCTAACAAAGACCAGGGGGTACTGTAGCTCGCTGGAATATTTGCTTCATGATTTCACGAGGGTTGTTATACAATGGTAAGCTTGTCCTTTCTCAGATCTGGGACAACAACAATCACAGTGATTAACAAAGACCAGGGGGTACTGTAGCTCCCTGGAAAGTGACAAGGGTTGTTATACAATGATAAGCATGTCTTGTCTAAGATTGAGACAACAATCACGATTTGTACAAAGTAGTTTCATCCTGGCTAACAAGGACTGTAGCTCACTGGAATATTTGCTTCATGATTTCACAAGGGTTGTTATACAATGGTAAGCATGTCCTGTCTCAGATCTGGGACAACAATCACGATTAAAGTACAAGCAGTTTCATCCTTGTCTGGCTAACAAGGACTGTAGCTCACTGGAATATTTGCTTCATGATTTCACAAGGGTTGTTATACAATGGTAAGCTTGTCCTTTCTCAGATCGGGGACAACAATCACGATTAAAGTACAAGCAGTTCATCCTTGTCTGGCTAACAAGGACTGTAGCTCACTGGAATATTTGCTTCATGATTTCACAAGGGTTGTTATACAATGATAAGCATGTCTTGTCTCAGATCTGAGACAACCATCAGGATGAAAGGAGGAGTTACGATGGCTAACAAAGACCAGGAGGTGCTGTAGCTCACTGGAATGTTTCTTGAATATTTCCAACATTATTTCATCAAGCTCATAATAGTGATTCATGTGCAGAAAAGTAAGAGATATATCCAACGGACACTCTTCATGTACATGTACTATTACATTACATGCTGGTTGAGAAGGGGACCAAGTTACAATATTAATATGATTGTCAAGACAGTCAAACTTCCATTAGAAATTAGACTATCATCAAAAGCTTCAAACTACCACCGTAGGGGGTGCAGAAATAGCTTCACACAATGCAGCACTATGTGTGGAGCAGTGGAATATGGACTAAATTAACTAAATGTGAATTTTCCTTACTGTTGTATACAGTGAACTAAACATGAATCTCTTGATAAATTGATAAAGTAATTGAGGTAATAATTTTGAAAATCTTTGAAAATACGTAAATGTGAAGTCTGTTATCAAACCTAACAACAGTCTCACGCTATTGTAGCCAGCTCGGTGGTGGTTTATACGATGACAGGATGTCATGATTTGTTGCACTACGTGTATCCTACCTAGAAGAGCTCTCAAATGATTAAGTTCTACAACATGTCTGATTGTGATATCAACCCAAGCTCTCACCTAGCTCAAGTGAGTGGGTATGGCATGGTTGTTCAAGTGGTCAGACAGCGCGTGCCAAATCACACTTTTGTCTACTTGTAATCTCAGAGAGCCATAAGCCTTCGTTTCCATATTACAAGCTTTCAGCACATGAGTGTAGGCAGGTTGGCTATACAATGAAAATTAAAATATATTTTATTGCTGTAACTATTCTCGCCAACTGAAAAGGTTAAATTGTATATATATGGATTTAGAGTTTTTGTCAGAAAAAAATACACATGATATGTATGTGCGGCTGCTTGTACTAGCCCAGACTGATAATGCTAGTATGAATCTTTAGGATAGAAACCTGCATGTGCCATTAAAGCCTGACAGTACCATATATACCACTGACCTTGCTGATACCCAGGTCACACATGATTCCAGGATTCAGTATGAATCTTGAGGTTGTTATCCCCATTATATACCACTATGCGATTTGCGGAGGTATTAAAATGGACTCCGCCCGCGGGGGTATTAAAATGAACCGTCCGTCCGTCCGTGCACATTTGTCTTTTCCGGAGCAGAACTCTAAAACCGTTCACTATTTCTTCACCAACTTTGACACATAGATTGGTCTGGTGGTGTACTGGTTCCTTTTGGTAGTTTTGGAATTCTGAATTAGATATTTTTGGCATTTCCATGGCAACAAGTTTGACTTAGCCTGAAATTGGTGGTTGTGCTCTTTTCCGGAGCTGAACTCTAAAACCGTTCACTATTTCTTCACCAAACTTGGCACATAGATTGATCTTGTGGTGTACTGGTGCCTTTTAGTAGTTTTGGATTTCTGAATAAAATATTTTTGGCATTTCCATGGCAACAAGTTTGACATAGACTGAAATTGGTGATAGTGCTCCTTTCTGGAGCAGAACTTTAAAAACCTTTCAATACTCTCCTTCCACTTTTCTATATACACACCTAAATATTTGACATAATCATAACTCGTAGACATAATCATGAAGAGTATTTTGCCATTGCGGGGGATATTGATGACTTTGTCTTCTTGTTGAGAGTTTCTGTGAGAACTAAGGGAGACAACAGTGTACAGCAACATCTGGCTTGTTAAACAGCTGCCTGTGACACTTTATCATAAAGAGACTTACCATCACCATTCTTGAACATGACGTTGTGAGCGGATTCATGCATCTCTTTCATGGGGTTAGGGTTACTCCAGACCAACCACAGGGGGCGCTTCTTGGACATCATAACGCGGCAGTCAGCTTGTCTACAGGACATGACGGCAGGAATGAGCTGGTTGTAAAGACATTTTGTATGTGAGGGCTGCAGTTGTGGGGGTTCTTTGTGCTGGGGATGGGCGTTGAAGGTGTGGCTTGTTACAGTGGAGTGCAGAATGTGGTTGGCATGTGGGTCGGATGTGAGTTTGGGGTGCAGGGGTTGTTGGTGCTGGGGGTGGGGGTTGTTGGAGTGGGTGGGGGTTGGAGTGGGGTGCAGAATGTGGCATGTGGGTCTGATGTGAGGGTTTGGGGTGTGGTGGTTTTTGGATCTGGGGGTGGGGGTTGTAGGTGTGGGTTGTTGGAGTGGGGTGCAGAATGTGGCATGTGGATCGGATGTGAGTTTGGGGTGCAGGGGTTGTTGGTGGTGGGGGTGTAGATGGTGGGGGTGTAGGTGTTGGAGTGGAGTGCAGAATGTGGCTAGTATGTGGGTGGGATGTGAGTGGGGAGTGGTGGTTGTTGATGAGGGCTGCTCATGTGCTCATAGAGTGGAAAATGGTGGCCATGTGGTGTGGAGCGTGCTGTGTGGGGTGTGGAGCAGTTAATAAGGACTGCACAGCATGGAGTGTGGTGGGTGCAGTACAGGGTATGGGTTGTTGGTGGGTTTGTGGAATTCTGAGTGTGGGGTGCAGGGTGCAGTACAGGGTATGGGTTGTTGGTGGGTTTGTGGAATTCTGAGTGTGGGGTGCAGGGTGCAGTACAGGGTATGGGTTGTTGGTGGGTTTGTGGAATTCTGAGTGTGGGAGGGGTGCAGGGTGCAGTACAGGGTATGGGTTGTTGGTGGGTTTGTGGAATTCTGAGTGTGGGGTGCAGGGTGCAGTACAGGGTATGGGTTGTTGGTGGGTTTGTGGAATTCTGAGTGCAGGGTGTGGGGTGCAGGGTGCAGTACAGGGTAAGGATTGTTGGTGGGTTTGTGGAATTCTGAGTGTGGGGTGCAGGGTGCAGTACAGGGTTAGGGTTGTTGGTGGGTTTGTGGAATTCTGAGTGTGGGGTGCAGTACAGGGTTAGGGTTGTTGGTGTGTTTGTGGAATTCTGAGTGTGGGGTGCAGGGTGCAGTACAGGGTATGGGTTGTTGGTGGGTTTGTGGAATTCTGAGTGTGGGGAGCAGGGTGCAGTACAGGGTATGGGTTGTTGGTGGGTTTGTGGAATTCTGAGTGTCGGGTGCAGGGTGCAGTACAGGGTGTGGAGTGGTCTTACATGATAAACCACCCACCCCTCAGGATGTGGGCTGTGTTAAGGGGGAAGGGAGTGCAGCGTGGGAACTTACATGATCTCCCCCAGGACCTGGGACGTGTTGAGAGGGGAGATGACGTTTTGCAGCGCCTCCTGGTAGTCTGGCTGCTGCAGCTGTTCCTGAAGGAACTTCACTTGCTCATCCTGAAAGAAAACTTACAATGTAATGACAAAATTATGACGACAACATTCATTCATTGTGGCTCAAAGAACAAGTGCAGCTGTTTCCTTCCAGCATCAGTCATATGCGACTCACAGACTGGAAGTGAGTAAGTGAGTAATACGCTACTTTTAGCAATATTCCAGCAATATCACGGCGGGGACACAAGAAATGGGCTTCACACATTGTACCCATGTGGGGAATCAAACCCGGGTCTTCAGCGTGATGAGCGAACGCTTTAACCACTAGGCTACTCCACCGCCCCTTTCAATTACTGAAGCCACCAAAGAGCACATATAATATAACACTTCAGCTAACAATATTTCAGTTTCAATAATGAAGGTGGAACCAGAAGAAAGCAGTGAGCAATAACGCATGCTGACTATGAAATGGATTGAGACAATGATTTTATCTCATGAGAAGCAAAAGGTTGGATTGTTGGCTGGTTGGTTGTTGTTTAACGCTGCACTGTAAATAAAAATGTGAAAAAGGCTGGACCAGACAATCCAGTGACCAACAGCATGAACATCAATCTACGCAATTGGGATTCAATGACGTGTCAACCAAGTCAGCGAGCCTCACCACCCGATCCTGTTAGTCGCCTCTTACGACAAGCATGGGTGAAGCAGAAGGAACAGGGGAACAAATATATCCTGTCCTTAATGAGTGGCCATATTTACATCTCTTACATCTTTGATCTCCTCCTTGAGCATGTTTGTGAGTTTGGTGAGTTTCTCCAGTGCCTCCACCTGCTTGGTTAGCTTCTTCAGGAACGACCCACATCCTCGACAATACGCCTCCAGTATCAGCCCAAACCGCAGCCGAGATGACGTCTGGTGCATCTCGGATCTGTAGTGATAAATGAGTGAGTGAGTCAGATTAGAACAGTGTTTCAGTTATATCACAGTGTGAGGTGTAATGGGTTTAAATGTCATGTCCAAGATTATTGCACATTTTTTATCAAAATGTATAGTGCTAATATTTAGTCGGGACTGATGACGTTTTTTGAGATGGTGTGCTGCAGAAACTCAGCTCAGACACAGTGTACTTGATTCCAAGACTATCCATAATTGTTTTATCCACTTATTGTTGATCAATATGCAGGGTAAAAAGAACAAGTTTTAGTTGAGCGAGTAGGATACCACAGTGTGACAGCTTGATGTCGCAGGACATTCGACAGGGATTGTTGAAGATGTTTACTACCGGTACTTCAGTGAGAGCATGGAATAATACAGCGCTGACCGATCAAGGATCATAGTCTGGTCAAATCTTATATCACTGGCTGCCTCCATGGTGTAGTGGTAAGAGCATCTGCACAGACAGCAGAAGGTTGTGGGTTCAATCACCGGCCGCATCATACCAAAACACATTAAAGTATGGTGCTTGTTGGTCCGTGCCTGGCGCTTGGCATTAATGGGTACAACAAGGACTGGTCGGCTCGGAGTCAGTATAATGTGTCTGAGTGGGGTATTCATGCTTCACTGTGGCATGGTATCTCAGTGGGCTAGCACTATAAAACCAGCTTCAGTCTGGGCTAGTACAAGCAGCCGCACATACACACACATGCACGTCATCATATGAGTGAAATATTCTGAAGTACGACATTAAACCCCGTTTCACCACACCTCACCTCAAATCACTGATCAGTGGATCCTTGCACGATCAGTATGTAGATGCCTTGTAATTCCCAACACTTGATTCTAAACCACAGACCTTATGATCTGAGGTTGGATACCTTGTCCACATGACCAAAGAGGTCATCCCTGTCACCAAGCTGGATGTCCACAATACATTCCCACTTTGCCAACTATCAGACATTTAAATACCAAGGGGATGTACTTCAGAGGTGAGGTGAGGTGAAATTGGGTTTAATGTCGTGCTTGAGAATATTTCAATCATATGACGACGTGCATGCGTGTGTATGTGTATGTGCGGCTGCTTGTACTAGCTCAGACTGAAGCTGGTGTTATAGTGCTAGCCCACTGAGATACCACGCCGCAGTGAAGCATGAATACCCCACTCAGACACATTATACTGACTCCGAGCCGACCAGTCCTTGTTGTACCCATTATGCCGAGCGCCAGGCAGGGACCAACAAGTACCATATTTTTGCGTCTTTTGGTATGATGCAGTCGGGGATCGAACCCGCGACCTTCCGCTCTCCGGGTGGAACGTACTTGAGATGCCAGAAGAAGCAGTTTCCTATCCTCTGGGACAGAAGAGCTCTCTTCAGTAGGAAAGTTGTCAGATGATTGTCCAAGTATGGTTCATACTTGAGGGCCTGAAAACAGAACACAACTCAGTAACACGATCACGTCACAGACCACTCCAACACACATGTCCCTGGTTCTCAGCACAACCCACAGAGTTGTCACAGACCACTCCAACACACATCTGCCTGGTCCTCAACACAACTCACCGACTTTTCACAGATTGACAACACTGAATTCAGTATCACACATCTCCCTGGCCCTCAACACAACTCACCATCTTGTCACAGGCCAACAACAATGATCACAATAACATATATCTCCCTGGTTCTCAGCACAACTCACCGAACTGTAATTAACAAGCAAGACTGAACTGAATGGAGGGTTCACAAGTCTGTGCATTACAGAGATAATACCATGGTTGAAAATCACAATTGCATGGACAAACACATCCCACAGTGTCAGGCATACCAAACAATAAATGTTCTTTGAGATAAAATTGAGTTTGTTAGACTAGGCAATATTACAGCTACAAGACATCCAGTAAAAAACATCCAACCTGTGCCAAACAAACTAGAGCATGATATAATGTCAAACTTTCTATGTTGTCAAGGCAAAAAGAGGTGACAAGCCCATTTACTGACACCAGAGTCAACTGTTACCAACTGTAACCTAGAATCTCCCGAGGGACAAAACAGAATTTGTTCAGACTCACAACCTCAGAGGCCTGCTTTCTTGTACTGACTGACAACACACCTGAATAACTGAGATGATCATCAGCAAATCAAAGACCAACAGGACAGTCAAGGATAAACTTTAAAGGGTGTACTGCGAGTCCCTACCTGCACAAGCTGCAGAAGATACTGCGACAGTTTGTCGTCACGGAGACCGCGGTCCAGACATTCCACGGCAAACTGTCGGACCCTCAGATCGGAGTAGGAGCAGTCCAACAGTTCCAAGGCCACCTCCGGCACGACCGAGGGCCATCTTCTCAACAACACATACAGCTGAAATAAATGAGAACTACAGTCAAACACCATTGTGTTGTAGTTTAACATCCTCGATAATCTCCAAATGGATGCATCTACGACTCGGCCCGATAATTTTTTTACCTCCCTTTGCTAGCTCTGCATTCTCACAGTAACCAGTCAAATAAGCCGTTCCAACCGAACTTGCCAGTGTCAACAAAGATAGTGTCTGCAGCCACAAAGGTTTACTCATCGTGTGATTCAGATGTAGGGGAAAATCATACAGACAAATTGACAAGTCTGAAACCTTAAAAAAATATACTGAACATCATTGAAAACGCACCACTTATAAAACTTCAGATTATTAAAAGCACGTGTAAGGAATTGATATTTTTTGAATGGATAATAACAGATGGACGACTGACAAAAACAACAACACAGAAAAGACGCTCATTCATTTAAATGTTCCACAGTCAGAAAGGATCAAACACACGTGGGGTCAAATCGAAAAGTCAATATCGCGTGTGACCGCCATTTGCATTGACACATGCAGTTCAACGTCTCCTCATTGAGTCAATAAGCATCCGAATAGAGTTCTTGAGGATGGCATTCCACTTCTGCAGTAGTGTAGCCCCAAGTTCCCTGATGTTTCGCATCTGTTGTCGCCGCGAAAGACTTTGACCAATTGCGTCCCACAAGTGCTCCATGGGGATACATCTGGCGACTGTGCTGGCCAATGAATAACCTGGATGTGTTGCTGGGCCAGATACTGCATGGAAAGTCTTGTTGTGTGTGCCTGTGCATTGTCCTGTTGAAAAGTATGGATATCTTGGTGGTGATTGAAGACAGATACGATGTGATTCTGAAGAATCTGCTCACGGTAATAAAGGGCATTAACTCTCCCTTGACAGACATGAAGGCAGTCCTGTGATTGTAATTTATTCCACCCCAGACCATGACACTCCCACCACCCAAAGTCTGTCTGAACCACACACTCATCAGCATAACGTTCACCACGTCTCAGCCAAACACATAATCGTCCGTCAGCATTACGTAGATGAAGACGTGACCGTCAGTGACTACCACACCATGCCATTGTTGTAACCTTTACTGAAAATGCCTGCTAGCCCATTGTATATGCTCATTACGGTGTCTGTCAGTCAGAATTGGTCCAACGTAAGGACGTCGAGCATGGAGCCCTGTAGCGTGTAGACGGCCCCCACGTCAACCTTGAACTAGTGCAGCAGTCTTTGCAGTCGGCAGTGTTCAATCACTGATATGGACAAGGTCAACATGGCGATCCTGATGGAGCGTCGTAAGACGTTGTTGCCAAGGTCATTGAAGGTCACGGGTGCTGCCTGTCTACTGATGTCAACTATGAAGCCTAACGATGGTGGACAGGCCAAGTCCAAGTTGTCAACCAATATCCCTGCTGCTGGTGCCAACGTGAATCATGCCTAGTGCACGTTCTCTTTCGTGAGGTGTTAACCTCGGCATCTCTGTCCTCGTTTCACAATCGTTAGTGAAGCAATGAGAAACGGTTCTCATACACCTGCTTTTAATGTCACAGTCAGTATCATTTCAGAATGAAATTCACGCTTTTTTCATGGCGTGGCTGCATGTTGATGCATTTTGGAATTAAGAGTCATACTGTGGACAGGAATTTGTTTCTAAAGCATTTTTTCAACTGGACATGTCCTTCGACTTCATGTTAGTTATATTCATTGATCATTGTCATGCTGAAATCCATCTTGATGAAAATACGGACAATTTTAGACTGGTGCATTTTCAATGATGTTCAGTATATATGCAAGAACTCCTTCTACCTCTTTCAGAGTACCTATGCAACAATTGTGTTGCCAAGTTTAATCGGTTAGATATGGGGAGGAGGAGTGCAGTGAGTTATGATAGAAGCCTTGTGATTGGTACACTCAACTTCCCAGCGCAGACGCCTGATAGGATAAAAAGCCAGCCAAGGGAGGTAATAAAATGATCGGGCTGAGCTGTAGATGCATCCAGGTTATAGTGGAGGTTTATCGGAAGGTATACGGTGGAGACTATTCCGGATGTAGTTTAAGGGACGTAGATATTTCAAGTTATCCAAGGTTTGAACAAATGAGGAACATGACATTTTAAGTTGATCAGACTTGGCTTGTGAGGACTTGGCGCTATAACTGGACACATCTTAACACATACACTAACCTGTGCTACACTTTCTCTTTCATTCCACTTGACCGCATGCAACAACTTGGGAAGAGATTCAGGTATCTTTAAACAAAGTTCCCTGAAACAGTGAATATCAATGAAATCATGCCTTGACATGAGATGAAGGTCAAATGAGCTATGGCGTTGCAGTTTTGTATAATAGAATTAAATTCACTTATTTAGAGATTGGGGTGAAATACAGACTACTGTATTTGGAATATTTTTTTATATCCACGTTAGGAATCAAACCAGGGACTTTTCTGTGATGATCAAATGTTTCGACACATTAGCCACCGCCTGACTGTACTTGTGTTTCAATACCTCCTTTTCCACAAGAGTTCCTTGTCCTGTTCTAGCAGGTCTGACAGGGGGTCTTTGCTGATGATATCTTCCAGTATCATCCGGTCACGATCCAAAACTTTTTTCGTGTCTGACTGAAAAAAACCCATCTTTCTATTACCCAAATTGAATAAAATATGTATCCTGAACCATCACAAAGTTTCTCTGTTGTTTTGCCAGTACCTATCATGTCAAGGCAGCCATATGTAATTTGTAATGTCTGAGTTAAATTTACCACACTTACTTGCATAATGTTAAAAAAATGAACCTGTCAACATGGCTTTATTGTTGATAAATTTCCAGTGCTTATTGGAGGACATGGTTCTCCCATTTTGGGAGGTCATATTTCGTTATGTGTAATCCCTGATTGGTTGATTCCTACAAAACAATAGTCCAGCATTTTTAAAGCTCAGAAATAATTATCGTATATGTAGCCGTGTGGTATTTATCTCTCGTTAAAACCTTGTTCTGGAGTGTATGTGAATGTAGATGTTTGTGATGCATTGACTGTCAGTGAATCTACATCATCAGGCCTACCATACAAACAGTAAACAAATCATCAAAACTGATCTCATATACACCAAAACAGAACAAAAATCACCAAAATAGGAAAATAAACTTCCCAAACTGCAACAATATCCTCTAAACCCGAAACAATACATCTGTAATGGAAGACTAATCGTTTGAAATGGAAACAAAACTCGCATATCAGCTACAAGAGCGCGCGAAAACAGTCGTCGAGCGTATAAAACGGCAGTCAAAGCATCCCAACAAGGCAGTCACAGCATCCCGAAACAGCTTACAAATTGTCAAAGATGGCGGCGAGGGGAGACGATTAGGCTTTGGTACATAATGTTTTTCGTCACTATGAGTCTAATCTTGAAAATTTGATATCGGAATGTAGTGCATAAACCCCCTATTGTAGTAAGCTTCAAACCTATGTCCATACTTCTCAGTGTCAGGGTTACAATTCTGCACAATGTGGTCCCTCGTTCGACCGAATAGGATTTCTTGTCAACATGCCGTGCTACTGTTTCTCTTCAGTTTCGTAAATAAAGAGGGGCAGTGGGGTAGCCTAGTGGTTAAAGCATTGGCTCGTCACGCCGAGGACCCGGGTTTGAATCCCCACATGGGTACAATGTGTGAAGCCCATTTCTGGTGTCCCCCGCCATGATGTTGCTGGAATATTGCTAAAGCGGTATAAAACCAAACTCAGTCAGTCAGTCAGTCAGTCGTAAATAAAGTATTCATAGCGTCACATTCAACATTTCTATATTTTAGTTATTTAAACAGTTTACAAAAACTTTGTTCATTCTCCGTGAATTGCATATCTAAGTGATCATTTTTAAAGTGGACGAGTGCAAACTCAATCCACTGATTAGGGCAGGGATTTCTGTTTAAAGTCCACAGGTGGCGACTTCTTGAGATTTACAAGAGCAAAGACGGACGCATGTTTGTACCTCAATTTAAGCTATATTTTTTGTTAAATGATGTAAAATGTTTGGTATTGCATGGAATAGTTTGAAGTACATGGAAATGATAAAATTGCAGAATGATAAAATCTTCCTGAGACACAATTCACAGTTGAAATTATAAGCAAGTTCATGTTTGCTTCTCTGATGAGAACGCAATGTTACCCGATTTTTTAACTTCTTTTAACATGGCATACACTCAAACGTTGGAATTTTCGGAAGGTTCGGTATCTGAAAGAAATATGTTCACTTAATGACTTCATAAAAGTAAGATGAAACTAGAAGATCTTTGTCTGAGAACATCACTATACATACAGTGTGAAGCGGTGGCATACAAACATACAAAATGAGAAGAATATGTCTGAGGACACAGATGACGAGAGCACTGACACGTCCCTCTCAGGAATCTGTGAATACAAGTTTGAGAAATTTTAAGAAAAGGCAATTTGGGAAGTCAAAGTTAAAATGATCACTTAGATATGCAATTCACGGAGAATGAACAAAGTTTTTGTAAACTTTTTAAATCACTAAGATATAGTAATGTTGAATGTGATGCTATGAATACTTTATTTACAAAACTGAAGAGAAACAGTAGCACGGCATGTTGACAAGAAATCCTATTCGGACGAACGAGGGACCACATTGTGCAGAATTGTAACCCTGACACTGAGAAGTATGGACATAGGTTTGAAGCTTACTACAATAGGGGGTTTATGCACTACATCCCGATATCAAATTTTCAAGATTAGACTCATAGTGACGAAAAACATTATGTACCAAAGCCTATTCGTCTCCCCTCGACGCCATCTTTGACAATTTGTAAGCTGTTTCGGGATGCTATGACTGCCTTGTTGGGATGCTTTGACTGCCGGTTTGTACACTCGGCAACCGTTCTTGCGCACACTTGTAGCTGATACGCGAGTTTTGTTTCCATTTTAAACGATTAGTCTTCCATTACAGATGTATTGTTTCAGTTTTAGAGGATATTGTTGCAGTTTGGGAAGTTTATTTTCCTATTTTGGTGATTTTTGTTCTGTTTTGGTGTATATGAGTTCAGTTTTGATGATTTGTTTACTGTTTGTATGGTAGGCCTGATCATTGGGTCACTCTTCTCGAAGTATGAAAAAGCATCAGAATGATGACGATTCTATTCGTTCTATTTTGGAGCTTGTGTCTTTCTCAAGACATATACAATACTTCCATCCCACAATATTGCTAAGTGCAGTGTTCACGAACAAAGAAACAAAGTGTGGCATGATCCAGGCTACCTCTAGGTACTTGTCCGTGTCGGTTGTGTCGGCCAGCTGCTGGAAGTGAGTCTCGGGAGGATACTGTACGGGATGGCTCAATCTTATGAATTCGAATTCGAGACATGGACAGTCTTTGTCTGGGTTGGATCCTGGAACAGATGTGAACATTTAGTCTTGAAGTTTTGTCTTTATTAGGTTGTCATATTGCTTGTAACTGATTTGTTCCTGGGATTCAGGTCCTTGGAAACCCATGCTGGTGTACTGTGGGAATTCTGGGTTAGAATTAGTCCTTTGAAACAACCAATCAGTGCAGGATTGCTGTCCACACTATCAACAACGGGATTGATAACTCCAGTCTCACTGATGGTGAGGTTACTTCTGTAATGAATTTTAACAAATAGATCCGCATTATTTATAATTAGTTTTAGACTTTATCTTGTTACTTTAACTTAAATACACCATTTCTAAAATACATGGACTGTCTTGCTTGGCTCTATGACCTGGTGATCCAATGGGATTAACCAAGTCGTCCATTCCTTGGGGCATGGGCCAGAGGTGGAGGCTGATCTTCTCTGACAGGAGACGGTCGTTGAAGTCAAACATCTGAAGGTTGCCCCACGCCAGAGCCAATGAATCCTAGACGACAACAACAACATCATTGAATACATGAATACTACTGCCTTTTAGAATGTGATCAAATGAAATAAATGTTAGGGATAACACTTTCTCAGTAAAGACTCGGTGTGTCAATTAGATGTCAGCTTTCATGTCCCACAGCCTGTATATCCCACCCACCCAATCATTCAGAAAGCGTTTAGTTCCAGTAGACAGAAAACTATTATCCAGTAAGATGTCAGCAATTCTTTACTGCCTTGATTCAGAAATCTTAGCTGAAAAGATGATAGATATACTCTCTGCAGTACATCGTTTGAGTACAGATACCCTGGCACTCAGACACAACAGGATGTATCAACTATAAAGAGCAATAAAATAGCATAGCTTTTTTCATTACCATTACAAAGACCCCAGTTACATTCACTGTTTTAAGACTGTTCATTGGCTGTTTGGAAAGTTCGCCTGCCATGCTCACATCTTCAAACAGGAGGGTATTGAAGTAAAATATGAGATTTAAAGACTTCGTTCAACAACTGATTGACCTTTTTGTTCTTTCTCTTGGAGACGGAGCAAATTGAGAGACAGAGACGAGCACTGCGAGGGATATCTGGAATGGGCAGGAACTCCAGCCACTGATCCCAGCGTGGATTGGTCGAGTCCACCTGCTGGGTGTTACGTGCTTCACAAAGTGGCTCCGTCCCGTGGTACACGCATGCTTTCACGTAAATCTGTAGTAAGAACAGAACCAATGATAATGATCATGTATAGTTTTTAAAAAGAAATATTTGGCACAATTATTCCTATAGGGAGGACATTGTATTCAACTCACTCACTTACACATTCACTCAGTAGTTAAGTGTTCTTCCTATATCACTCGCCAATACTTCATCAATACTATTTCTGGTGTCCCCTACCATGATATTGCGGGAATATTGCTAAAAAGTGGAGTAAAACTAAGTCACTCACTCATCAATACAACCCCTGAAGATCTAGGTTAGAATTGGTCTTCAACAACCATGCTTGTCATAAGAGGCGACTAACGGGATCAGGTGGTCAGACTCGCTGACTTGGTTGACACATGTCATCGTATCCAAAAAGCGTAGATCAATTTCTTATTCGGTTGATCACTGGATTGTCTGGTCCTGACTCGATTATTTTATCATTATCATATAGCTGTAATATTGCTGAGGACGGTGTTAAAGAAAATTAAAAAAAATCATCAATACTTCTCAGGATTGTATCCACAAGTTAACGTGTTACAGAGTAAGCATTCATGGACGAAGGAGGTGTTAGAGGCCCCTACCTTACTGAGCTCCTTGACGTTGACATACGTGGCACAGTTCATCTTTATCCTCAGCATGGCCTGAACATTCCAGAGAGACACAGTCTGCTGGTTGTTGATCTCATTGAGAGCCTCGATTCCTGCAACAATAAGGGGAGATTACTCTCCATCATTCACAGCCTGAATACCTGCAATGTCACATAAGGCAAACATAACTGACTTCTGAATACAGGTCTCTCACGACTTGACGTTTTTCGTAGAAACAAATAATTTTATTTAAACTGAAAAGGAGCCTCAGTGAGATGGAAGCTTAGGATTGCTTCACTTAGAGGTGAGGTGAGGTGAGGTGAGGTGAGGTGAGGTGAGGTGAGGTGAGGTGAGGTGAGGTGAGGTGAGGTGAGGTGAGGTGAGGTGAGGTGAGGTGAGGTGAGGTGGAGGGTGAGGGAGAGGAGAGGAGAGGGAGGGAGGGAGGGGGAGGGAGGGAGGGGTTGGTTGGGTTGGGTTGGGAGTTGGGTTGGGAGCTGAGTTGGGTTGGGAGTTGGGCTGGGTTGGGCTGGGTGGGGTGGGGTGAGGTTGGGTTGGGTTGGGTTGGGTTGGGTTGGGTTGGGGTGGGTTGGGGTGAGGTGAGGTGAGGTGAGGTGAGGTGAGGTGAGGTGAGGTGAGGTGAGGTGAAATTGGGTTTAACGTCGTGCTTGAGAATATTTCGCTCATATGACGACGTGCATGCATGTATGTATGTGTATGTGCGGCTACTAGCCCAGACTTAAGCTGGTTTTATAGTGCTAGCCCACTGAGATACCATGCCGCAGTGAAGCATGAATACCCCACTCAGACACATTATGCTGACTCCGAGCCGACCAGTCCTTGTTGTACCCATTAATGCCGAGAGCCAGACAGGGACCAACAAGTACCATATTTTAACGTCTTTTGGTATGATGCGGTCGGGGATCAAACCCGCGACCTTCCTCTCTCCGGGCGGACACTCTAACCACTACACCATGGAGGCGGTCGCTTCACTTAGAGATTTTGCATTGCAGAAAGGGCTTGGTGGAAGGGAAAATAATGTGGTTCAGTGACTGTGAAACAGACTATGCTTGTCATAAGAAACGACATGATTTATCAGACACTCAGGCTCAGTGAGTTCGTTAACAGCATGTCATCATATCAGAAGGGATCATCTCTCAAAACATCAGGCTAGCTATTCTTGAAACATTTGTAGCCCTACAAACTTCTTAAGCCCATTGGGGCGGTTGGGTAGCCTAGTGGTTACAGCGTTGGCTCTTCACGCCGAGGACCCGGGTTCGAATCCCCACATGGGTACAATGAGTGAAGCCCATTTCTGGTGTCCCCCGCTGTGATGTTGCTGGAATATTGCTAAAAGCGGCGTAAAACCAAAACTCAGTCAGTCAGTCTTAAGCCCATTCTTAACACATTGCCTACGATCAAAGTTAAGAATTCTTAGGGCTACGAGCGATACGAGAATACGGGCCTATTTGGCTCAGCCAACTGTTATGTACCAGGGCCTAGAGTTTCGAAGCGCGCTTAGTCCTAAGATAGTCATAAGTGCCATACATTAACATCAACTTATGACTATCTTAACGCGATTAAGAGAGCTTCGAAAAATCCTAGCCCTGGAATATTGCTGAAACAAGGACAAAGAAACAGACACAGACACACAGACAGACATACACTAGGACACACATATTCACTGACAGAGACGTACCTCGTACAGAGTATGATGGCAGGACGAACTTATTCTCATGCAGGGAATCAAACACACTCTCCTTCAGCAACAGCATCAACTGGGGGGATCTTCTCATTGGCGATGCACTCACGGATCAGCTGCCAACAACATACATTATAACGTAATCAGGTCTCCCCATAAACTGTATGCTGAGTAAATAATAACCATATATTGACATTAAATAATTTTGAGTTGATTGATTATAATTAAACAGGAAAAATGTGAAATAAGCAATCATATGACACCTCTTTGCATTAGTACCTAAAGGTAAAAACTGGCCCAACAAGTTTCGTTTATAGCAAAATCAATGGGTGCTTAAATTCTTCTTTTTAGAGTATCATAGCTGGAACATGCTACCTCTCCCCACCCACCCAAACCCCATGAATTTGATGACGTCACAATGCTATGACTTCACGAACTTGATGACGTCACAATGCTATGACATCATGAACTTGATGATGTCACAGTGCTATGACTTCACGAACTTGATGATGTCACAGTGCTATTACATCGCTCCACTGCAACTCTAATGGCAGTACCTTGTTCAGAGATACACATTTTTCATTGAAAACTAATAAAGAGTGATTTTGGATGATAAATAGAATCTCACCCTCGTGTCTTCTGATATCAAATATATCAACACTTGTTGATAAAAGTTAAAATATCCTTGGCAAGCCTCAGATATTTGCAACTTTATCAACCCGTGTTGATATAATTGACATCAGGAGACACTTGGGTGAGATACTCTGTGTCTACAATGCTGCAGTTGGCAAGTTACTGACCTTATACTGGCTGATGGGACAGTCCTCCCCCCACACAACTGTATCGTCAACTGACCTTATACTGGCTGATGGGACAGTCCTCCCCACACACATCTGTATTGTCAACTGACCTTATACTGGCTGATGGGACAGTCCTCCCCACACACAACTGTATTGTCAACTGACCTTATACTGGCTGATGGGACAGTCCTCCCCCCACACAACTGTATCGTCAACTGACCTTATACTGGCTGATGGGACAGTCCTCCCCACACACAACTGTACTGTCAACTGACCTTATACTGGCTGATGGGACAGTCCTCCCCACACCACTGTATTGTCAACTGACCTTATACTGGTTGATGGGACAGTCCTCCCCACACACAACTGTATTGTCAACTGACCTTATACTGGCTGATGGGACAGTCCTCTCCACACACAACTGTATTGTCAACTGACCTTATACTGGCTGATGGGACAGTCCTCCCCACACCACTGTATTGTCAACTCACCCTATACTGGCTGATGGGACAGTCCTCCCCACACAACTGTATTGTCAACTGACCTTATACTGGCTGATGGGACAGTCCTCCTGTATTGTCCACACAACTGTATTGTCAACTGACCTTATACTGGCTGATGGGACGGTCCTCCCCACACCACTGTATTGTCAACTGACCTTATACTGGTTGATGGGACAGTCCTCCCCACACACAACTGTATTGTCAACTGACCTTATACTGGCTGATGGGACAGTCCTCCCCACACACAACTGTATTGTCAACTGACCTTATACTGGCTGATGGGACAGTCCTCCCCACACCACTGTATTGTCAACTCACCCTATACTGGCTGATGGGACAGTCCTCCCCACACAACTGTATTGTCAACTGACCTTATACTGGCTGATGGGACAGTCCTCCCCACACAACTGTATTGTCAACTGACCTTATACTGGCTCATGGGACAGTCCTCCCCACACACAACTGTATTGTCAACTGACCTTATAGTGGCTGATGGGACGGTCCTCCCCACACACAACTGTATTGTCAACTGACCTTATACTGGCTGATGGGACGGTCCTCCCCACACACAACTGTATTGTCAACTGACCTTATACTGGCTGATGGGACAGTCCTCCCCACACACAACTGTATTGTCAACTGACCTTATACTGGCTGATGGGACGGTCCTCCCCACACACAACTGTATTGTCAACTGACCTTATACTGGCTGATGGGACAGTCCTCCCCACACACAACTGTATTGTCAACTGACCTTATACTGGCTGATGGGACGGTCCTCCCCACACACAACTGTATTGTCAACTGACCTTATACTGGCTGATGGGACGGTCCTCCCCACACACAACTGTATTGTCAACTGACCTTATACTGGCTGATGGGACGGTCCTCCCACACACAACTGTATTGTCAACTGACCTTATACTGGCTGATGGGACGGTCCTCCCCACACACAACTGTATTGTCAACTGACCTTATACTGGCTGATGGGACAGTCCTCCCACACACAACTGTATTGTCAACTGACCTTATACTGGCTGATGGGACGGTCCTCCCCACACACAACTGTATTGTCAACTGACCTTATACTGGCTGATGGGACGGTCCTCCCCACACACAACTGTATTGTCAACCGACCTTATACTGGCTGATGGGACAGTCCTCCCCACACACAACTGTATTGTCAACCGACCTTATACTGGCTGATGGGACAGTCCTCCCCACACAACTGTATTGTCAACTGACCTTATACTGGCTGATGGGACAGTCCTCCCCACACACAAGGGGGTTAGTGCCAGAACACCTTAAGTAAATAATTCTGTCAAATTTAGGTAAGGGTATTAATGCACTCACACACTGATATGTTACTCATAAAAAAAAGCCCATAGCAATCAGGGGCTTAATTAGGTGGTTATGCATTAGAGTTCAAACAACTTATCAATTATCTCTCCTTTTGGTATAGACCAGGTTATGCTATGTTAATATACACCGTTCAGTCCTGCTCAACTGCTGTAGCCACGCTTGATATTCTCATGCCATAAACCCTTAACTGGCAGCAGTCGCCTCTGGCAGACTGTGTGGTGTCCATCAAGAATGTCCCTTACCGGTTAAAACAACTGATATGCTGAAGGAATGTTCTGGCTCTATAGACTTACAGCTGATAAGCCACTAGCCAAGGTTAGTTTATTTTGAACCTTGGGAGAGGAGCTATTTTCTAAAGTGTGCGTTTATATTAGGAACATTTACAGTACGAAAATCCCACTAAGACACGACAGCTAAGTCATATTTGTAAATAGAAAATAAGTACTTGTTAAATTTAACACACATGAGTGTGGTAATATACTTGTATTTCACTTACGAGATTTGCTGTCTGTATAAAAGTTATTTGCCAGCACTAATTAAAATTGAAACTAAATTGCTTTGATTATTGAATGTTATTGTTATCAAATTCAGTGTGTGATATTAGCCAGTCCCTTAGTTTAGTACTCTGGTTTTAGGTCTTTGCAAGATGTCTGAATTATGGTCCGACGCAGATGAAGATGAATTATTACAATCTGACTTTGCCACAGCCACAAGTTGGTCACTTGCCACTAATATGTCAGCCAATTCTGATTATATTCAACATGAACCAAACCCATGTGGGGAGTGGCTGGATACCCCAGCACAATCTGATAAACTATCGGATATGCCAATACAGTATGACGCAAATGATGAAGAGGATGAGTCAGTGGATATACCAGCACCAGTTCATACCACTGAGGATAATCAAACCCAGTTTGTATCAATACAGCGTTATGTGCCAAGAAAGATGGATACTACTCCCAGATGTTTACCACAACAGTGTGCAATACCAGTACAGAGTGATGCGCCTGCAGACATACCAGTACAGAGATGATGCGCCTGCAGACATACCAGTACAGAGTGATGCGCCTGCAGACATACTTGTACAGAGTAATGCGTCTGCAGACATACTTGTACAGAGTAATGATGAAGAGGATGAGTCAGTGGATATACCAGCACCAGTTCATACCACTGAGGATAATCAAACCCAGTTTGTATCAATACAGCGTTATGTGCCAAGAAAGATGGATACTACTCCCAGATGTTTACCACAACAGTGTGCAATACCAGTACAGAGTGATGCGCCTGCAGACATACCAGTACAGAGTGATGCGCCTGCAGACATACCAGTACAGAGTGATGCGCCTGCAGACATACTTGTACAGAGTAATGCGTCTGCAGACATACTTGTACAGAGTAATGATACTACAGACACAATAGTAAAGAGTGATGCACATATAGACATACAAGTGCAGTCTGATGCGTCTATAGACATACAAGTGCAGTCTGATGTGCCTATAGACATACCAGAACAGAATGATGCACCTATATACATACAAGTACAGGGTGATGCACCTATAGACATACCAGAACAGAGTGATGCCCCTATAGACATACAAGTACAGTCTGATTCGCCTATAGACGTACCAGAACAGACTGATGCGTCTATAGACATACAAGTACAGTCTGATGCGCCTATAGACGTACCAGAACAGAGTGATGCGCCTATAGACATACAAGTACAGGGTGATGCACCTATAGATATACCAGAACAGAGTGATGCGCCTATAGACATATCAGAACAGAGTGATGCGCCTATAGACATACCAGTACAGACTTATGCACCTATAGACATACCAGTACAGACTTATGCACCTATAGACAAACCAGAACAGACTGATGCGCCTATCGACATACCTGAACACACAGATGCACCTATAGACATACCAGTACAGTCTCATGCGCCTATAGACATACCAGCACAGAGTCATACGCCCGTACACATACCAGTACAGAGTGATGCGCCTATAGACATACCAGCACAGAGTGATGCGCCTACAGACTTATTAGTACAGTGTTATGGGCGCGGAGGAACATCATCTCTGAGGGATAGTGACAGTGACTTTGACAGTTCAGATAATGAACTATTGTCAACACTAAGGAGTAGGAAAGAACTGGTCCCTGACAACGACCCAGCATTATCGCCAGGTGAAGAATATGATCCAGATAAAACCGCACTCGATTCATCAGACTCAGAATTTTACTCCATGTATACACCATGCTCACTTGTCAGTGAACTTTTCTACATGAGGAAATTGAACTGTTACAATTTTACAGTGTACGATTTAGCCACAAAAGGAGGCACATGCTTTGTATGGTCGGAAGTGGATGCCAAGAGGGGATCATGTGAAGTTGCATCATGCTTGCAAATTCAGCTGAAGGCTTTGCCACCAACTGTCAAGCATGTAGTTCTGTATTTAGATACCTGTTCAGGACAGAACAGAAACCAGTATGTCGCAGCCTCCCTATTACATGCTGTGACCATTATTGAACACATCAGTACAATTGACCACAAATTTCGAGAGCTAGGCTACACACAGATGGAGTGCGATGCAATTCATTCCACCATTGAATTTGCCAAAAAGAAGACTAGCATCTATGTACCAAGCCAGTGGGACACTGTTATAAGAATGGCCAGAAGAAAGGACCCTTATATTGTCGTCCCAATACAGTTCACCGATGTGATGGACTTTAAGAAATATGCCCATGGTAGACTGAAAAACACCCAAATTGATACAGATGGTGGTCGTGTGAACTGGTTGTCAATGTGCTGGATGCGCTACATTAAAGGCAACCCAGAAAACATCTTCTTCAAGACTGAGCACAGCAATGAGCCATTCAGAGAACTGAAAGTGTCTACAGGCAGCCACCGGGGATGACCTCTGAGTATCTGTGGACCTCTGACCCGAAGGTACTCGGGAAAACAAGCAATTTCCTCAGCCAAGAAAAAGATCTCATGTCACTCTGTCGGTCGGGTATTATACCCAGAGAGTATCACAACTATTACAAAGAACTCCTGACAGATGCTGACAAAGTAGAATGCCTCCCCTTCCTGGCTTTGAGCAGGATACAGACACCGATACAGACTAAAGCAACGACACTGAAACAACAGTCGTTGCTTTGTGCTATTACATGGTGTATGTTATAATATGATTGTGGACATGGGTGAGGATAGTGTAATAATCATAGTGTCATAGTCTGGTTTTAAACATTTCTTAGTCACTTTCATTCAAATGGCATGCCATGTTTCCAAGAACATGTTATGTTGTATTATTTCCTGACTCCTCATTTACTGTAAAGTGTTCTGCTATATATTTCCTCATTTTGCAAATTTAACTTGCACACATATTTCACACCAATCACTTTTTTCCACCAGACCACATAGTTATATAAACCTTTTCCTATAAGTTATTTAACAAGTTTAAAGAGTATGAACAGTGTTAAGAGGTGGATATCAATATTAATTCTCAATTCAAAAAATGACATTTACATTTTGAGACGTCATCAAATCATTAACGAAAGGAAATACGACTGATTATTATATCTAACATGTCACATATCTAACATGACATATCTATGTCATCAAATACCTAATGTGATTATTCAGTGTTCTATCTAATCTGTGTGATGTAATCTTGATTCACTTATAACAGACTTAATTTTTAGTATCAAAAGTCTTTAGCCTTCATCTATGTCATAGTCTAGTGTCATAGTTCTATTAAGTTTTATCATCCAAAACTGTGTTCCACAGGAGACATTGCTTGTGTGAGATCAGACGATATCTCCTAGGACATATCGTTTTGAGAGTAAATTTTGCACAATGCCCTGACAATGACATGACGTCATGAACTTGATGACGTCACATTGCTATGACATCGCTGCACTGCGAGTTCAATGGCAGTACTGTGTTCAGAGATGAACATTTTTCATTGAAAGCTAATGAAGAGTGATTTTTGATGATAAATAGATTCTCACCCTCGTGTCTTCTGATATCAAATATATCAACACTCGTTGATCAAAGTAAAAATATCGGCAAGCCTCGGACATTTGTTACTTTATCAACTCGTGGTGATATATATTTGATATCAAAAGACACTCGGGTGAAATACTCTATATACCAAGCGGCTTAAATTATCCCTAAGTTGACTTAATATGCAATGGGCTTATCTGTGGTTGTGTATTATGTGTATGTTTGTGACTGTGCTTGATTTTCTTCTATTCAGTAATTTGAAACTAATACTGTTTATGAATTTCTGTTTACATGCAATATAATATTGAAATAGTTAAAAATACTGAAACACTTACAATGTCTTATAGTAATTGGTTTTATTCTTCAATAAAGAAGTACACGGTAATGATGCATTGTGGAACTATGTTGAAAGTATTGAGACGCTGTTGTCATCTAACAGAAAAGTCAAAAAGAAAGTCTTGAAGGTGGTTTAAGCAATTACTGATGTCTTCAGTGATAACAACACGTGAAGATAAAATCTCACAAGCACAATTTAAGGCGAGCTATAAGTAAAATGCATTCAATAACAGAAAGGCAGTTACTGCTGGTTAATGGTTCCAGCCACCAGCTGAGGGTGTGGGATACTGCCTAAAGCAGCTTTACCGCAGGATATGGTTACAGGGCTTAAAGGAAACAGTGGTTGGCGGCTGTGATGATATGGGTGATCTTGAGATCAGGTGTCATTGTTTTTAGTTGGCTTCCGCATTGATACATATGTTGGGGCAAAGATAATGCTCCCCGAGTTAGTGGAAACTGCGACACAGAGAAATCGTAGCCGCAAACTATGCCACAATCCCCTGTTTAAAGATAACCGGATTCTTGACTCGGGGACAGACATATTCTCAACATATTCTTAACTGCCATACACTGTGTTTCTAATTTAACTGGTTCTCGCTCTCATGTTTACAGAGCCCAGAGTGTTTTACATTTACGCCAGAACAAGCTAAAGTTTATTTTCGTCATACCTATTTAATTAGGCTGATTATATTTATGGTTGTATAGTAACATGAATGCATCAGCATACTCTGTCACCTAGTCACAAAACAGTAAACAAGAATTGATTATTTTATTTTTTTATAACTGTCCAAACATTTGAGTGCTGTTTCTCGAAATGTGCCTGTGTGGTTATAAGTGGTTCTGGCTCTAACCCCTCGAGTCAACTGACCTTATACTGGCTGATGGGACAGTCCTCCCCACACACAACTGTATTGTCAACTGACCTTATACTGGCTGATGGGACAGTCCTCCCCACACACAACTGTATTGTCAACTGACCTTATACTGGCTGATGGGACAGTCCTCCAAAAGCAACTGGTCACACCCACACACTTTGAGAACATACGTATGTCTGAATTCCAAGATACATCTCTCTGATTGTTCCTTGGACAAGTTCATGAGATGACTGCGATGCTGGATTGCCAGTGAGATCACATCTGTTGGTGATGCATTGTGGGCCACTTTCAAGCAGTATTTATTCCGATTCCCCGCACTGTACACAACCCAAATACAGATTATCAGAGTATTTCCTGAAAATGAAAAAACACCCAAAAGTGACCTTGGTCTCAGATGTTTATCATCTAAGCAATAAAATGCTACACTATATTATCTTTGATCCAACCCATTAGCATAAGCATGGTGCCTAAAACCTCAAGTAAACAGAGTGATCCAAACTGAAAGGTACAATGTCACACCACACTTCTCTAAAAAATACATAATGCATTTCTATCAATAATACTAAGTATCAGTCCTCTTGGAAGCTACCATATAATAAATTAAAAAAAGAATGACGTATTTAGATTACAATATTGAATTAAAAGGTTCGGATGAATTAATGCAATGTTGCATTGAATCGACTCTCGCGCCCCCTACCGGCCTAACATTACCCCATTGAGTTATGTCCCTTGGAGCGCTCTTTACGAAGATCCTACACACAACTTGTAATTGAAACCAGTTCAGCAAACATTGACAACACCGCGTGTGACAGTTTTCGATATATGGACCAATTGTTTACATTCCATATATGGCAAGTGTTCCCTGTTTGGAAGCTGTTCGCCTCGAAGTTTCAATTATCGATTTCAGGCAAGTCGTAAGGGATAATAAGTCTTTTATTGCATCAAAAGGAAGCTAAAGTGGGTGCATATGCCCCAATATGTAATTTTCTGAATAAAATTGATATATTATACTTATCCTGACTCATGCTATTTTGCTTGTCTTCTTCTTCTTGCGAACACAGTGGAACACTTGTATCTCCAAATTGAAGCTCCCTTCAATGTAAAATCACTAATTAGTACTCACCAAGAGTTGTCTCCTTCCCAACCATTTGCATGGGAACGAGGGCGCCACCTCCCGCCACATGCCTCACTCTCTCCTTATATAGCGAGCCCAACACTTGAATTTTCAGGGAAATCCAAAGTGTTATGTGGGGAGGATGGGAGGGCTTACCTCATGAGTCAGGATAAGTATAAAATATCAATTTTATTCAGAAAATTACATATTTTTCCTTATCCTGACTCATGCTATTTGCTTGTAGAATCCTACGGATACGGAGGTGGGAATACAGAATACTTTGGATTTAGATAATTAGTGATTTGATAACTGTAATAACTGTAATAACCCTTATGGGAACTTCATAAAGGCACTGAATTGATAATTCCTGCTGTTAAGCTTATCAGCTGCCATATATGGGTTACTACAATATATATATATATTATGATAAACATAAATAAACTACTCCTAATGGAGAAGTTAACTAAAGTATTTACAACATGAATACTAGGCTTAAGACTAAGATAGACTTAAGCTTGATAATATAATAGCATAAACTTCATATAGTTGTTAGCTAATGATACTGTTATGATATAACAGACATAGTACTGAGCATAAGATTATGATTGGACTTAAGCTAAAATATATAATAGCGTAAACTTCGTGGAGTTATTAGCTATATAGTACTGTTGTGAAATAAGCAGTAAAAATCTCGTAAGAACGACTTATCTTCTCCGAGGGACTGTCCACTGCTGTGCGAGGACCATGGGACCGAAATGGTGAATACCTGAGACGTCCTCGGTGGTGATATCTCTCAGATAGTGGTTGGCAAACACCATATCGGATCTGCAGAAGCAGCCCTCCATGATGGTATTCAAAGAGCAATTGCCGTGTAGAGCAAGTGTTGAAGCTAGCGCTCTAATTTCATGTGGATTAGATGCTCTTGGAGGGTCGAGTCCTGCAGCCTTGTAGGCGCGTAGTATGACAGTTCTGATCCATATCGAGATACTTGTACGTGAGACTTCAGTCTGTGTAGCTGTTGATAGAGGGATGAATAATCGTTTGAGTTTTTGTCGCCTCGGTTTGGATCGCTGTAGATATATTTTCAGTGCTCTGACTGGGCATAATGATAGTTCCAGTGTATCATGAGGTCCGAGAATTGATGAGGGAGCTGGGACGTGGAATAATCTGTCTGGTTGACCTGGCAACTGGTTCTTGGCGATGAAATCCCAGCGTAGTCCCATATGCACGATGTTATGATTGTCATCAAAGCGTGTTCTCTCGTAATCTAGTGCGTGAATCTCTGACATCCTGGCTGCTGTTGCTAGGGATAACAGGAACAAAGTTTTCTGTGTCAGAAATTCGAATGATGTTGATTCCAGTGGTTCATATGCCTCACTTGTGAGGTGTTGGAGCACTATATTTAGATCCCAAGCTGGAGCTTGAAACTTCCGCTTGTGATCTTCCAATCGGAATGCACGTAGTAAGGCCAGTAACTCTGGGGTCTTCGTCAACTTGACACCCGTTCTCATAGTTATGGACGGAGCTTAAAGCTGCGAGATATGTTGATAATGTTGAGCCTTTTAGACGTTTAGTCTGTCGTAGGTAACATAAGTAGTCAGCCACTTGTGGATGTGTAGCATATCTAGCTTTAAATCCTTTCTTTGCAGCATAATTTTCAAAACTGTGCCACTTGTCATCGTACAAGTTGCGAGTGGAGTTGCGTAATGCAAGCGTGACTGCTTTTGCCGCTCTGGCTGAATAACCTCTCTTGTTTAGACACGCCTTAATACAGTCCATACGTGAAGTTGGAATGCTTCTGGCTTTCCGTGCGCTTGTTTGGTGTGAGGATGTATTAGCAGATTCGAGCGCTTTGGAAGTTGTAGTATTGGTTGTCCGATTTCTTGAATAAGAGTTGGAAACCACGTTCTCGCTGGCCAGTAGGGCGCGACCAAAATCATTTGGAGGTTCCGAGTTAGCTTGATTTTCTGTAACACCTGTGGGATTAACGCTGGTGGCGGGAACGCGTACGCGTTGAGTCCTTCCCACGATATGCTTAGTGCGTCCGTTGCCCATGCTAGTGGGTTTGGGACTGGCGATAGGAATATTGTCAGCTGATTGTTGAAGCCAGTGGCAAATAGGTCTATTAGTGGAGCTCCTATTTTCTTGATAATTTGTGCGAATATCTCTGTATGGAGCATCCATTCTGTCGGCGATGGTAGGTGTGGCCGAGAGAGAGCGTCTGCTATTACATTCTTTGCTCCTGGAATGTGACATGCTCTGACATGTATGTTGAGATTGTCGATTAAATCGAACAATTGAAAACATAGAGTCAATAGGTTCGGGGACCTGGTTGAGCCTTGTTTGTTCACATAAAACGCCACTGTTGAATTGTCTGTGTGAATCATCAATTGGGCATTCTTTAGTAAGTTGCTCCAATGATGTATGGCGTTTACTACAGCTTGCATTTCTAGCAAGTTAAAGTGTAGTTTGCTCTCTTGTTGGCTCCATAACCCTGATGCCGTCCTGCTGGCGAGGTGTGCTCCCCAACCTTGGAGCGACGCGTCTACATAGAGATGTGTTTTCAATTCCGGCTCTATTAAAAAGATTCCATCGCAAACATTCGATCTCTTGGTCCACCATAGTAGGTGAGGTTTGACGTGATTCAGTAGACTGAATGGTTGAGGGTCGTCGAGATGAGAGTTGATGAGGACCTGTAACGGACGTAGCTGTAGTCTGCCTCTGACTGTCATGTCTTGAGCTGACGTGAGTAGACCCAACAGGCTCTGCCATTGTCGTAGTGGTAGCGGAGAGAGTAAGGCTTGAGGGATTGTCTGTTGGATCTTGATCCATCGGTCCTCCGGTACGACGATACGATTCTGCGCCGTGAGAAATCGAATGCCTAGAAATTGCAGATCTTGCGTAGGTTCTAGGTCCGACTTGAGTAGATTTACTAACCATCCTAGCTGTGTTAGTAGCTTGATGATGAAGTTTAACTGTAGTCTGAGACGTTGTACATCTGGATCCACTTGTATCCCGTCGTCGAGATAGAACGCACTGCGTAGTCCTTGACGATGTAGGTAAGAGACAATAGGTTTCGTCACTCTTGTGAATAACCAGGGGGCCGATGAGATTCCGAAAGGTAGTACTTTCCATTGGTAATGCAGCCCGTCTAGTGTAAACCGAAGGTATTTCCTGGAGTCGGGATGTATTGGGATGTGTAGATATGCATCTTGCAGATCTATGCTGGCCATGTAGTCTCTGGGATGAATTAAGTGCTGTAGTTGTGGTAGGTGTATCATGCGAAACGCTGTCGGTTTGCGTAGATAGTCTCTGTTGAACGTGCTCATATTGTAGATGAGACGAAACTTTTCCTTGGAATTTTTCTTGGGCACTAGGAAAACTGGGGAGTAGAAGCCTGGTTCGATGTTTACTTGGTCCAGTACTTCTATGGCCTGCTTGGTTAGGAGCGTTGATACCGCTTCTCTTAACTTTGGTAGTTGTAGAGCCTGGAAGTCGAACCTCGGAGGGATGACTGTCAGCGGGGGCGTGGCCTGTAGTTGTATTCGATATCCGTGCTGTAGGATGTTGGAGACATATGGGTCCTCTAAGAATCCCCAGTTTTCCCAGTGCAGTTGAAGGCGTCCACCAACTTGTGATGGTTGTACTGGAACGGCTGGGGGTGGAAGACTCCAGTCGTTCCGAACCTGTCCTTCATCGTTTATAGTTGCGGGAGCCTCTGGATGACCTGCCTCTTCCAGATCCTCCTGTAATTGCCGTATGGGTGAAAAGACTCTTTGCTCCTCTTACACTTGCCATCTTCCTATCCCGTGCTTTCTGTAGACCGGAGAACTCCGATTTGCCTGAGTACCTCTGTGAAGTTTGTCTGATGACGCTTGCTAGCGTATCCATAGACTTTATCATGAGTACCTCTCTTGAGTCTTAAGAGACTTCTTTAGAGACTTTGTCTATGTTTCCATCGAAGATTGACGGTGATGACCACGGGGCTGTGTGGAGTGGTGTGGTGAAGTGATCACCCCAATTACAGGAGGCGAGGAGACCTTGAAGACGAGCCATAGTTATAGCTGCGGATAGTGCTGTCAAGTGATCCGTTAGGAACTGCTGGTCCTTCTTCTGCATGAGGAGGGCTGAGTAAATCATCCTGTCGTCCTCAGATGTAGAGTCTCTGAACTTCGTGAGGAGAGTTTCGTTGACTGTTCTTGATCTGTTCAGACCAAAGAACATCCTCCTTGCCATGGTTTCCATCTGGACTAGCTTGCGGTCATCTATTCTGTAAGTCTTGGACTTGGCATAAGCTGATCATCTTATAGTTATCATCGATATCTTGTGCCTTGTAAAAGGGTCCATGTTGTGACCTGCAAACTTGTTAAGCGTTGAAATGCGGCACATGTGGTGTCTGTGATTTATTGGCTTTACTAAAGGCTGTATCCAGATTAGCTGGCACGCTGCTGCTATCGGGTCAATCGGAAGTAAGGTGATTGTGTCAGCATCATCTTCCTTCATAAGATATGTGTGGGCTGAGTTCTCGTTCTTAGGCGGGGAGGATAGTTCCAGACTATTCACCATCAATATCTTATTTCTGCGTCGGAAAATACGATACCATCTTCATCTTCAGACATCGGGTCACAGATAATGTGTTGATGCTCCTCCGATAGTGACTGAGGTGGAGTCCTTGATGATCTGTGCGTGGATCGGCGAGGTGATCGATGAGGCGATCGATATGGAGATCGGCGGCGAGCAGAATAACGTGGTGAAACGGACTGGCGAGTGGCGTCTATAAGGTGACCTTCCGCGGAGACTTCCTTGGCGAGCGCTGGTAGCTTTTCGCGAAGCTCTCGGTGAATCCCTTAATGATCTTCTAGATGAGGATGACTTGGAGCCACTTAACCTTGAAGGTCTTCGTGAAGGTTGAGAGTCTGAGTCGAGTCATGGGATGAGAGGATCTTGCCATGAACGTCCTCTCTCATCAAGGTCGAGGTAGGTGATATAGTCGTCCCCGTGAAGCCTTCCGTGAATGCTGAGGATCAGGGTCCTTCATGGAGGCGGGCTGGGTAAAGCCCGCCGGGAGGCTTGGAAGCGGGCTGGGTAAGCCCGCCGTGGAGGAGGCGTAAAGCGGGCTGGGTAAGCCCTGGCGAGGAGGCGTGCAAGCGGGCTGGGTAAGCCCTACGGAGGTATGGGGGTGGGCTGGGTAAGCCCTTGGCTCTAAAGGCCTCTGTAGACCGTGGCGATCTTCCATCAACTTCATAATGTGGTTCATCAGGTCGTCTGGGGCGGTCTCTGCTGAAGTAGTTGCTGCCTTTTCTCACGATGGTAGCGGCGGGACCCTCAGGAAGATTCTCTGACATCAGTGTAGGTGCCTCAGACTGCGTGCTGATCTGTGCTGATGTTATAGTTGCCGACACTGGCCGCTTCTTCCGCCGTAAGTCTGGTATGATGATCGGTTGATCAACTCTACAAACCCAACTCAAGCGGGAACAATCTCGGCTGAGAGAGTACTGCTGGACCGTTGATTTCCCCTTAGGCGTGGATGTAGCCCTGGGGGTCGCGGAGTCTGCGTTGTGGCGGCGTGGAAGCCCTCCTAGTCTTTGGCTGCGGCGGCCGGGATGTCGGGGATGCAGGTAAGCTTCTTGGAGATAGCGGACTGCATCCCGCCTCTCCTCGAGGGTAACTCTAGCGGAACACCAGGCGGGAGGGTAGATCCGACAGTAGTTGACAGGGTAAGGGCTCTGGTGTATTAGCCATGGCTAAAATCTGTTTCACGTGACCTATCTGCTGCGGCGTCTCAAGATGCAAAATAAATATTTATCAAAGGCAGAATTGGATAAATTAGTACAATAATTGCAACGTGAAACAGTAGAGCATGGCGTAGTACAACTAGGGCATATTAAATGCGGGTCAGCAGCAGAAAAACGTAATTTACAAATAGTGCAGATTTTCATCAACGCAATCTACTGAACAAACATGGAGTCCCGTGAATAAAACAGTAGAAACACGAATAAAGATCAATGCATTATGTTGAAGGATACTAGCTACACCTCTATAGAAGTCTGTGAGAGGTAAATAACTAAGAATAAACAAAGGATATAATGTGTAGGGAGACACAGGCGCTCTCACATCCTGCTCACTGGGCGAAGAAGGAGAGAGTGAGGCATGTGGCGGGAGGTGGCGCCCTCGTTCCCGCGCAAATGGTTGGGAAGGAGACAACTCTTGGTGAGTACTAATTAGTGATTTTACATTGAAGGGAGCTTCAATTAGGAGATACACGTGTTCCACTGTGTTCGCAGAAGAAGAAGAAGACAAGCAAAAGAGCATGAGTCAGGATAAGGAAAAATATGTATAATATAGGCCAAAATATTGTACAAAATGTGTGACGTGCCTTTGATAAAATATCATGTATGAACACACAATGCCATTCTAGAAAGTGGTCAAATGTAACACACGTTTTATTTGGAATTACACTTTCTCAGTGTAGTACAGATTCTTGTACTTTTGTTGGGTTGAGTTCCATCTGGCATTTGTGTGGATGAGTTATGACAATTACCAGTTTTCTTGAGTTTTTCAGTCAGGTGCGGAGGCAGGGCTGCGCTTGCTTCAGTGTCTGGAGGATATTCATATAGTGCTCGACTGACCCCACCATCCTTCTCTCGCTGGTCAATTGTCTCCTTGCACACTCCCAGAATGTTCCAGCGAAATGTCATCACCTCCAGATCCTTCATCTCATTGAATTCAGTCACAGGTTTACCAACCAACATGCCTAGAATTATAGAATAAGGCTTTGTAGCTCACCTTTTCTATACTGGAATAATGGCAAATAGGATAAGCTATTACATGTCTACAGAAACAAAACAGGTTTCTACATGTTCCTTACAGCCTAAACTATTTCATAATGACAGGTATGAGAACAAATGTTACATTAGGGACCGTTCATATGGCTAGGGTGGGGGTGGGGGGATGATGATGATTAGGGGTCACCCATTTTGTTCTGGGGAGGTAGGGGCTTCATCATAAAAATATTTCAAAATTATGCTTTCAAACTTTGAAAAGGGGGAGGGGGATAATTGACTTTGTACATGACATGCAGGGGGGGGGTCACTTCCTTTGTACATACATTTTAGGGGGGGTCGTTCACATTGTACATGCTCCTCCATAGAAATCATCATCACCCCCCTAGCCATAAATTATGAACCATCCCTTATTCTGTATGCTCTGCATGTTGAAAATAGCTGCCTGGTCTCATCTTGACCAACCAGATGGATGATACAAATGAGCGAGTTTAGTTTTATGCCGCTTTTAAAATATATCAGCAATATCACGGTCGGGGACACCAGAAATGGGCTTCACACATTGTACCCATGTGAGGAATCGAACCCGGGTCTTCAGCGTGACCAGCGGACGCTTTAACCACTAGGCTACCCCAACGCCCCCAGAGTGTACAAGAGTGTACCAGTTAATAAAAACTAATATGAACTTAATATTTATGAATTACAAAAGGCATGAATTAGATCCTAAAAAATGGACGCTTAGACTGATAAAAGATTGTGAAACAAAAGGAAAAACAGAGAGAAGACAGAAGGAAAATATAGAAAATAATAAATTACCATATGTACATGTGTGAATAAGTCACACCTTTGTCTTTAAAAATATTTTTGTGTAGAGGGGTGTGCGTATGATATACTTCTGAAAGAATTGGAAGAACACACATGGTTTGCTTGCTACTGCAATGATCTCCAGCCAGCACAAATTAATGGTAACCATGGACACCAGATGTATAATCAGGTCTTGTTTTACTTCAGTTGTGAAGTATGTTTGCAGATGATAATTTTGTATATTTTTTTTTCAAAAGTGAAGTATGGCAGTTTGTTGTTGCTTCTGGCCTCAAGTTCTGATTAACTTGGTCTAAAATTGTTTCATTGTCAAATGTTCACAGTAGGGCAAAATCTTTTCTATAAAACTGTTTCAAGTTCTTGGTCTCTATCGTAATCACCTTACGTACCTATTTCGTAATTCAACATTTTCTCTTCACCATTTCCAACCCGTTCCATCACTTTGAGAATGGTTTGAAACAATCGCAAGTCACACAGTCTCCGAGTTTCATCATAGAACTCCTCTCGCTCGGAATCTTGGGTAATTCCTATAAAGATGTACGACTCTGAACTCAGGAGAAGTCGATGGAGGGGATAGTTCTTGGATTCTATCCACAGATCCGATTTGATTTTGTCCAGAGTTGCGTCCCTGCTGCAAATCATCGGGACAGTGATGCCATTGGGCAGGAGACAGTCTACCGGCAGCATGGGGGGTTTCATCTTGCAGGACCATGCTTCAAAGGAGTTTCCGAAGCATATTGGATTGTTACATGTATGTAATGGGCAGCACCTGAATCACATGGAACACAAGTTCAGGATCAAATTACAGTGTCACCTTAAACAAACCTGGAAAAAGGCATGTCTTTACAATACATTTCCAGTCATGTTTTTACAATTATGACACAAATTTGTTTTGGTTAAAATATTGACACAATTATATTGAAATACCAGAGCTACAGATAACTTTTGGGGTCAATGAGTTATGTACTCGCTTGTGTTCATCTCAATTGGGTATCCTAATTTTTCTTTGAGTAACCAAATAAATTGTACCCACCTCACTCAAACTTTTAAAAATACTGTTAAAATATAATAAAGTTCAAATGTTGGTTTACACGTTTGTTATTTGTATTTGATCTCTAATATGAGAAACGATAAGAAAGGCTGCAAGTTGCCAAGTTCATGTGCTGAAATAGAACCTCTCAATATACCTGTTATTCTATCCATGTTTGTGTGTACACATTTAAGATCACATTTATTGAGTATTTACAAAATTTCAAGCGTACTTGTACGCAATGACTTAATAGAAATTGAGTTTTCAAAGAATTATTTGCGTCATTTACGCAGATACGCAGCTTATCTGTTCCTCTGAATACATAAACTGACAGAGTGTTTGTGTCCATTAGGAGATATTCACTGACGATACAGCCCAACATTAATAAAATAACCACTTTGGCGGTCTTGTACAGTTTCTCAAACTACCTGCAACCACACTGTGTGTAGAGATTATCAGTTCACATGTATGGTACACCATCCGAACAATCATTAACAAAACAATACCAGTAAAATGCACGCACGCACTAGGGTGCATTTAATCATGTTTACAGCCTCAGGGGAAAGATTGGATGCACTTAAGCATGTTTACAGATTTGGGGAACAGACTGGATGCACTCAAGCATGTTTACAGGTTTGGGGAACAGATTGGATGCACTCAAGCATGTTTACAGATTTGGGGAACAGACTGGATGCACTCAAGCATGTTTACAGGTTTGGGGAACAGACTGGATGCACTCAAGCTGGATGCACCCAAGCATGTTTACAGATTTGGGGAACAGGTTGGATGCACTCAAGCATGTTTACAGGTTTGAGGAACATGTTGGATGCACTCAAGCATGTTTACAGATTTGGGGAACAGACTGGATGCACTCAAGCATGTTTACAGGTTTGGGGAACAGATTGGGAGCACACAGTTGGATGCACTCAAGCAGCATATTAGATGCACTCAAGATTACAGATTTGGGGAACAGACTGGATGCACTCAAGCATGTTTACAGGTTTGGGGAACAGATTGGATGCACTCAAGCATGTTTACAGATTTGGGGAACAGACTGGATGCACTCAAGCATGTTTACAGGTTTGGGGAACATATTGGATGCAACATGTTTACAGAAGAACAGACTGGATGCACTCAAGCATGTTTACAGGTTTGGGGAACAGATGCACTCAAGCATGTTTACAGATTTGGGGAACAGACTGGATGCACTCAAGCATGTTTACAGGTTTGGGGAACATGTTGGATGCACTCAAGCATGTTTACAGATTTGTGGAACAGACTGGATGCACTCAAGCATGTTTACAGGTTTGGGGAACAGATTGGATGCACTCAAGCATGTTTACAGGTTTGGGGAACAGATTGGATGCACCCAAGCATGTTTACAGATTTGGGGAACAGACTGGATGCACTCAAGCATGTTTACAGGTTTGGGGAACATGTTGGATGCACTCAAGCATGTTTACAGATTTGGGGAACATGTTGGATGCACTCAAGCATGTTTACAGGTTTGGGGAACAGGTTGGGTGCACTATAGCATGTTTACAGGTTTGGGGAACAGGTTGGGTGCACTCAAGCATGTTTACAGGTTTGGGGAACAGGTTGGTGTACACTATAGCATGTTTACAGGTTTGGGGAACAGACTGGATGCACCCAAGCATGTTTACAGATTTGGGGAACAGACTGGATGCACTCAAGCATGTTTACAGGTTTGGGGAACATGTTGGATGCACTCAAGCATGTTTACAGATTTGGGGAACATATTGGATGCACTCAAGCATGTTTACAGATTTGGGGAACATGTTGGATGCACTCAAGCATGATTACAGGTTTGGGGAACAGGTTGGGTGCACTCAAGCATGTTTACAGATTTGGGGAACATGTTGGATGCACTCAAGCATGATTACAGGTTTGGGGAACAGGTTGGGTGCACTCAAGCATGTTTACAGATTTGGGGAACATGTTGGGTACATTATAGCATGTATGGAGGTTTGGGAACAGGTTGGGTGCAGGTAAGGAACACGTTAGGTGGACTGAAGGAAGTTTACAGGTTGGATGCAATATAAAAAGAATATATATTTGTGAAACAGGTATAAAACATATTTTCCAATCCTGTTGTAGGAAACTGTTTATTATCAACAATAACCCATAACAAACACAATATCTTCATAAGAGAGTTTGTTTCCTGAAGTTATGAAACTGTCAACTATTTCAAGTACTGTCACGACTGACTTTGTCCTCCATTAGAGTTTCCCCCCTGCTCAGGTACTGCTCCACTCAAACTACAGGCCACACATGGACAGTTTCAATAAACTCAAAATACATTACCTTTAGATATAACACTGTTGACAGAGAAATCCATGTGACCACTGGGTTTCCCACTGTCTGGACTTGTGTCCACATAGTTGATAGCAACACATCGCTAATATAAACGCATGTAATCCAGTTATTTTTAACAGTGTGAACTTCCTGTTAGATATGACTACTTTGATCGTCCTGTGAATGATAACAGAAATGTTGTGTCGGTCAGTAAACCCTCTTGTGCAATAGCCAACTGACGTCACTGTAATAAAGACAAATACATGTTTACCCACTGACAGTGAGTGAGTGAGTGAGTTAGTTGGGTTTTTATGCCAGTTTTATGCCAGCAATATCATCACAGGGGACACCAGAAATGGGCTTCACACATTGTACTCATGTGGGGAATTGAACCCGGGTCTTCAGTGTGACGAGTGAACGCTTTAACCGCTATTCTACCCCACAGTTGTAGTGACAAAACAGCACTTGATTTGAGAACGTCAGAAGCCATGGTTACATTGCAGTGACCAGTGGCTGTCCTGTAGTATAAGCACAGCAACACTGGAATGATGACTTCCCAGCAAAGTTGCAAGGTGGCCTCCCTACACACTACTTCAGGATCAGGCAGGGGCCAAGTCTGGGACAGATATGACTTGCATGATTTATACATAGACTCCTTCACTACCATGAAGTATTGCATGCTGGTCCTCCACATACATGGGTACAGGAGGAAGGGAGTATATATACTGGACAAAAATAGTTAGGGATATATGTAAATTTTGAAATTATGAATAATGCAGGCGTGGAAATAACCCATTGCCCGACGTCCGAGTCCAGTGTTTTTTTCGGTCGGGCAAGCAAATTTGTATATCACACTGTACCGGTGTCCAGTTGAGTTTCCAATGTTAATTATGTTGTTTATTTAAAAAATCAACAAGAAAATGGACGGTATAGTGGAAAAATTATCAGGGTAAGTGATTTTACATGTGCCACTGTACCGGAGTACACTAGCAATGTTAAAGTTATTTCCACCCCTGATAATGATCTATTTATTAATTGACACACTGATAAAATATCAATCATAAAAATACCAATATCCCTAACTTATTTTGTCCAGTATATATGAAACCGTAAGAATTGAGAAAGTATTCGTGGGCGATGGAAGCACATACTCACATGTGATGGAGAAACACAGAGTATACAAGCCTATAAACAGCTGGAAAGATATGTTTGTTAAATGCTGCACTAAGCAATATATTCCAGACATATGATCTACGCATATGGGATACGATGACATGCATCACTGAGTCAGTGAGTGAGTGAGTTTAGTTCTACACCGCTTTAAGCAATATTTCAGCAATATCACGGTGGGGGACGCCTGAAATGGGCTTCACATATTTTACCCATGTGGGCAATCGAACCTGGGTCTTCCGCGTGATGAGCTAACGCTTTAACCACTAGGCTACCCCACCGCCCCGAGATGCATCAATGAAGTCCGCGAGTCAGACCACCTGATCCTGTTAGTCACCTCTTACGATAACCATGGGTTGCTGAAGACCAATTCTAACCCAGATCTTAATGATCTGTTGAGTAAGACAAAAACAAGACACAAAGGGACAAAGATTTACCATTGGTTTATTAAATAAAATCATTTGTTGAAAATTGATGTATAAAACAGTGGACAGAGAATAAGGTCACAACTTTGACATGAGTACAACACAACACCTGGACATAAAGGCATGTTTCTACATTATTTACAATGAAAACAATCCCCCTACACTGGAACCTCACTAATCCAGACTGCTGAGATTTTAGGAATATAATTACATGATCACAGGAATGTCACTAATGCTAGTCACCAATATTCGAGCTGACTTACAGGTCAGGGGCCCGTTTCACAAAGAGATCACAGAGCTATGACTGTCATAAGTTCATGTTAAAGTATGGGAGTTACGGTCACCTTAGCACTATGATTGCTTTGTGAAATGGGGCCCAGGTTAGCAATTACTGAGTTAATAAACATCGTACGTGCACTATGTACGATGTGTCCTAAATGCAAACTGTATGACATAAACAATGATTTCCTGTGGCCCGCTCCACAAAACGATCATAGTCGTTACGACAGTGGTAAGTCTATGTTAATGTATGGGAGGTACGATCACCTTAGCGCTACAATTGCTGTGTGGAACAGGCCACAGGAATTCAGTGTTTACGTCATACAGTTTGCATTAAGTCTAATTAACATAACTAAAAAATAAATAAATAAAAAAATAAATAAAAAAAGGAACCTATGTCAAAGCTGGTGTCTACTGATACACTATGATAATTATGGTTTTCTGACATTCTGAAACAATATTCATTATCATATTTGTATATACTTCGTAGAAAGGTGAAGAAATAATTCATATATTATTCTCAACCAGGAAACACAAGTATTCTGACATTTGTTTTGTAAAAGCAGACTGATACTCTTGCTTGTACAATTTCCATATGTCAGGGGCATATGTATCTGACTGAAGTGTGGGTTGGACAACAGCAGATCTGTGGGAGAAGTCATACGACTGCTAACCGGGGTAATAATGTCTTTGTGCTTTGAGCATGCACAAGTGCGTGGATACAAGCGCTTCATAAATGTCCATTATTATTTTATTATTAACTGAAGGTTGTGATGTCAGAATCTGTCCATACATGTGTGATACACTGACTGAATAATCCAGCTTTATCACAAAGACCTGTAATTAATTCAGTCTAAACCAGGAAAGAAGAGAACAATATGAATTTATTCTACAGCTGAATGTGTTGGCAATATTCCAGCTATAACACAGTGGCCTGTAAATAATCCAGTCACAGCCAGACAAACCAGTGGTTGATAGCATGAGCAAGTCATTGTTAGCTGGGTATAATACAGTCACATATTGTCAACACAAGTTGTAGCATTGAAGATAAGCACTGGAGAAAGGACAGCTATTTTCCAGATGGATATTCAAGTTTGAACCTGGACCAGACAAACCAGTGGTCAAACAGAAAAGGGCCGTATCGGCGTATGTACAGATATAAAATAAGTACAATACAGTAGGAAATAATTTAGAAAGCGTAGCAGATATGTACCACAGTAATGGTGTACGGTCTTAGAATCATTTACAGACGTATTTATCTGAAAAAGAATTGTTTTATTGTTTATTGACCTGTTTACACAAGAGTAGCAATGTTGTGGTGCATATAAGAAACAAAACACAAGATTACTGATACTCCATTAAATTCCATTCAGTACTCTAAATGTACTCTTATTGTTTTCCAGTACTCCTATACTGAAAAAACCAAAACAAACAAACCTAGGGAGTACGTACTCCTGATCATGAAAAATTATCTGGAGCCCTGGGCCAAATATGCCAACCGTTGTTCAAGTTTTGTCATAAACAGTGGGATAAATAAAACCCATAATTACATGTGAGAAGGGGTAGCAGTATCAGTAACTTCCTGCTTGCGCTTCCAAGGATAGATAAATACACCTGAATGTGTTCCAACCTATCAGAGACCTCATATCACTCAGTAACGGACATTACACACAGAATGTCCCGTAAGTAAGGACAAATAAGGTTCCAGCGTATGGTGGGAAAAAGTGTGATAGTCTACCACTGATGTCAGGAACCATAAAACATAAAAACACTGAAAAGAGACGGTGACTGTTTAATGATGCACTCTGCAACATTCTGGCAATGTGTACTAATCTAATGTTGGGTAGGCAAACAAGTGGTTGATAGCACGAGGAAGAATCCTCTGACAGACACAAGATCAGCCAGACATAATTTGGGTTGTCTTCTATTCAAGAACTTGACAAAAAGCCATACTTGCGTTTCTTTTGCTGTTCAGTATATAACAACCCAATCATCATTCACCTCATGCATGGAATTCTACAGTTCCATTTTAGTAAACACATAATTTTTTGACTGATTGACTGACTGATCCTTTGCATTTAGCCATATACCAGCTTTATTGGGCAGGTTATCAAAACATTCAGTCTGGACAAGACAATCCTGTGACTAAAATCACGGGCACTGATTGATATGGCAATGTGATACAATGACAAGTATCAACCATCTGACTATCAGCAACCACCAATCAAGCCATAGTTATCATCCTGCATAATTCTATGAATACAAAGCAACTGCACTTAAGCAATACAGGAAAATGTTGCTTCTTCCTGGTGTGTCCAGATGTAAAAATTAATTTACTTTCGATACAATGACAAGTATCAACCACCTGTTGAAAAATCTAAAGGTCTTATACTCTGATTACAGCCCAAACAGGAACGTCTTATACTCTGATTACATCCATGACGTGCTAGAAGTAAGTATATAGAGGGCTCCACACACTGCTCCAAGGGGACTGAACAACAAGCACCTGCTTCAACCACTTGGCTACCCCACAGCCACTAATCTGAAGGCTCCACACACTGCTCCCAAGGGGACTGAACAACAAGCACCTGCTTCAACCACTTGGCTACCCCACAGCCACTAATCTGAGGGCTCCACACAGTGCTCCCAAGGGGACTGAACAAGCACCTGCTTCAACCACTTGGCTACCCCACAGCCACTAATCTGAGGGCTCCACACACTGCTCCCATGGGGACTGAACAAGCACCTGCTTCAACCACTTGGCTACCCCACAGCCACTAATCTGAGGGATTCACACACTGCTCCCAAGGGGACTGAACAACAAGCACCTGCTTCAACCACTTGGCTACCCCACAGCCACTAATCTGAGGGCTCCACACACTGCTCCCAAGGGGACTGAACAACAAGCACCTGCTTCAACCACTTGGCTACCCCACAGCCACTAATCTGAGGGCTCCACACGCTGCTCCCAAGGGGACTGAACAAGCACCTGCTTCAACCACTTGGCTTACCCACAGCATCTAATCTGAGGGCTCCACACACGGCTCCCAAGGGGACTGAACAAGCACCTGCCTCAACTACTTGTCTACCATACAGCATCTAATCTGAGGGCTCCACACACTGCTCCCAAGGGGACTGAACAACAAGCACCTGCTTCAACCACTTGGCTACCCCACAGCATCTAATCTGAGGGCTCCACACACGGCTCCCAAGGGGACTGAACAAGCACCTGCTTCAACCACTTGGCTACCCCACAGCCACTAATCTGAGGGCTCCACACGCTGCTCCCAAGGGGACTGAACAACAAGCACCTGCTTCAACCACTTGGCTACCCCACAGCCACTTATCTGAGGGCTCCACACACTGCTCCTAAGGGGACTGAACAAGCACCTGCTTCAACCACTTGGCTACCCCACAGACACTAATCTGAGGGCTCCACACACTGCTCCCAAGGGGACTGAACAACAAGCACCTGCTTCAACCACTTGGCTACCCCACAGCATCTAATCTGAGGGCTCCACACACTGCTCCCAAGGGGACTGAACAAGCACCTGCCTCAACTACTTGTCTACCACACAGCATCTAATCTGAGGGCTCCACACACTGCTCCCAAGGGGACTGAACAAGCACCTGCCTCAACTACTTGTCTACCCCACAGCCACTAATCTGAGGGCTCCACACGCTGCTCCCAAGGGGACTAAACAAGCACCTGCTTCAACCACTTGGCTACCCCACAGCCACTAATCTGAGGGCTCCACACACTGCTCCCATGGGGACTGAACAACAAGCACCTGCTTCAACCACTTGGCTACCCCACAGCCACTAATCTGAGGGCTCCACACACTGCTCCCAAGGGGACTGAACAACAAGCACCTGCTTCAACCACTTGGCTACCCCACAGCCACTAATCTGAGGGCTCCACACACTGCTCCCATGGGGACTGAACAACAAGCACCTGCTTCAACCACTTGGCTACCCCACAGCCACTAATCTGAGGGCTCCACACACTGCTCCCAAGGGGACTGAACAACAAGCACCTGCTTCAACCACTTGGCTACCCCACAGCCACTAATCTGAGGGCTCCACACAGTGCTCCCAAGGGGACTGAACAACAAGCACCTGCTTCAACCACTTGTCTACCCCACAGCCACTAATCTGAGGGCTCCACACACTGCTCCCATGGGGACTGAACAAGCACCTGCTTCAACTACTTGTCTACCCCACAGCATCTAATCTGCCAAAACTTCCTGAAGGTTGACATTGTGTGATTCTAAGAACATGACTGGCATATTGGGTCTTTTCATACAAGGCATATATAAACACATAACTGACATCACTGGAAGAAGACAGCACACAAAAAAAAAGAGTGAAAGAAAAGTAAGTCAACATGGGAGGACAGAACACAAAGATGAGATGACATGTCTTACAATATTTTCAGCAATTTTTCAGCCATTATTTGACAACAAAACTTGTAACAATGTGGTGTTGAATTACATATGAATGACTTGTGAAAACAAGGCCGTGAAACGAGTGTGGTTCGTACAAGGAAGGATACCTCAACATATGGGTGTGTTCAACAACACAAGCATCAGTATGTACAATCACAAACAAACTGTGTATCATATCCGGTTCCAAAACTGGAAACCAAGGTCTTCAAATGTGTGGTCAGTGTACAAATAATACTTAACATCACACATACAATTATGTGTAAGGTACGAGGGTCAGAGTGACAAAAATACTGTAAATCTGGAAAGTTTTGTTACCCCATTGATATGACTATCAACGATCTTTGCATGTGTTATTCTGTTATCAGTAGACGATATAATTAAGTGTCATTTTAAAGTAGCATGTGTTGTAGTTCAGGAAGGTTGGCTGGCATGTTTATCACGGTACGGACAGGTTCCTGCCCGGTTTAAGATATTCAGCGTGACGAGGTGTGGTAGGTCAGTACACATCCCTGATTGGAAATTGTGTAATCATGCATTTTTAAGGAAACAGGAAGTCAAGGAGAATTTTTTTATGGGTTGCCAATGTGTGGCAGTAAATAAAGGAATATAGTTCCTTATGTCATTTGTTTGTTTTTGGTCTGGAAATAGCTGTGCTAGGAACTACTGCCAGGATGTGTGTCACTTGCACATTCCACAATACTTTCCTGTTTGCAACGTCCTCCAGATTTACAGTACTTGATGTCAGGTTTGTATATTCTACACATAAAACAACCATTCATGAAGACTACATGATTATTCAGAAATCTGACAATATGTTCCCATAGCCTCATCTGATCCATAAAAAATGTAGCACATGTTTAACAATGTAACAAAGTTCACAGAACCAAGACAACAATGATTGTGAAGATGGTGGTATAAATGTGATACCAACCAAATGGTCAATACTGGTCAACTGAACCTTTGAGGTCAAACTCAGACTGATATTATGAACATTATTCTCATTATGAACTAAGAAAAAATAAATTCTTTCACCAAACAAAAGTTTCATGATGACATTTTGTGCACAAATATATTTCAGTAAATCCTAATTTGACACCCTCTTAAAAAGTTACAATGCAATATGTTTTGGCTTATGTTTTCAATCTAGAGTGAGTGCACAAAATGATTTCAGAAAGTCCAGGTTAAAGTGTGTGAGGTATGACCATCTGTAAGATCCTGGACAAACAGTCTATGAACTATATAAGAATGTATCCCTCTATGTGAAGTCATGTGACAGTCATGTGCACAGCAATAGTTCCACAAAGTATTGTATTCCCAGTGTTAACTCAGGTGATCTCAGACTGAGTTAATGAATCATTTGAATGAAGTTATGTCCTTTCAAATATGTGGCGAGTGGCTGTTTTTACCATCACTTTTTAGCTTAACGCTCATCACCTATCACGGTCAGCCACATACAATCTTGGAACCATGCCATACCAGTATGACCAGTGCAGTGTTTCCGTTCTCCGGTATATACCTGAAAATCGCCGGTAAAATTTGTTAGGAACCGGTAAATTGAAAGCCAGCCGGACACTGTGTGCGGTAAATAATCATGTATTAAAATAAAAACATCATGGGTAAGCGAAATGACAGTCTTGGCTGTGCTTTCATGGTCACAAAAACTGTTATGTTTTGGAAATACCCAGGCGAAAAATAACTTTAAAATGAGTACTTACAGTATGGTAATAGGATATGACCGGCAAATTTCATTCATGACCAGTAAAATTTTAGGTCACCAGACACAGTGTCCGATAAATAATGAAGTCATCGGAAACACTGCCAGAAATTAATCAGTCTGTTTCAGTAACGGTTTGTTCAGAAATGTTCTTATTTTGTACTTCTTATTGTGGTCAACTTAGTTTTAATTACCTCAGTTTTCCTGGACATTCTTTTTCATACTGCATCATTTGTTATTGTAACTATGCAACTCACTCACTCACTGACCACTGACAGAGGAGTAAGCGTAGCATGAAGACTTCTATGAGATATGGACCAATAATGCAGAAGATATATATGAGATGCCCTCTTTGTGTATTTCTGAAATTCTTACAACCGACAGAATCCAATGAGTAAATACAAAATACGATAAAACGATGTGAGGTGAGTATCCTCAGCTTCCCACAACCAGGAAGCTGCTCCAAGCCCAGCATGAAAACCATGGCAAGATGGGTTGGTCTCGTGTATCTCCATCTTCCCACAACCAGGAAGCTGCTCCAAGCCCAGCATGAATACCATGGCAAGATGGACTGGTCTTGTCAATCTCCATCTTCCCACAACCAGGAAGCTGCTCCAAGCCCAGCATGAATACCATGGCAAGATGGACTGGTCTTGTCAATCTCCATCTTCCCACAACCAGGAAGCAGTTCCAAGCCCAGCATGAATACCATGGCAAGATGGGTTGGTCTTGTGTATCTCCATCTTCCCACAACCACGAAGCTGCTCCAAGCCCAGCATGAATACCATGGCAAGATGGACTGGTCTTGTGTATCTCCATCTTCCCACAACCAGGAAGCTGCTCCAAGCCCAGCATGAATACCATGGCAAGATGGACTGGTCTTGTATCTCCATCTCCCACAACAACCGAAGCTGCTCCAAGCCCAGCATGAATACCATGGCAAGATGGACTGGTCTTGTCAATCTCCATCTTCCCACAACCACGAAGCTGCTCCAAGCCCAGCATGAATACCATGGCAAGATGGACTGGGTCTCCATCTTCCCACAACCATCTCCATCTTCCCACAACCATCTTCCCACAACCAGGAAGCTGCTCCAAGCCCAGCATGAATACCATGGCAAGATGGGTTGGTCTTGTGTATCTCCATCTTCCCACAACCACGAAGCTGCTCCAAGCCCAGCATGAATACCATGGCAAGATGGACTGGTCTTGTGTATCTCCATCTTCCCACAACCACGAAGCTGCTCCAAGCCCAGCATGAATATCATGGCAAGATGGGTTGGTCTTTTGTATCTCCATCTTCCCACAACCACGAAGCTGCTCCAAGCCCAGCATGAATACCATGGCAAGATGGACTGGTCTTGTGTATCTCCATCTTCCCACAACCACGAAGCTGCTCCAAGCCCAGCATGAATACCATGGCAAGATGGGTTGGTCTTGTGTATCTCCATCTTCCCACAACCACGAAGCTGCTCCAAGCCCAGCATGAATACCATGGCAAGATGGACTGGTCTTGTCAATCTCCATCTTTCCCACAACCAGCATGAATACCATGGAGATGGACTGGCTGTCAATCTCCATCTTCCAAGCCCAGCATGAATACCATGGCAAGATGGGTTGGTCTTGTGTATCTCCATCTTCCCACAACCACGAAGCTGCTCCAAGCCCAGCATGAATACCATGGCAAGATGGACTGGTCTTGTCAATCTCCATCTTCCCACAACCAGGAAGCAGTTCCAAGCCCAGCATGAATACCATGGCAAGATGGGTTGGTCTCGTGTATCTCCATCTTCCCACAACCACGAAGCTGCTCCAAGCCCAGCATGAATATCATGGCAAGATGGACTGGTCTTGTGCTACACAAGGACAACATGTCTATCACAACACACACACAAAATATACTTAACATACTACACTCAATAACAAAATCATAATACAAATGGTCGACTCCTCAACCCTATCCATCACAGAAAACTATTTAATACACCAACTCAAATTACAGTTGCTAAAATAACTAACTTTCTATTTGAACCTGGATATAAAGAAACAGGACAGTTATATGTCTTCACCTTTGGTCATATAAAGGTTTATAGAAACACCTCCAGCATATTCATCTCACAAACAATACGAGTATATAACGCCTGCTTCAAGTCTTGCCAAACAAAGAATTCCTCACAACAAAGCACTCCTAAATGCCAAAAGATCACAACTCTCTTAAAGTTAACGTATCTGAGTTAGTGAGTAGTTTAGTTTTACGCCGCACTCAGCAATATTCCAGCTATATGGCGGCGGTCTGTACATAATCGAGTCTGGACCAGACAATCCAGTAATCAACAGCATGAGCATCGATCTGCACAATTGGGAACCGATGACATGTGTCAACCAAGTCAGCGAGCCTGACCACCCAATCCCGTTATTCGCCTCTTACGACAAGCATGGGTTACTGAATATCAATATTCTAACCTGGACATTCACGGGTCTAACGTATCTGAACTGGGTGACACTTACATCATTTTGATTGTGTGGTCAAAGTTCAGTACAAGTCAACATGATGTAACCGTCTATAGAGATGTCCCTGTACCTTCATATATCTTAACTCACTCACTCATACAGAATGGTAGCACATCAGGACAAATCTGATTTCAACAGACATTCTGAAACAGTAGTGTTTTGGGGTTTTTTTTGTGTGAATCAATCACAAGTGTTAAACAAGAGGACCATTATCCAAAAGACTCACTGTTAATAAGCAGGCTAGCTATTTCGAAACGTTCTTGGCCATTACTTAACTTCTTAAGCCCATTCTTACACAGTGCATACATAAAGTTACGAATTCTTAGGGCTACTTAACGCTTTGGAGAATAAGGGCCCAGGTCTATACATAAATGTCAAGCACAAGTGTTAAACAAGGGCCATTTTTTGACAGAATCACCATAAACAACAGATCTGTACATAATGCCTACACAAAGTAAAGTAGAAAACCTTACCATGACCATTCAGCCATTTAAGCTTGAAATGTTATGATAACATAAGAGCTAAAAGAGAAACACTAAAGATATCATGCCACTTGTGTTGTTATTCCATATAAATCCATATACCCTCGGACAATATTATCATCAAAAACACTTTCTGAACCATTGTGATGTCATCATTACCATGACCTCACAATCAAATGACATGAGTAATCGCGCTGCACTGCAACTGTTTACACTCAACACACTGTTATTACTCTTTCTAAACAGAAAATACTTAGAAGAGTGACTTGTTTAAAACTCTGAAATAAGTCTTAAGACCACCATATTCTGAGGGAAATGTTTGCCAGGAATTTAAAAAAGAAATAAGAAAGAAAAAAAACATGAACAGAAAAAGAAATATTACTTTGGTCAGTTCATAAATATTGCCCAGCTACAATATGCTGGCCTACTACCTCTCAGGCTACATGTAAGGGCACGATGAGATCCTATTGTGTGTAGTCACACCAACATACATGTTCAGCTGGAGATTAGTTTAACAGCAGTTTACAGCATTCAGCTACATCTTGGGGTCTGCAAATTTGGCTGACTAAATTAAACTGCACTGACAAAACCAGTTTGCATCATGGTCATACATTTACTAAAGTTAAAGACATAGGCAGGTCTGCCGTCAGTTAATCAATGACATACATGCTGTAAAACATAATGGGAGTAACACCAGGTTGATGATGTGAAACCCACGAAGGTATGACAATTACACATAACACAGAGTAGTCAGGCCAATAAAGGTAATGTATCATTCACGGCAAATGGTTCAATAATTTGCACACGTGGATGTCTTATAAGCTACACTGAGCCTGTGGATAACAGGACCTCCTCTTTGGATCAACTAAGGTCTGTACTGAATACTTTGATTTGACTGTTCTGCCAACTATATGTGGTTGTTTTATTACCTGCATATCATTTAACAGTAGGTTCATGTATGAAGGTTAAACTCTGCTTCTGCTAAGTCTTAAGGTTGGAGAGTAAGTGAGTGAGTTTAGTTTTACGTCGCACTCAACAATATTTCAGCTATATGGCGGCAGTCTGTAAATATTCGAGTCTGGACCAGGCAATCCAGTGATCAACAGCATGAGCATCCATCTACACTACTGGGACAAGATGACATGTGTCAACCAAGTCAGCGAGCCTGACCACCCAATCCTGTTACTCGCCTCTTTTACGACAAGCATGGATTACTGAAGATCAATTCTAACCCGGATCTTCACGGGTCAAAGGTTGGAGACAAAGAAAATGATTAAAAAGTCCATGAGTGAAAGAACACAGTTGGTATATGTCCAATAAATAAAGCGTCACAGACAATTCTGGCAAAGTCCATGACGATAGGAGAGGAGGTTTGATTGATCAGATCGAGATATAACAGCCAATGGCTGAAATTTTGTTGACACCATTAGCAACACAACACGTGAGCACACAGGTATTTACAGGGTGGACAATCGGTTTGAGCTGACTACATGTCTTACAATATGATTACCAATGCGATCTTAGCGCCAAGATAACCATAACTCTCACAAATTCATATTAACTAATGAGTGAGTGAGTGAGTTTGGTTTTACGCTTTTTAGCAATATTCCAGCAATATCATGGCGTGGGACACCAGGAATGGGCTTCACACACTGTACCCATGTAGGGAATCGAACCCGGGTCTTCGGCGTGCTGAGGGACACTTTAACCACTAGACTACCCCACCGCCCTCCTACTCACATATGAGACTATTACCCTATTAACTAATGACATTCATAGCACTAAGATTGCTTTGTGAAACATACCATAGAACTAAGATCATTAACATTGGCTTATGACATTTATAGTGCTAAGATCGCCTTTTGAACAAGACTTAGAACTAAGATCTTTGTGCTGAGAAGATTGTGACACCCCTTTTTCAACACTGAATTACGACATCCATAGCGCTAAGATCGCATTGTAGAGCAACAGGATCCAGGACAATGATCCACAGGGTTAGAGCCATTGCTTGATATTGTGGAAAAACCAGTCAAACTTTGTGGTCCATGAATCTCCATATGCATTCCCGAATTGTTCCATGAAGTACTTCACAGCCTCCTTCTCAGTCTTCTCCACTGCCAGAGTCTTTCGAATGTAGCCTATGTCATCTAGAGACTGAAGCTCTGGGATTCCGCACGACAACATCAGCGTGAACAGAGTGATGAACAGGTGGGCATGTTTCCGCAGGAACACGTAGGCAGATATACACAGCTTCTGGAACCTGCAATCAGAACAATAATAAATAAACAAAATAAAACAAAACCCCAATAAACAGGAAGTGGGAGTGTGACCTTTAGTCAGGATACCATCAGGGTGCCGTTGTACAAAACAACCTTAGCGCTGAGACTGTCGTAAGTCTGTGTTACGATATGGGAGTTACGTTCAAGTCTGTGTTACGATATGGGAGTTACTAAGATGGTCACCTCCATTACATTAGGGTTGTTTTGTACAACTTCCAAATCCTGGACAACAAGTGTGAACATACCCTACTCCGACGGATGGATTACTGACTGAGACAAAGCCTTTCAAGTTTACTCTTAACAAATACTGACATATCTCTCTTAGTAAGAGGGCTCCTTTCCACAAAGTGATCTTAGTCCTATGTAAGTCGTAAATGTATGTAAAGAACAGGAGTCATGACTGTTTAAGCAGTAAGATCAGTCCATGGAATGGGACTCAGAGGTAATTCTACTCTGGCTACAGAGTCTTAGTTGAAACTGACTACTAAATCTTCATATATTACTCAGCAGGTACAAGCATAGAGTAATCGGGACATAGTTGGTTCCTGGTGAGTGAAAGCATGAATAACATATACATCATCTTGGCATGATGGCACAAAACATGATCCTGACCACCTGAAAATCAGCTGTTACAACATCCCTCAGATCGGTCAATTTTAATTACACTGCTTACATACTATATCACAAACCTAACAAGAAAACCCTTTATTTTTTTCAAAATGGCTGCTATGATGGCCATCTTGAAAATCAGAAATATAAAAATCAAAATCAGAAAACCTCTTTGGAGAAATCATGATGTCATCTATGGTTGGAACAAGAGTGTGAAGTTTCAGCTTCATTGGTCTGGTAGATTCCAAGGAGAATATGGATAAAAAAACCCCAAAACCAGGCTACAAAACAACCCTACTCAGGACAATATCTTTCTTACCGTTCATACTCTTCCTGTTTTGATGGCTGGTCTGCACCCTTAGCTATCACACTCGGATGAAATCCTCAGTCAGGACAAATGGAACACGTTCTCTGTTGATCCCAAACTTTTTCTTTTTGTGATCCAAAAAATGACCGAAGTCAATGTGGAATACCTGCAAAGTAACAGAAACAACAGCTATTTACAGTGTTATTGTTGGAGGACTATCAGAGTTGTTAAACCTTCAAAGTGAGTGAGTGAGTTGAGTTATTCCACTTTTATCAAGGCATGTCAGGGTGAGCATGTGAGTGAGCATAGTTTTAAGCCGCTTTTAGTAATCTTCCATCGATATCATGCCAAGGAACACCAGAAATAGACATTGTGGGGCATCAAACCCTGGTCTTTAGTGAGTGAGTGAGTGAGTATATTTTTACGGCGCTTTTAGCAATATTCCAGCAATATCACGGCAGGGGACACCAGATATGGACTTCACACATTGTACCCATGTGGGGAATCGAACCTGGGTCTTCTGCGTGACGGGCGAATGCTTTAACCCATAGGCTACCCGAGTGAACACTTTAACCACTAGGCTACCCCACTGCCATCCCCTGGTCTTTAAGCATGAGTGAACACTTTAACCACTAGGCTACCCCACTGCCACCCCCTGGTCTTTAAGCATGAGTGAACACTTTAACCACTAGGCTACCCCACTGCCACCCCATGAGTGTAGGCTACCCCACTGCCACCCCTGGTCTTTAAGCTGGTGAACACTTTAACCACTAGGCTACCCCACTGCCACCCCCTGGTCTTTAAGCATGAGTGAACACTTTAACCACTAGGCTACCCCACTGCCACCCCTGGTCTTTAAGCTGATGAGTGAACACTTTAACCACTAGGCTACCCCACTGCCACCCCTGGTCTTTAAGCATGACCCCTGGTCTTTAAGTGAACACTTTAACCACTAGGCTACCCCACTGCCACCCCCTGGTCTTTAAGCATGAGTGAACACTTTAACCACTAGGCTACCCCACTGCCACCCCCTGGTCTTTAAGCATGAGTGAACACTTTTAACCCATAGGCTGCCCCACTGCCACCCCTGGTCTTTAAGCATGAGTGAACACTTTAACCACTAGGGCTACCCCCTGGTCCATGGTGAACACTTTGCCACCCCCTGGTCTTTAAGCATGAGTGAACACTTTAACCCATAGGCTACCCATAGGCTGCCACTGCCCCCCTGGTCTTTAAGCATGAGTGAACACTTTAACCACTAGGCTACCCCACTGCCACCCCTGGTCTTTAAGCATGAGTGAACACTTTAACACATAGGCTACCCCACTGCCACCCCCTGGTCTTTAAGCATGAGTGAACACTTTAACCCATAGGCTACCCCACTGCCACCCCCTGGTCTTTAAGCATGAGTGAACACTTTAACCACTACCCTACCCCACTGCCACCCCTGCCACCCCCTGGTCTTTAAGCATGAGTGAACACTTTAACCGGCTAGGCTACCCCACTGCCAGCCCCTGGTCTTTAAGCATGAGTGAACACTTTCACCCATAGGCTGCCCCCACTGCCACCCCTGGTCTTTAAGCATGAGTGAACACTTTAACCACTAGGCTACCCCACTGCCACCCCCTGGTCTTTAAGCATGAGTGAACACTTTAACCCATAGGCTACCCCACTGCCACCCCCTGGTCTTTAAGCATGAGTGAACACTTTAACCACTAGGCTACCCCACTGCCACCCCCTGGTCTTTAAGCATGAGTGAACACTTTCACACATAGGCTACCCCACTGCCACCCCCTGGTCTTTAAGCATGAGTGAACACTTTAACCACTAGGCTACCCCACTGCCACCCCCCTGGTCTTTAAGCATGAGTGAACACTTTAACCACTGGGCTACCCCACTGCCACCCCCTGGTCTTTAAGCATGAGTGAACACTTTAACCACTAGGCTACCCCACTGCCACCCCCTGGTCTTTAAGCATGAGTGAACACCTTTACCACTAGGCTACCCCACTGCCACCCCCTGGTCTTTAAGCATGAGTGAACACTTTAACCCATAGGCTACCCCACTGCCACCCCCTGGTCTTTAAGCATGAGTGAACACTTTAACCCATAGGCTACCCCACTGCCACCCCCTTGTCTTTAAGCATGAGTGAACACTTTAACCCATAGGCTACCCCACTGCCACCCCCTGGTCTTTAAGCATGAGTGAACACTTTAACCCATAGGCTACCCCACTGCCACCCCCTGGTCTTTAAGCATGAGTGAACACTTTTACCACTAGGCTACCCCACTGCCACCCCCTGGTCTTTAAGCATGAGGGAACACTTTAACCCATAGGCTACCCCACTGCCACCCCCCTGGCCTTTAAGCATGAGTGAACACCTTTACCACTAGGCTACCCCACTGCCAGCCCCTGGTCTTTAAGCATGAGTGAACACCTTTACCACTAGGATTCCCCACTGCCACCCCCTGGTCTTTAAGCATGAGTGAACACTTTAACCCATAGGCTACCCCACTGCCACCCCCTGGTCTTTTAGCATGAGTGAACACCTTTACACACTAGGCTACCCCACTGCCACCCCCTGGTCTTTAAGCATGAGTGAACACTTTAACCCATAGGCTACCCCACTGCCACCCCTGGTCTTTAAGCATGAGTGAACACTTTCACCCATAGGCTACCCCACTGCCACCCCTGGTCTTTAAGCATGAGTGAACACTTTAACCCATAGGCTACCCCACTGCCACCCCTGGTCTTTAAGCATGAATGAACACTTTAACCCATAGGCTACCCCACTGCCACCCCTGGTCTTTAAGCATGAGTGAACACTTTAACCCATAGGCTACCCCACTGCCACCCCCTGGCCTTTAAGCATGAGTGAACACTTTAACCACTGGGCTACCCCACTGCCACCCCCTGGTCTTTAAGCATGAGTGAACACTTTAACCACTAGGCTACCCCACTGTCACCCCCTGGTCTTTAAGCATGAGTGAACACTTTAACCACTAGGCTACCCCACTGCCCTCCCCTGGTCTTTAAGCATGAGTGAACACTTTTACCACTAGGCTACCCCACTGCCACCCCCTGGTCTTTAAGCATGAGGGAACACTTTAACCCATAGGCTACCCCACTGCCACCCCCCTGGCCTTTAAGCATGAGTGAACACCTTTACCACTAGGCTACCCCACTGCCAGCCCCTGGTCTTTAAGCATGAGTGAACACTTTTACCACTAGGCTACCCCACTGCCACCCCCTGGTCTTTAAGCATGAGTGAACACCTTTACCACTAGGCTACCCCACTGCCAGCCCCTGGTCTTTAAGCATGAGTGAACACTTTTACCACTAGGCTACCCCACTGCCACCCCTGGTCTTTAAGCATGAGTGAACACTTTAACCCATAGGCTACCCCACTGCCACCCCCTGGTCTTTAAGCATGAGTGAACACTTTTACCACTAGGCTACCCCACTGCCACCCCCTGGTCTTTAAGCATGAGTGAACACTTTAACCACTAGGCTACCCCACTGCCACCCCTGGTCTTTAAGCATGAGTGAACACTTTAACCACTAGGCTACCCCACTGCCACCCCCTGGTCTTTAAGCATGAGTGAACACTTTAACCCATAGGCTACCCCACTGCCATCCCCTGGTCTTTAAGCATGAGGAGTGAACACTTTAACCACTGGGCTACCCCACTGCCACCCCCTGGTCTTTAAGCATGAGTGAACACTTTAACCCATAGGCTACCCCACTGCCACCCCCTGGTCTTTAAGCATGAGTGAACACTTTAACCACTAGGCTACCCCACTGCCACCCCCTGGTCTTTAAGCATGAGTGAACACTTTAACCCATAGGCTACCCCACTGCCACCCCCCTGGCCTTTAAGCATGAGTGAACACTTTAACCACTGGGCTACCCCACTGCCACCCCCTGGTCTTTAAGCATGAGTGAACACTGTAACCACTAGGCTACCCCACTGCCAGCCCCTGGTCTTTAAGCATGAGTGAACACTTTAACCACTAGGCTACCCCACTGCCACCCCCTGGTCTTTAAGCATGAGTGAACACTTTAACCCATAGGCTACCCCACTGCCAACCCCTGGTCTTTAAGCATGAGTGAACACTTTAACCCATAGGCTACCCCACTGCCACCCCCTGGTCTTTAAGCATGAGTGAACACTTTAACCACTAGGCTACCCCACTGCCACCCCCTGGTCTTTAAGCATGAGTGAACACTTTAACCCATAGGCTACCCCCTGCCACCCCCCTGGCCTTTAAGCATGAGTGAACACTTTCACACATAGGCTACCCCACTGCCACCCCCTGGTCTTTAAGCATGAGTGAACACTTTAACCCATAGGCTACCCCACTGCCACCCCCTGGTCTTTAAGCATGAGTGAACACTTTAACCCATAGGCTACCCCACTGCCACCCCCTGGTCTTTAAGTATGAGGGGTGAACACTTTAACCACTGGGCTACCCCAGCCTATGTCAGTTTGATGTTGGATAAAAGCCTGGCAAACATTAAGAGAAAGAAAACATCATTAACAGTTTATATATAACAATGTAGTTGCTAAAAATGATGATGTAGTTGCCAAAAGTAATGGTGTAACAATATCATGATGCACACCTGTCCTTCTTCTGTCACCATGATGTTTTCAGGATGCCTGTCGCCGATGCCCAGAACGAACGTGGCGACACAGTAGCCTGCACATGACCTTGTAAATGCGTCGATTGCTTGGTCATATCTGTAAGGAAGGCAGTGATATAAACATGCTATGCAGACATAACACAAAGCTTCTCTTTGTCAAAATGATATCCAAGAAAGTGATTCTGTTTGTTGCCCTCTTCAGGAGGTGAGGTGAGGTGAAATTGGGTTTAACGTCGTGCTTGAGCATATTTCGCTCATATGACGACGTGCATGTGTGTGTATGTGTATGTGTATGTGCGGCTGCTTGTACTAGTCCAGACTTAAGCTGGTTTTATAGTGCTAGCCCACTGAGATACCATGCCGCAGTGAAGCATGAATACCCCACTCAGACACATTATACTGACTCCGAGACGACCAGTCCTTTTTGTACCCATCAATGCCGAGAGCCAGGCAGGGACCAACAAGAACCATATTTTAACGTCTTTTGGTATGACGCGGTCGGGGATCGAACCCGTGACCTTCCGCTCTCCGGGCGGACGCTCTAACCCCTACACCACAGAGGCGGTCCCCTCTTCAGGAACTTTCCATGATGATGTACATGACGATGAACCTAACCGTGGAAATGAAACCAAGAAGTACCTGTCTGCATTCTTCTCCTTGATCCAGCGGTGAAGCTGTGAAGAATCCATCTGAATGGCGGCCCGAGTTCCTCCCCGAGACTGTATCGATGTGATCGTCTTGGCATTCCGAACAACCTGAATCAGACCCACATCCTTCCCTGTTGCCAAACATCCATAGGGAATCATCCTGAAATTACATGAAAGTTTGTGGTACATATGGCATGTATTCAAACCTGGATCAAAGCACACAACAATTGGACTTGATTTCAGAGTGAGTGAGTTTATTTTACGCCACACTCAGCAATATTCCAGCTATATGGCAGTGATCTGTAAATGATCAAGTATGGACCAGACAATCCAGTGACCAACAGCATGAGCATCAATCTATGCAACTGGTATACCATGACATGTGTCAACCAAGTCAGCGACCCTGACCACCCAATCCCATAAGTCGTCTCTTACAAAAAGCATGGGTCACTGGCGACACATGAACATGACATAATTTTGAGCAGTTCCTACAAATTATCACAGAACACTGAAAATCTGTGTTGACCATATGCAGATATCTGTGGACCCACCTGAGGTCCAGGCCTTCAGCCTTCCAGATGGTGTCCATCAGCCGTATCACCTGGAGAGTCAGCATGTCCTGTCTCAGATCTGGGACAACAATCAGGATATTCTCAAAGAATTTGTTCATTTGCAACATAAGCTGTTTGTGAGATGCTTGTTAGATGTTGTATATTTTGTACTCAAGCTTTATTACATTAGCCTCTAAATGATCAAGTCTGGATCAGACAAACCAGTGACTGATGTTACGAGCAACGACCCACTCCATTAGGATATCAAACTTGCAACGATGTCACTGGACCCGACAACTCGATCCATTTCGTAGCCTTAAACAACAAGCATAGGTTGCTGTGGACCTACCATATTTCCTCTAATAACCTGGTGTAATTCAGCCAGATCCAGCCTAATAGTGTTTATTAATTCAAGTTTCAATGGAAATAAATATAGATTCTCCATTGGTTTATTTATTATTGATTTATTTCATTTGAAACTGCATTGGAAACATGTGGCACACCTATCACTGTGAGTTGTTTACTCACAGCGCTTATTAGAGATCCGGTGCTTATTAGAGTATTCTAAACAGGAATTGCAGTAAGCCTTAAACTGAAGTGGACCCAACAGGATGAAGCTCACACGTTCCTTATTCCAACTCTGCCATACACTAACACTGACTGACTGACTGAGTTTGGTTTTACGCCGCTTTTAGCAATATTCCAGCAACATCACGGCGGGGGACACCAGAAATGGGCTTCACACATTGTACCCATGTGGGGATTCGAACCCGGGTCTTCGGCTTGACGAGCCAATGCTTTAACCATTAGGCTACCCCACCGCCCCCATACACTAACACAGCTTATTAGGACTTGTTAGTTTTAATGAAAATATCTGGCCAGATCTGTCATCACAAATAAAGGCTTACCATCACCATTCTTGAACATAAGTCTGTAGTCCGCCTCATGCACGTCTCTCATAGGGTCAGGGTTACTCCACACCAACCACAGGGGGCGCTTCTTGGACGTCATGACGCGGCAGTCAGCTTGTCTAGAAATGGTGGTATCAACAATAAAACCTATATCATACATGTACATGGGGTGAGGTGTGGAGTGCAGTGTGGGGACTTACATTATTATCTCCACCAGGATGTGGGCCTGGTTAAGGGCGGAGGGGGAGTGCTGATGGAGAGAGAGAGAGAGAGAGATAGAATGAGAGCGAAAGAGAGGAGAGTGTGTGAGAGCGAGTGAGAGAAAAGAGAGAGAGAAGCGTGTGTGAGAGGGAGAGAGAGAGAGCAAAGAGAGAAGAGTGAGTGTGTGTGAGAGAAAGAGTGAGAGATTGTGAGCAAGAGAAAGAAAAAGGAGAGAAAGAGAGAGAGAGAGAGAGAGTGATTGTGTGAGAGAGAGAGCAAGAAAAAGAGAGAGAGAAAAAGAGAGAGAGAGAGAGAAGAGAGACTAAGACTTACATGACCTCCCCAAGGACATGTGCCGTGTTGAGAGGGGAGATGATGCTCTGGAGCGCCTCCTGGTAGTCGGGCTGCTGCAGCTGTTCCTGCAGGAACTTCATCTGCTCATCCTGAAACACGACAACTACGTAACAGAGACAAACAAGGAGCTTCTGAGCCAAGACACGGCTAACCTGGAGATGCTTCGACTGATCAAGCACAACTAGACTTTCTTTTTTTCCAAAGCCTATCCCTAAAATCAATCTTTCTGTCATCAATTTCAATGTATACTTATTTTACTATTTTATCCTCTGTATGCATTGTATGTATGCTTTTATGTAGCGCCTTGAGCATGTATCAGTGGGTGGAAAATGGCGCGCTAAAAAATGAAATTTTTAGAGTAAAATTAATATTTTTATACTTATCCTGACTCATTATTATTATTATTATTAACTACCAGACTACCGGGCTAAGGTCAGCCTACATATGTTGGTTTTCTTATTCCATGCCACACACTATTCACTCTAGTCCACTAGCTGGGTCTACCAACTTGTGCTGAGGAACAGTAAAACTACAAGGATGGTTATCCTCATACACAGGTGTCACTTGAAGTAATAATTTGGAACCAGTTCTCAATGCTTTCAGTTTTGATACAAATAGCAACTGATTATAACTCATACAACAGAAAATGTAAAACAATGTCCGCCTTTTTCTAACATTCCAGGTAGAATAGCTTTAAAGCATAGCCAGTGGTTCACTGAAATAATGACCAGTGTATAAATTACACCCAAGTAACTAAGTCTCAGTTATGTTTAAGTAGATGTTGAAGATCTACAGACAAGTCAAGGGTAAATATAATGGCTGCCCAAACCAACAAGTATCAGACCTTTAACATGGTTTGTATCTAATTGAACACCTTTGACCATCACCAGAAGAGACTATGGGCATACTTACATCTTTGACCTCTGACTTGAGCATGTCAGTGAGTTTAGTTAGCTTTTCTAATGCCTCCACCTGTCGACTCAGTGTCTTCAGGAACGACCCACATCCTCGACAGTACGCCTCTAACATCAGGCCAAACCTCAGCCGAGATGATGTCTGGTGCATCTCAGATCTGTAGTGAGAAGTTTGATTGTCTATGTGCCTACATTCAACTCCACAACAATGCAGGAAGGTTAGACACACACACTTCAAATATGATACATTAGTTTAAGAAAGTACCCACTATTTTCAATTTCGTTTAAGGGAATTTTATAACAATATTTTGGGGGATGTGTGGGATTGGTTATGGAAGGGGCACCACTGACGACATATTTAACATTGTACCCATAAATATGAGCGGGATTCAAATCTGGGTTCTCATGCAGAAGACATTAGGCCATAATTAAACTAATAATTGTTTCATTTTCAGTCTCTTCATGAGAGCCAGATTGTTCCTGAACTCTTCCCACTGCCAGGTCAATTACACCGTGGTGGACGTACTTGAGATGCCAGAAGAAGAAGTTTCCTATCCTCTGGGACAGAAGGGCTCTCTTCAGTAGGAACTTTGTCATTGGATTGTCCATATACGGTTCATACTTCATTGCCTGAAACAATATTAAAGTACCAAGATGAAAAATAACAAAACAAACCGTCAACATTCGTGGAGTGTCCGTTTCTGGATACACTCATCCATATTCCAGCTTATGACTGCAGCCTGTATAAAATCTAGTGATTGATATAATAAGCAACGTCCCACACTGTCCGGTTACACGTCACACAATCAACAAAGTCACAGAGTGTGACCTCCCCATCATTCAGTCAGTTCACACAACAAGCACTGTCTGTTGTGACCACACTCTGAACCAACATTTAACTTAACAACGGAAATTCTGCACATTAGTGAGTGAGTGAGTTTAGTTTTACGCCGCCGCCAGCAATATTCCAGCTATATGGCGGCGGTCTGTAAATAATCGAGTCTGGACCAGACAATCCAGTGATCAACAGCATGAGCATCGATCTGCGCAATTGGGAACCGATGACATGTGTCAACCAAGTCAGCGATCCTGACCACCCGATCCCGTTAGTCGCCTATTACGACAAGCATAGTCGCCATGAAGGTTACTTACTGCATCCAACAGCAGTGGGTGAGTGAGTTCTGATAACACCACCTTTGAACAGTTTTCCAGTTACATAAAGATGTGTCAACATGTTGGTGGAGAGCCTGAAGTAATCCTGGCCTTCGATGTTCACCAGTTACCATAGTTACAAATAGCTAATAGTCTGTGACTATTGAAAATCTACTGAGACTAGTTGTTCCCGTCAATAGTCACGTTATATAATGCAACCAGTAGAAATGAGCCGTGGATACAACCACTGGTGTATATGGTGGCATGACTAAGGGAGGCAACTCTGCACAACAGTCTCTCTGGGGATTGTGTGACCATATTCCCTTCCAACAGTCTAAGATAACATGAGAATGAGTCCCTACCTGCACAAGCTGCAGTAGATACTGCGACAGTTTGTCGTCACGGAGACCGCGGTCCAGACAGATAACATGAGAATGAGTCCCTACCTGCACAAGCTGCAGAAGATACTGTGACAGTTTGTCGTCACGGAGACCGCGGTCCAGGCATTCCACGGCAAACTGTCGGACCCTCAGGTCGGAGTAGGAGCAGTCCAACAGTTCCAAGGCCACCTCCGGCAGGACCGAGGGCCATCTTCTCAACAACACATACAGCTGAAATAAATGGGAACTACAGTCAAACACCATTGAGTCAAAGTTGAAGGGGGCTACATAGATATTTCAAGTTATCCAAGGTCGACCATCTCCTTATAACACATAAGCAGAAATAAAGAGGTACACCAGGAATCATACCAACAGTCTGGACTACACTGAATGCATGGTGCTGATCATGTTCTGAAACTTTTGGTAAGCTAACATTTTGTGTGCAAATAATCATCTGTCACAGTCTCCAATTTTGCATGAAAGAGCCCAGATGTATCCCAGGAAAAGGCTTATTTAACAAAACTGTCACCATGAAGACCAACCTGTGCTACATTTTCTCTGTCATTCCACTTCACAGAGGACAACAGCTTGGGCAGAGAGTGGGGCATTCCTAAACAAAGCTCCCTGAAACACAACCGCATATATTGAAGACACTGATACATACAAAAAACTTTAAGACACATGATGTCCAGCTGTACCTCAATGGACCTAAAATAATTTTGGACCACACAAACCAGTATAGGAGATGTTTAATGCTACTGGGCCATTATGACATACAAGTGCGTGAGTGAGTGAGTTTAGTTTTATGCCGCTTATGTGATGGAACAGCAGAAATGGGCTTCACACATTATATCTATATGGGATATCAAACCTGGGTCTTCATTCTGACGAGCGAACGCTTTAACCACTAGACTACCCCACCACTCCTTATAACATACAAGCACCACAAAACCTGACTTGGTCAACAACAAGCACGGGATGTTTGGGGCCTATTCTATCCCCACTGGGGCTCCTGGCACATGACAGTTTACAGATGACAATATCATCTTCCTTGGTCAGAAACCTGCCGAGTTGAAAGTAATCACTAACTTGGCAGTACTGTTTTAAAGGACATAGTTATGGAGATGCTCTTTCCTAATATCACATGGTCAGTGTGAATACAGTCGTATTACCTACCTCCTTTTCCACAAGAGTTCCTTGTCCTGCTCAGACAGATCTGACAGAGGGTCTTTACTGATGATGTCCTCCAGCATCTTCCTGTCACGTTCCAGCTCCTGTTTGGTGTCAATCTGAAACATAATTAACAGGTAATCTCCAGGTGAGGAATGGGCTGTGCATGAGTAAAGTGTTTTTGAAGCTGGAAACTTTGTTATAGAGGCATTTCAACATTGAATGGAGAAGGAATATATATGCAGTGTGAGATGGGATAAGTTTAAATATTCATTTTGTTGACATTTTTTAAACAAATTCATGTGATTACAGTCAAATAACATTACATGTAAAGTTTCTTTCTTTCAGAATTATTTGTAAACATAAACAAATGCTTTCATAAGTTTTACAGAACCACTTCAATTTTGTTAATGCTGCAAGAAATTGGCTCAATATTTCCAACTTCCTATGATGGTTTACAGAACCATGGATATGAAAACGTTCAATCTTAGAGTTATTTTCTGTTTTTATAACTTTATGGTTATACGCTGACACAGCCTGATTAGTATCATTGTAGGTGAAGGTCGTCTCGAGCACCTGGCTGTATGTATCCCGATGTGTGATGTGATTGGCCAGCTGTTCGAAGTGTGAGTCAGGGGGGTACCGTACAGGATGGCTGAATCTGTCAAACTCCAGCTCCAGACACGGACAGTCTTTGTCTGGGTTGGATCCTGGAATAGTGAGCCACAGTCAGCTACCTGATCACCTTACAGACGGGCCATTTGAAACAATTTCCACTGATTCCATACATACACAATCCTTTCCCTGAGGAGCTGAACTGGTACTTTTTGTTCTTTTTACAACCCTGATTTTTAATATATATTGTTCCAGTATGTTCTGGAAGACAAGGAGGAACATTAACGCACTGAAGAACAACAAATATCACTGTGAGAATCAAAGCTAGGTTTTCAGAATGACACGTAATCACCTTCAGTCACTTGCAGCCCCAGCCCCCAGTCAGCAGCTAGATAACTACCCCACATATATCCCCATTTTGTATGCCTGTCTTAGATGGTATATGAACATATATAACAAAACGTCTATGGTATTGATGGTAATGCTCAACATCTCTGAACTGAAAACAACTTAAAGATACTTTCTATATAAAGTTATTAAACCTAATTATGCTTCTTTTACCATCTTTACGAGTTACGAGTGTAAGAACACTCTAAGCCTAAAAGTTTCTACAGTATAAGTTATGGAGATCCTCTTTACAAGGGAGATACCAGTTCTCACAATGTTGCACCTGTCTTCATGTTATTCCCCAGTTGGTGCTAACCAGTTAACATGGTAGGATAACGTTCAAAACATGGAACCAAACCACTGATATACCTGGTGATCCGATGGGGTTAACCAAGTCGTCCATTCCTTGGGGCATGGGCCAGAGGTGGAGGCTGATCTTCTCTGACAGGAGACGGTCGTTGAAGTCAAACATCTGAAGGTTGCCCCACGCCAGAGCATAGTGGACCTGTTAGAATGTAGGGATATTAGTAACAGTTTTACAATATCACGGCAGGTGACACAAGAATGGGCTTGACACACTTGGATATCAAGCATGTTTAATCCACTAAGCAACCCAACATACATCTATTTACATATGACATTAAATATTAACTCACTCACTCACTCTATTTACATATTCCATCCCAGATCTTAAGTTTTACAGTCAGGAGTTGGATTTAAACTTTTTAAACAGTATTTCATCAAAATAATCTTGGAGGAAAACTCAAAGTGCTGCTGGTCTCAGATGTCTAGCAGCTTGGTTAAACCAATGAGGTGTGGGGGGTGTGGAGTTGATACTGTAGAATCATAATCAGAGCAAATGCAGCATTGGACCCTTAATCGTTCCAGCATCCCTGAGGGCTCAACTCTGCTCAAGACACAAATGGGAAGGGATTTCAAATTTGAAAGCTAAATGCTATCGAACTACGTGTTGACAAAAAAAAAAGGTGGCAAAGCTAAGAGTTTCCTCTGAACACACAACCCAGGTCTAACTACCATGCGTACAGCTTCACATGGTCTGAATACTTATTTTACTGATGTAGTTCAAAATGGCCGCTAATTTTCCCATTTTCGGGTAGTCATGATATAGATTGACTTCCGTAGACCTAACCGTTAAAGATAACGCCGACATGTATCGATGGAAAATTATTAGCTATGAATTTCCTACAATTTGATATATGACTTATGAGAATTGGAGAATTTTAAAAGAAGTTATGATGAAAAAAGTAGAAAAAATGATTTAATTTCTCACTCCTCCCCCCCCCCCATTATGAAAAATACAAGAAGACAAAGTCATCAATATCCCCCGCAATAACAAAATACTCTTCATGAATATGTCTACGAGTTATGTTTATGTCAAATGTTTTGGTGTGTATATAGCTAAGTGGAAGGAGAGTACTGAAAGGTTTCAAAGTTCTGCTCCAGAAAGGAGCACTACCACCAAATTCAGTTGAAGCCAAAGTTGTTGCCATGGAAACACAAAAAAACCCATTTTATTCAGAAATCCAAAACTACCAAAAGGCACCAGTTCACCACTAGACCTACCTATGCATGACTTTTTTTTTAAGATCTGCTCCGGAAAAGAGCACTACCACCAATTTCAGTCAAAGTGAAACTTGTTGCCATGGAAATGCCAAAAACACTTTATTCAGAAATCCAAAACTACCAAAAGGCACCAGTTCACCACCAGACCTATCTATTTACCACATTTGGTGAAGAAATAGTGAACGGTTTTAAAGTTCTGCTCCAGAAAAGAACACTACCACCAATTTCAGTCTGTGAAACTTGTTGCCATGGAAATGCAAAACATATTAGATTCAGAAATCCAAAACTACCAAAAGGCACCAGTAGACCACCAGATCTATCTATGTGCCAAGTTTGGTGAAGAAATAGTGAACGGTTTTAAAGTTCTGCTCTGTAAAAGAGCAGACCGCCTCCGTGGTGTAGTGGTTAGAGCGTCCGCCCAGAGAGCGGAAGGTCGCAGGTTCGAACCCCGGCCGCGCCATACCAAAAGACGTTAAAATATGGTACTTGTTGGTCCCTGCCTGGCGCTCGGCATTAATGGGTACAACAAGGACTGGTCGGCTCGGAGTCAGTATAATGTGTCTGAGTGGGGTATTCATGCTTCACTGCAGCATGGTATCTCAGTGGGCTAGCACTATAAAACCAGACACATACACACGCATGCACGTCGTCATATGAGCGAAATATTCTCAAGCACGACGTTAAACCCTATTTCACCTCACCTCACCTGTAAAAGAGCACTACCACCAATTTCAGTCTGTCAAACTTGTTGCCACGGAAATGCAAAATATATTATATTCAGAAATCCAAAACTACCAAAAGGCACCAGTAGACCACCAGATCTATCTATGTGCCAAGTTTGGTGAAGAAATATTGCATGGTTTTAGAGTTATGCTCTGGAAAAGACGCAGTCCATTTTAATACCCCCCGCAAAACGTGTTGTGGGGGATGATAAAAAATCTGCAGGTCTCTTGATCTTTATTTAATAAGAAGTGTATAAGCTACAATCATGCCAAATTTCATGCTTGTAACACAAAGTGCACAATTCAGTGAAAAAACTGCACTTATCCGCTAGGCTATTAGTTACACTAAAACATGCAGTATGTAGAAACTGTTTCTTGGCATCAGCATAACAAAGAAACAAAGGAAATTAGGCCAAATCTTACCAGGCAAGGCTGGTGCAACTGCTAAGTTACAGAGTGAAACATTCCCCTCGACAACTGTTTTCGTAAAACCCTTGGCTGATGTTAATGTTTGGACATTTTAAACTTTCCCTTTAGAATAAAATAATCCAACCTTCTTGTTCTTCCTCTTGGAGACAGAGCAAATTGAGAGACAGAGACGAGCACTGCGAGGGATGTCTGGAATGGGCAGGAACTCCAGCCACTGATCCCAGCGTGGATTGGTCGAGTCCACTTGCTGGGTGTTACGTGCTTCACACAGTGGCTCCGTCCCGTGGTACACGCATGCTTTCACGTAAATCTGACGAAAGAAGAAACAGGCAATAATAAGAATTGTCGAAAAAGAAAACCTGGAGCTTAGTTGCTGGGTTGGTGAGTGAGTGAGTATGATTTTACCGCGATTTTAGCAATATTCCAGCAATTTAACGGCAGGGGACACCACGAATGGGCTTCACACATTCTACCCATGTGGGCAATGGAACCCAGGCCTTCAGTGAGACGAGCCAATGCTTTAACCACTGGGCTACCCCACTGCCCCTGCTGGGTTGGTAAACTTGACAAAGCATGCATACCTTGCCCAGCTCCTTGACGTTGACGTATGTGGCACAGTTCATCTTTATCCTCAGCATGGCCTGAACATCCCACAGAGACACAGTCTGCTGGTTGTTGATCTCGTTTAGTGCCTGAATACCTAAAATTTAACCAAACCTGAAGAGGTTTTCAATTCTTCGAAGAGAGTCGTCCTTGGGGTACATATTATGCATTTTCCAAGCTGAAAATGTCCTGTGACAGTTGTATCAATGTTTTTTGAATAAAAAGATTGTACAATAAATAAACCCTTTTATTTACTATACGGCCCCTACCTCACGGAGTTACCTCCCGTTGCGCATGCGCACCAACTGGGTAAGCTCCTAGACCCGTATCATCATTCCTTCTGCTGAATATATCAGTGAACAGAATTGCGGGAGTATGGAGGCCCTACCCCAAGGATCGACTCTCTTCAAGAATTGAAAACCTCTTCAGGTTTGGTTAATTCTTCTTCATAGAGATCGCCCTTGGGGTACATATATTATGCATAAACACAGACTCCCAAAGACCGGAGGCCAGGGAGGAGGGAATTCTGTCCACGCACACACAAAATATAGCGATCGTATCATGGAAAAAAATTGAACAGACGCCATAACACTCACCTGTCACTTGTCCCAGTTGCGCTTCCGCAAGATGCATTATGGGAGAGGAACTGACAGGGAGGATTTGTGCTCAAAGACGACCTCCATACGTTTAGCATAGGCAATCGCGACATGTAATTAATGTCAACAAAACCCCACCCACCCACGTCGATTAGTGAGCACCGTGAGAGGGGAATGTCAATACCGCCACAATCGACTAATTACTCCAGAGAGAATCGAAAGGGGGTAGTTAGCTCACAGTAGCAGACATGTCAATAATACACAATTATTGTACAGCACCGTCAATAAACAAACCAATAAACCAAGACACACTCGGTCAGGGTGGCAGGACACTGTCCACTGGAGAGAACAGAACGCCAAAGCTCGCACGACACGGAATGTGTATCGAGCTGGTAGTGCCGTGATAAACGCGTTTTGGCCGGCTCCAAATAGCGGCAGAGCAGATCTCTTCAATGGGGAGTGCCGATGCAAAAGCTTTTGATGCGCTACTGCCCTGACCGAAAGTGAGCCTTCAACCCCTCAGGGGAGGCTTGCCCTTAGCCTGATAAGCGCACAAATAGTAGAAACTAGCCAGCGAGACAAAGTCTGCTTGCTCGCTGGCAGACCAGCCTTCCCGCCACCGTAACAACAGAACAGCTGGGTACCCGCACGGATTCCCCGCGCTCGCTTGATATAGACTTTGAGCGCCTCCACGGACATCCAACGGGTGAGTGCTCAGAGGAGTGGTCCCCGATGTGGAAGGCTGGGTAAGAGTGGGAAGTTCGATAGGAGCTGTCACATGGAAAGCGTGATCGACCTTCGGGCGTAAGTATCCGGGAGGCTTAATGCTGACACGATCAGTGTGAAACACAGTCAGCGCCGGTCGGACGACATAGCATGTAAATCGCCAATCTCTACGCCCAGATGTTACCGCCACCAGAAAACAGCCTTCCAAGTTAACAACTGAATGGAAATAGCCGATAGGTGTGAGAAAGTTGGATCGACAGCCAATCGAGCACGATTGACAAATCCTAAGGTGGACTGGTTCGGCCTGAGAGCAGGTCGAATCCGCTCCGCCAGCCAGCAAGAAAGCGCCAGACGAGAGGGTGCTGCCCCAGAAGAGCACCATCGACAGGGGTGTGAAAAGTGGAAATAGCGTGGAGTAGCCACTTAATGGTCGGGCCGCCAGGCCTTCTTCCAAACGAGCTTGCAAAACTCCAATACTCGACTAAATCCGCAGAAAAGGGATCTGCAATCCCCCTATCTGAACACCAGCGCCAAGATAGCGGGACCACCTATCCTCATACTGAACGCTTGTCTAATCCCGCCGAAGCCAGAATTGTGTCTGCAACTGCTGCAGGAATTCGCGGCCTCGAGGCTAGACCTGACAGAGGCCAAGCCACCCACTGAATCCGCGGATTTGGGTGGGGCCCGCTCTGAGTGAGAATGTCGGGTCGTAAAGGTAATAGAACAGGAGGCTGAGCCAGAAACCTGAGAATTACCGAAACCAGCTCTGTGACGCCAAAGCGTGCCAGTAGCACAAGCAGCCGAGCTGGCTGGGTGGACAGCTGTGAAAGGACACGGGAATGAGTGGTAACGGGCGGAACGCCCAGAGCACTTTGCCCGTCCAATCCAGCAGGAAGGCGCCGGCAGCCAACGCCTCTGGGTCCGTATTCGAGCAGAACACGGTGTCTGATGCGCCCGCCGACGCAAACAGATCCACCTGGAACGCAACCCGCATAACTGGGAGATTACTCTGAAAATCTGCCTGTCGAAAGCATCCACTGCATGGGGCCAGGATCCGCGAGAGCGATCTGCTCGCGACGCTCTCCAGCCCCGGAGATAAACAGGGAGTACCTGACAGTCGCACTGGTCGCATTCAGAGGAGAAAGTCCCACGCCCCGGAGGAGCTGGGGACACCGCGTCGCCTCTGCTTCAGGATGTACGACATGGCCGCCTGGTTGTCCAACTGAAGACGGACTACCTGGCCACGGACATGCTCTCTGAAGCCAAAACCAACCGCGACAGCTCTCAGTTCCAACACGCTGATGTGAAGGTGGGCTTCGCTTCGACCAGAGTCCGGACGCCGACAGACTGCCCAGAACACCCCCAGCCCGTGAGGGACGATCGGTCTGAACTGTGAGAGCTGGCGCCGGGATTTCCAAGGGGATCCCCTGGTGAGATTCCCCGACATTTGTCCACCACTGAAGGTGAGGTGTCAACCACTGGGACTGTGAGACTGCGCCCAGATCCTCCGCGGTGAGCCCACAGCCGAGCCAAAGCTTGCTGTATAGGGCGATCCTCAACCGCCCGCCACACGACAGAGATCGCCGCCGCCATATGGCTCCAGTAGACGGAGCCAAGTCCGTGCTGGTGCCTGGGGCTGGGAGAGGAACGAAGATACCATCTCCCAACTCTGGTGATCCGTCGGGCGACAAGGAAACGAGATCCTTGTTTGTTTGAATCGGCGCCCAAGAAAACCAAGTCCTGGGTGGGTACCAGGTCGGATTTCTTGAGGTTGATTATCCACCCCAGTCGAAGTTAGAATGTCTATCACTGTGTGAGTAGCATCTAGACTCGCTGGCTGTGTTAGTGCTCCGAGCAACCAGTCGCCGAGGTAAGGGTAACAACGCCTTCCTTGCTAACGAAAGCCAGGGTAGCTGGGACTAACATGAGCTTGGTGAACACCCTTGGGGCAGTCGATATGTCAAGGGGAGCACCCTGAATTGGTAACACATCCCGTCGTAAGAGAACCGGAAGGTACTGCTTGAACGATGGATGTATGGGCACATGCAGATACGCATCCTTTAGGTCGATTGACGTGAGCCAATCGCCGGGCTGAACAGATGAGATCACCGAGCGCAGTGTCTCCATCTTGAAGGATGGTACTTCTAGCATGCGGTTCAACCCCTTGAGGTTGAGAATGGGACGGAACCCGCCGTCTTTCTTCGGGACGAGGAAGTACGTGGAGTAAAATCCCGCCTGTTCCTCTCCCCGTGGAATGCGCCGATTGCGGACTTGTCCAGCAGAGCCTGAACTTCGTCGCGCAATATGTCCGCCCTTGCCTGACATGACGGCACCGGAGTGCGGCGTATGCCGGTGAAGTCGGGCGGACCTCGCTTCCACAGTGGTAAATGGCCGATGCTGACGGTGGCCAGCACCCAAGCATTGTTGGTAGCCTTCTCCCATTCCGGCAGGAATAGAGAGAGGCGGCCTCCCACTGGGATATGGGGTAGGAGCGCGTGCGTTGTCCCGAGCAGCGGAGCTGACTGGGCGTGACACACGGCTTGAGCGACAGCCTGATGGGTTAACGGGAGGTCGGGCAGACCTCCCGCCGCCCGCGAAAAGGCTGGGAGCTAGTCGAGGACTGCTCCTTGCCCCTACCCTTGGCGGACCTGTTCTCCTCCGCCTACCCCTACCAAGCGCCGGCCAGCCGGCAGACTCGGTGTAGGCTGCACCCCGGGCGGAGGAAGGTGGAACGGAGCTGGGCGAGACACCCGCTGGTGCTCCAACAAGGCCTTAGAGTCCTTGAAGGAGGTAGCTGCAGCGGCAGCCTCCCGAATGACCTGCTGTGCCCCTGGAAAGAGGGTCGCCCCAGACGGAAGGGGAGGGCCAGCAAGGTCTGCTGCGCCGCTGCCGAAAGTACCGAGACGCCGACAGCCACAGCTTGCGATCCCCATGACTCGCGCACATCACCGCCGACGCAGCAGACCGCAAAGAGTCGCGCGAGGTGGGCCTGTACTTCCGAGAGAGCTGACGGAGCAGCACGACATGCGTGGCTTAAACGCCACCAGCATGCCCTCCGCTTCCAGGGCCGACCTCTGAATCGAGGAGAGGTAGGCCTCATGGACCACCACCCTGACCTGCTGCATTATGCCCGTAGACCTCCTCGTAGGTCCGCACGCATGCCTCAGGGGCCGCCAGGGCAAACGGTGGAGTAACACGCCTCTTTGCCGAAAGCAGCCGGAGCTGCTCCGAGGAAGCCGAGCCAGCCCCCCAGGGCGACGGAAGTGAAAACACACACTCGCCCACGATGGGAACCACTTAACAGGATTCCTCCCAAAGCTGGTATCTCCGCATAAGCCCGCAAGTCGAACCGACACGGGAACCAGACAAGAGGGGATCAACCACGCCCTGGACCAACGAGGGCAGAATGCGGAGCTGCGCTCTGCGTAGGCTGCCTAGGGGCAAACGCCCGCCTGGCAAGCGGAACTCAGCCGAAGTCCGAGCTGCCAACAGGCACCGCTGCCTGGGGTAGGCCCTCGCAATCCTTTGCCGGACCTCCCGCAGAGCCGGGCAAAACGAAAGCACCGCCATGCTCCTCTACCTCCCCAAGCTCCATCGACTCGGCGCTCGAGCCCGAAGTCTGAGGCTGGGTCTCCTCTGAAAGAGGACCCTAACCCCGACCCGTGGGCTGCCTAGCACTAGGAACCACAGAGAGGGAAGAGCAGACAGAGTGCCCCGTGATCAGCCTGCAAGCTGCACGACCTCGTCCCGAGACGCTGGAGGCAGACCAGGCAGAACTGGTGCCTCCCGCCTCATGGGGCGGGAGGGCGAGGGATCGGAACCCCAGGAATACTCAACGGTCCCCGCGCCAAACTCAGAGGGGACTGGGAGCACCTCCCTCCGGGCAGCCGAGGCGTCCGACCCGGCCAGAGGCAACGGGTCTACAGACGCCTCAAGGCTGAGGGATCGAGCCGAGCCCGGCGATCCCACCCCCTGACTCTCCGCCCCCCGTCCGGAGTGAGCGAGGAACTCCTGCCGGAGCCCTCCAACAGACTCACGGACGAGGGACTTCACGGAGTCCATATGTTGCTGAAACAATTTATCCATTAAAGACATGTCAAACCCACCAGTAGAAGCAGGAGAGGGGGCTTGGCTTTGGGATTTTTTTCCCTTACGAGACCGCTTTTGGGCCTTAGACGGGGACCTGGGTCAGTTCCCCACCCGCCTCTCGCATCTCTTTGTAAAAGAGAGTGTCAGCCGCCCTCCTCTTTTGGGCACGGGGGGAAAACCCAAGACATATTGGACACACTTCGGCGTCATGGCCGGTCTTTTCCAGACAGGCTACACATTGGTCATGCCTGTCGGCCCGTGGAATGCTCTGTCCACAGACCGAACAGGACGAAAAGGCCTGAAAGCAAACACGCAAGCATGTAGCTAACGGCGGACCAGCAACATATATACACGTAGAAAACATTGAAAAATACGTGAAGGCTACCACGGGAAGTAAGAGTTGGTTCAATACGCAATATTACGACCACATGGCACGCTAAACTTCCCGCCATGGCAGAGCAACATGTGCGTAAACCACGGGAAAGTTAGCGTATTAAAATTAATACAAAGTCACAATTATGAAACAACCAACTGTAAAGCTTTACTGTTCCTTTCATAGGCAAATAAAGACCATACATACAGGTGGTGTAGTATCAGACATAGTTTTCTTATTCAGAAAGTTCAGCGCTGTACGGCTCATGGACGTCTGTTCACGGCAGTGACAGCAGAAGGAATGATGATACGGGTCTAGGAGCTTACCCAGTTGGTGCGCATGCGCAACGGGAGGTAACTCCGTGAGGTAGGGGCCGTATAGTAAATAAAAGAGTTTATTTATTGTACAATCTTTTTATTCAAAAAACATTGATACAACTGTCACAGGACATTTTCAGCTTGGAAAATGCATAATATGTACCCCAAGGACGATCTCTATGAAGAAGAATAACCACACAAGGGAAGTAACTCTCTATTTTCAGTGAAATGGAAAGGAGGGCCTCTAAAAAAAAATGTGAATGTTCTCTTATTATGAATGAATTAAACCTTATGCATCAATTTTACTGCAATAACATAGCAAGGGACACAAGAAATCAGCTTAAAATATTGTGCATGTGTTGGGCATAGAACAGGCAAGATGAATATATACTTTAACCAGTAAGCTGCCTCATTCACTATTATGAAAAACATCAAATTACCATGTGTTTATACCATATCACAATCATTACTAGTGATACCATTAGCCATGGTTTGCCTAGTCCATGTCCACACATGGATGTTCTAGGTATGGTAGAATTACACCCAGACTACTACTGAAAGTCTCGTCACACAGACTTCACCGACAGAGACGTACCTCGTACAGAGTATGATGGCAGGAAAAACTCATTCTCATGCAGGGAATCAAACACACTCTCCTTCAGCAACAGCATCAACTGGGGGATCCTCTCATTGGCAATGCACTCACGGATCGGCTGCAGGCATCACAGAATTAAATAAGTCGTCATTATTACATAATTAGCAGCCGCAAGACAGACCCAATTATTCCAACCTTGTATCGGTTGATCTACTGTAACAAAATACTACTGAAACATATCACTTGCATGAAGTGAGTGAGTATGGTTTTACGCCGCTTTTAGCAATATTCCAGCAATATCATGGAAATGGACTTCCCACATTGTACCCATGTGGGGAAACGAACCCAGGACTTCAGCGTGACAAGCCAACACTTGAACCACTAGGCACCCCACCACCTCGGCTTGCATGAAGGCGTCCTTTGCCCACTAATTCTGTATACTGATCTTAAACCAGTGAATACAAGCTGATGGGTCTTCCCTTATTTAACATGGGTAGAATTTAAACTGGTACTTAATCTGTTTTGCACACTGTTTTACATATAAGTGTAGCACATTTGTGATGAAACATAGGTTCATATTACGATGAGCTCGTCACGCCGAAGACCCGGGTTCGAATCCCCACATGGGTACAATAAGTGAAGCCCATTTCTGGTGTCCCCCGCCATCATATTGCTGGAATATTGCTAACAGCGACGTAAAAAAACCAAACTCAGTCAGTCAGTATTAGCATCATGTGTACAAAACACAAAAAAAACTGAAAAGATGTTTCATTAATGCATAGGTTTGCTGCACTGTCCTCCCCACACACAACTGTATTGTCAACTGACCTTATACTGGCTGATGGGACAGTCCTCCCCACACACAACTGTATTGTCAACTGACCTTATACTGGCTGATGGGACAGTCCTCCCCACACACAACTGTATTGTCAACTGACCTTATACTGGCTGATGGGACAGTCCGCTATTGTCAACTGACCTTATACTGGCTGATGGGACAGTCCTCCCCACACACAACTATTGTATTGTCAACTGACCTTATACTGGCTGATGGGACAGTCCGGTATCGTCAACTGACCTTATACTGGCTGATGGGACAGTCCTCCCCACACACAACTGTATTGTCAACTGACCTTATACTGGCTGATGGGACAGTCCGCTATTGTCAACTGACCTTATAATGGCTGATGGGACAGTCCTCCCCACACACAACTATTGTATTGTCAACTGACCTTATACTGGCTGATGGGACAGTCCGGTATCGTCAACTGACCTTATACTGGCTGATGGGACAGTCCGGTATTGTCAACTGACCTTATACTGGCTGATGGGACAGTCCTCCCCACACAACTGTATTGTCAACTGACCTTATACTGGCTGATGGGACAGTCCTCCCCACACAACTGTATCGTCAAATGACCTTATACTGGCTGATGGGACAGTCCTCCCCACACACAACTGTATTGTCAACTGACCTTATACTGGCTGATGGGACAGTCTGGTATTGTCAACTGACCTTATACTGGCTGATGGGACAGTCCTCCCCACACAACTGTATTGTCAACTGACCTTATACTGGCTGATGGGACAGTCCTCCCCACACAACTGTATTGTCAACTGACCTTATACTGGCTGATGGGACAGTCCTCCCCACACACAACTGTATTGTCAACTGACCTTATACTGGCTGATGGGACAGTCCCCTCCCAACACAACTGTATTGTCAACTGACCTTATACTGGCTGATGGGACAGTCCTCCCCACACACAACTGTATTGTCAACTGACCTTATACTGGCTGATGGGACAGTCCTCCCCACACACAACTGTATTGTCAACTGACCTTATACTGGCTGATGGGACAGTCCCCTCCCAACACAACTGTATTGTCAACTGACCTTATACTGGCTGATGGGACAGTCCTCCCCACACAACTGTATTGTAAACTGACCTTATACTGGCTGATGGGACAGTCCTCCCCACACACAACTGTATTGTCAACTGACCTTATACTGGCTGATGGGACAGTCCTCCCGACACACAACTGTACTGTCAACTGACCTTATACTGGCTGATGGGACAGTCCTCCCCACACACAACTGTATTGTCAACTGACCTTATACTGGCTGATTGGACAGTCCTCCAGGAAGAACTGGTCACACCCACACACTTTTAGAACGTATGCATGGCTGTACTCCTCTATGCACCGCTGGGTGTGCTCCTTTGACATCATCATCAGTCTACGTCGTCGACGGATGGTTTCCGCAATCACATCTGTTGGTGTTGCATTGTGGGCAACCTTCACGCTGTATTTAGATCTATTATTGTCCTCGGCCACAACCCACACACAGATTATCACAGAGTTATCTGAAAACAGTTTTAACTCATAATTCATAAATTGTCATCCTAACGTCATAAGTACACTTGTCCCCTTCCTTCTCCACTTGTGGAATCCACATCACATACAATTATTTTAAAAAAATATAATAAAATATACAACACAAAGAATACAAGTGTTTGCCACTGATATGGCAATGTCCCCTGCCGCTAAAGAATGGAATATCTATATTTCCTATTTTTTATTTTTTGGTCAGGTACGAGAAGCCTGAAATGACTGGTGTCTGCATAATCACCCAATGTAGGCTGTCAACATAATTGAATACATTGGGTGCAATGTTTTATGAGATATCGCGTTTAAGTAAGTTTGAAAAGTGGTCAAAGTGTCATGGTGACCTTGAAGATAAGGTCAAGGTAACCCAAATCAACTGTTATCTGGGTAATCCCCCAATGTAGGCTGTCACCAAATTTGAAGACATTGGGCACAACAGTTCATGAGATATCACGTTAACAAGAATCGGGACATATGTACGGACGCCACTGAAAACATAGTTCCCCCAATTTAATATCTGAGCATTTGGATGAAAATCACACAAGAAATTCATTTTGACTATCTGACTATCATCAATGGCACATTTCTGTAATTTAACTACAAGACAAGACAAGACAGGAAAAACAGCTGACCTATGACCTATCCTCTCAATTCACTCACATTTTTATATCCCAGCTACCATGGCAACCCATTCTTGTTACTTTGCTTGTTTATTAACATGCTTAATGCCGCACTCAGCAATATTCAGACTGTATGAAAACAACCTTAGATAACAGTCTTGACCAGACACTCCAGTGATTGACATCATGAATATCATTCTACGCCATCCTCAACCAAGTGACTGACGCAATCAACTAAACTAATCAGTCATCACTTGTATTTGTCTAAACACACAAAAAGGGGGAATTCATGGAAGTGATGGATTGTCAGGCTCACTGACTTGACAGGACATATTCCATCGTTCACCAACATGGGAGATGTTCAGTCTAGATTATTTACACTCCTGTATCCTATAATAGAAGTGAATGAGTTTAGTTTTATGCAACTTTTAGCAATATTCCAGCAATATCACAGTCGGGAACACCAGAAATGGGCTTCACACATTTTACCCATGTGGGGAATCGAAACTGGGTCTTCAGCTTGACTAGCCAACACTTTAACCACTAGGCTACCCCACCGCTCCCCTATAGCAGGACTATTGCAGCACAGCTTTAAACAACAAATAAAACATTGAATATTTTTTCAAAAGACTAAACATGCTAAAGATGTTGCAAGTGAAAGGCAGGAGCTACACTCACCATCACCAAATTTTTTCAGTTTTTCAGTGAGATGTGGTGGCAGCACTTGATTTGATTCAATATCGGGTGGATACGCATACATAGCCCGACTAAGTATGTTGTCCTTCTCCCGCTGGTCAATTGTCTCCTTGCACACTCCCAGAATGTTCCGTCGAAATGTCATCACTTCCAGATCCTTCATCTCATTGAATTCATTTACAGGTTTACCAATCAACATGCCTAAAAATTGCAAGAAAATAAATTATTTTTAAATTTGTTTCACCATGCATGTTTCCCACATAATTTTTTTAAATCTTGAAAGCATGTGGACTACATTCATATACCAGTAGTATTGAAAACTAGTGAAAAAAACGCACCAACAGTTGGAATATTTGTCGCCAGCCAGGACAGATTAAATGCAGTCAAATGAAATTTTTGTTATTGGGCATGTTCAGTTATATGAATGATGTATAAAAGAAAATTTAACATACCTATTTCATAATTTAACATTTTTTCCTCTCGGTTTCCAATTGGTTCCATCACTTTGAGAGTGGCTTGAAACAATCGCAAGTCACACAGTCTCCGAGTTTCATCGTAGAACTCCTCTCGCTCGGCATCCTGGGTAATTCCAACGAATATGTACGACTCGGCACCCAGGAGATGGCCATGAAGGGGATACTTCTTGGATTCTATCCACAGATCTGTTTTGATTTTCTCCAGAGTTGCGTCCCTGTTGCACAACATTGGGACAATGATGCCGGTCGGAAGGAGACAGTCGACTGGCACCTGTGAGGGCATCAAGTGATGCCCCCATAATTCCCCTGAGCTTGGTGGCATCACTAACACATGAACCTCAGCCAGGAAAACATTTGGGTGCTAGGTCCCTGTAATACAAACAAGCAAATATTAGAGGATGGTAACAGCAATGGTAAATCAAAACAACTTTCTTCTAAGATAAAAGTTGTGCTACCTGTCTTGAAACAAAAACATTGAAATAATAAATTCAACTGCAAAATTTTCATCTCCACAACCCCAATTTTCTCAATACCATCACACTGTATGTCCAATAGTACATACATAAGAAGAAAATAACTATGAGTGGTCTGGTGGATGAAACATCTACCTGTAGACAGGAAGGTTGGTTGCTCATCATCATACCTGCAAACGAATCAAACATTTTTGGGGGATATCAACTTCTTTATCTTTATGTTTATTTGTTAAACATGACATTTCTGGGTTTATTCTTCCGCCATCTCCACAATCACTGACTAATGTTGATCACTAAGTAGAAAAACATACTGTGTTGGAAAATCAGAGATATATAACGAAATTATAATGGCTCTAAATTTGACTTAAAACCTAATGCGTATCAGGTTGGTTTGGAGAATGAATACAGTGTCCGAGTCTGTATCCATGTTAACATGTGGTATGGTATGTCGGTGGTCTAGCAGTTATATTAACAATTATATTTACCAGTTTAACTTTCTTCCCATAACCACATGATGACTTAAACTGATGCATAAGGAGGAATAATAGAATATTACAAATCATAATGAATTGTGAGATGACTACATTTTCATTACCCAATATATTATGGCTGTTCTGTTCTGACTCAAGAATGATGTGATGCAAGTGGACAATGGTTACCATTTGGGCGAAAACCATGAGTTTGAGCATGCTGATGATAACAAATGATGACAGGCATGGTAAATCTACAATCTAACCCAAAGATCACTGGATCCTTGCATGGCAAAGGGATACAACTCTGCTGTGCACTTCCAGCACATTACAGCTCTGACCCAGCTATGCACCCTGTATCATAAGAAATCACATTAATGTGTATACACTTTGAATGTAACACATGTTATATTTGGGATTACACTTTCTCAATAAAGTATAGATTCCAGTACTTTTGATAGGTTGAGTCCAATCTGGGGTTTGAAACCACACTCTCAGAGTCAGGCACACAAAATCAGCCATTCAACCCACTCAGCCATGGCACCTTCCACAGCAAAGGAAGATGGACAACAGGTACTCTAGATCAGAGCTCCAGATAAGATTTAGCTCATGTGGGTACTGTACCCACTGTATTTTTGGGGAGTGGGTATTATGAATGTTTAGTGGGTATTTCATTTTCCGTTACCCACTGCTTTCAAATATGTGCGTATTTCAGTCATTTTACTCACCTAAGTATTATGTCATTGAGTAAGTTTACTAAGCAGGTATGTTCTGCCTTATGTCATACCTAATCAAAACCAACTTAAATATAATGGAAATGATTTCATAAAAAATCCCTCATCCTATACTGACAGTACAACACTAGTCCTATACTAACAGTACAACTTGATAGCAATCCATGTCTTTTTCATTACGCAAGCGATTTTTATAAATATATTCCGTACGCATTTGTCTTAAACTTTTTGGGTATCTAACATTTTAAATGCGTAATTGGTACGCAACAAATATTTTTCAATGTGTAATTGGAAATTTTCTATACGTATTTTACCCGGATACGCAGCTTATCTGGGTCTCTGTCTAGATCACCGACTTTGTGTACACCTCTGACAAGTGAAAACAGGCTCGCTCCCACTGCCCAAAGCTATGAATATATAATGCCATTTAGAAAGTGGTCAAGTGTAACACGTTATATTTGGGAATACACTTTCTCATTAAAGTACTGATTCCAGTACTTTTGTTGGGTTGGGTCAATTCCATACCAATAAATGTACATCAGGGCAGTATTTCAGAAGCTTGTTGTCCCAGCAAACGTATTGCAATAAATGTCACAAAAGTACAATCCAGGTAAAATGTTAACAATACAGAAATCAAATTATCTCAAGATGTCAAAGGTTTCTTGTTATTGTATCCTTGTGTCATGTAAGTTCGATCACTTAAGAACTGTAGCTGAATTTTCAAAGTTATATTCATATAATCTTATTTTCAAATCTCTTACCTCTAAACTTGTTTATTTATGTCAAACATTTCCGAAATCCAGGTATTTTTACTGCTTTTCACAATCGCGGCATGGCCGCCCTCTCACTGTCAACACAAGCGACCCAGAAAGCTACGTCACATAAATTCGATCATATGATTGGCTGGCTTGTCACGTAAACAGGATGACTTGTAAGGACGATTTTCTTGTGTCAAATTCAGAGTTAGAGCAGTCCCAAGTAATTTTATGGTATTTAAGTCCATGTTCATTTTATGTTTCAATACTTCTAAAAACGATGAAACGTCACAAATATTCAGCTTATATAGAAGTATTATGCAGGGAATTATTCTTCAGGCGCATCGTGACAGGCATCAAACCTCAGAATGTAGACAAACACCACGAACTGGCTTGCAGAAACGTAAATGTGTTCTGTGCTGACATGTAGGGCGGGTACATTGTGCCAAGGTTGTATTTATCAATGAGGCAATAGCTCGAACTTCATCAGGTACAAATTCACGGAAATTCTCATAAAGCATTAAGTTTTCTATAAGAAATGGCCCTTACTTGTTTCCAAAGTTTTAAATTTTGACAAGGAGATCACGTGTCTGGTCATGTGACATTTAGACCAGCAACGTAAGCAAACAGAAGACAGGGGTGCTGTCAATTTACAACGTGTGAAATAAGTACTGTTTACATTTTATTGGAGCTGATAAAGTTACATTATTGATCTAGGGTTAAAAAGTATTTGTTTGGTGAATATGAGCTATAACTTACGTTTGGTAACTTGACACGAAACATTTTTCGATCCAAACGAATAAAAGTGGTGTCACCAGAAGATCAAAGCTGCAGATATCGTAAGTTATCGCTACGTTTTGCGACAATTACCATTCAAAATGGGCGATCGAAGTTATATGACGATCGAACTTATGTGACTTGACGATATTATATATTTGATTGTTTCATATAGCCTAACATTTATCTTGTGAATATAAACTAAGAAACGGGAAAACAAGCACCAAACAGTATCAGATAAATATGCTGACAAACATATAAACAAGAATATGACATCAACTTGACAATAAATACAGCAAAATGTACACAATCACCTCACCATTTCTTGGTTTCTGAAAAATCTGCTCATTTGTTGAGCAGTAACATATATTTCAGTAACACAGATACAACACACATGGCAATCACGTGACACTACTGAGACAGTTGTTTGTGTCTCTGAATGACTAACTTAGACACTCCCGCGTACTACACGCAAGAAACATCAAACAAAATAAGTCTGTTTTGGTAAACAAACGAGCGCGCTCCAGCCAGTGCGTGTGTAAAAACGATCCACATTGACCGATTTCATGGGTTTACAATCTACACAACTTACGATGTGAACCACCCGGTGCAATTAAAAGAATGTACAAGGATGACATCTTAATGGCAGTTGTCACGGGATATCACATGGCCAATTTTTGCTCCACTTTGTCAAATTCTGGTCTGTGAACCAAATATCATTCAGACTTCCGTTCTAACAGCTACTATACACGTTACGACTAACTTCGTTCAACAAGTCAATACGAAATACCACTTGGCATTCGTTTAGATTTATATTACTCTTGCACACGTACATGTAAACAGTAACACTTATTAATTAAAGAGATTAATTTCAAATGTTGGTACTCAATATACAATTAATTTTTGTATTTTTAAATATTGAAACAGAAACAGTTTTCATACATCATGGTTTTGGTGAATGTATTTGTGACAACCGGTGTAACATTTAATTACGTCTCCTATAAGATCATGGCTTTAGCGACAATGTTGCCGTATGAAATATTGAATGCGAATGAGCTAGAGAATGTTATTCAGCGCCGCCGCTAGTAATAGTCCAGCTATATCACGACAGTCTGCAAATATTCGAGTTTGGATCTTATAAACCATTCATTGACTGAACAACGACCCACACAGAAGCCGTCACCGTATGTTTTACTGTACAACCAATATTTACTGGGAGGTTAACTAAAATGAATGAGTGAGTATGGTTTTACGCCGCTTTTAGCAATATTACAGCAATATCACGGCGGGGGACACCAGGAATGGGCTTCACACTGTGTTCCAATGCATGGGAGTCGAACCAGGGTCTTCGGCGTGACGAGCGAACGCTTTAACCACTAGGCTACCCCACCGCCTCTTGACTTAAGAGACGGTTATTAATTTTGGTATCCTTACTTCATTGCAGCGACAAGTTAATATCAGAATAGTTTACAGGGTGCAGCACAAAGATATAGGAGTAACGGTACGGGGATACGGTAATAGCAGCCACATACGTGGATCGTAACTGCGGTAACGAATTAATGAAATATTTTAAGCACGCTCTTGCTCTTAGCACGCCTGGTCATTCAGTAATTGTGAACATCCCAACTAAAACTAATTTACCGTATTTCCTCTAATAGGCGCCGGGGGTAAAGCGGCTTACTAACAATTACGGTAATTAGACCCAGTAAGCGCAAAAGCGCAGGGCCTCTAATTAGCGGGCGCTTATTAGAGGAAATACGGTACTTGTACCAGTTGCACACTAATAGAAGGCATCTTAAAATGGATGCCAATACGTATAAGGTGATATGCCGGATGCATGGAGTAGGGTATCAAATCTGAACCTCACGACAAGCATGGGTCACACAAGACCAGTCCTAGTTCGGTTCTTCACTGGTGAGAGAGGTTAGTGGTTGATAATATGAGCAACGCTCAACTATTTCACGGTGCCCTCCATGCTAATGGAACTGATAAGGACAAACTAGGGATCAGTAATGAGAAGATAATACCACGGCGGCCCATAGGACGGTCGACAACCTTCCCTCCCCTTCTCTGAACTAACCGTTCAAAAGAATATCGCCATAACGCACTGCACCATAGTGGAACGATGGCATCATATGAATTCAGATCACCAGTCAGCATTAGGGTCACCTGGCTTTATTGGGACATTTCCACGATCTTTATTTGACATAATTTTAAAAAAACCCATCTGTATTGCAGCCACCATAATGGACTTCTTCGGGACGTATATTGGACTTACTGAACTGAAACGTTAAAACTGCAAAATTGGTTTCAGTATTTCATCATGGCGACCCATAATTGAACCGGAAACAACAATATGCAATAATACTGACTGACTGACTGAGTTTGGTTTTATGCCGCTTTTAGCAATATATCCCCCGGCGGGGGACACCAGAAATGGGCTTCACACATTGTATCCATGTGGGGATTCGAACCCAGGTCTTCGGCGTGACGAGCCAACGCTTTAACCACTAGGCTACCCCACCGCCCCATATGCAATAATATAACACGATTATACACATGCACTTAAAACATCGGGGACTCCTGAAATATGAATGCTAACACAAAGTATTAGAGCAAAGGTAAGTGTTGACAATAGAAGTCCTCTTACAATGTCTGCTAAACGTTAAACGGGATAATTTGCAGTGCCTCGCGTTTCCGATTTGGACACTTTTAAGGTAGGTAGATTAACCTCTGTGGACCATTATTCCTGTCAATCTTATTGATTCTGCAAATCATGATATTGTGATTACCTGCTGATTTCATTCATTGTTTACGTATGAACTAACGACGCGGTGTCTGCAGCGCTGCGGTGGCTTCTTGGAAATTGGCCAGTCAGCAAGATTATAACATTTCTGAAAATATATATATATATGATAATAAAACAAGTAAAGCATATAAAATTAAAATGAACCCCAGAAATCACGGAAATACAGAACCTGAAACTGAAGAAATCTTTGGTTCTTCATTTAGGGCTTCAGGTATTGCCGAAGGGCTGGGCGGAAGGGGTTGTGACGTAGACTTGGAATCAGTTTGCAGTGACGACCAGTGCGTCTAGTGTTTCACAGGCTGCGATTAGGAAACAATGGACCATCCAAAATTGGACGACTGACAAAATCTATAAATTGCTATGGCCCAGACAAACAACACACACGCACGCACGCACGCACACACACACACACACACACACACACACACACACACACACACACACACACACACACACACACACACACACACTGGAAAACGTGTTACAGGGAGACGTGTGCGTCAGCGTCATTTGCTTCCAACCATGTTGGGTAAGACCAGACGCTGCAAGAGGAGAGGGAAGGACACCCTTAAACACGCCAACGGGTGGCTATAAAATAATGTCTCATTGAGTGAATGGATACTTTACACATTACTGATCCAACGTCAACTTTGAATTGTTACTTCTTACACCTGTTGTCCTTCAAGATCGTTAATTATAGCGGTGGTATCATCTTCCGTCATACTTTACTACAGGTTAAAATGTGCTGTAATGTGCCCCTCTGGCATCACACAATAATTGCAAGAAACTAATACCTCTTATAATATTGGAAATTTGGAGCTATTTTCACTTATATCCCTTACTGTTTTATGTCACGTGCAGATGTGACACGTCATTGTCCACCAAAGTAACGTGAGCTGTAATAATTACGTGTGCAACCCCATAACATATAACACGTGCAGGTATTGTGGAAGTCAGGTTGCGCCTGTTTTATAATGTAGACAGGTGTGTGAGATAGGTTTCAGTTATGGGCTCTCAAGCAGGTGCTTCTGTTGCTGTGTTGTCCTTATGACAGCACGATATGTTCCAAGAAGAGTCACAACTTGGTGTAAACCCCATAGTCTCTTAATGGGGGTAATAATCAGTATATATATCACCGGGCTTATGTGTTAGTGACAGCAGTGACGTCACTGATAATGAGTGTTTATACTTGGATCATTGTCGTGCCACCCAGTCATAATCATTGTTTATTCTTCAGTTGTTTGTAGTTGCAATAGTGTCAAGGCTAATATATATTTTGGTGCTACTTTAGTGCCACGGGTAAATCAACAGTGTATATTCTTGTATCCAGGGAGACACGAGGTATTAAGGCTTATTTGTTTGTAGTTGATAAGATTGGTCAGTTGGTGACACACGTCACTACAAAGCGTCACTACAAAATACAATAAGACTTATAGTCGTGGTGGGCGAGCTGGCTTAGGCGCCAGGCTGGTGATCCAGCGAGCATGAGGTGCCGGGATCGAGCCCTCCTGTGATCGGGTGTAAAAACCTTGTAGTCAACTTTGCAGACTCTTTCAGTGTTGTCACAACCCCTAGTGTACAATACACAACCCTGTGCACTTAGAAGAATCCACGAATCCGATCGTATATGACCCCATGGTGGCCATATGAGTACGTGCAAACATCAAGTTGCGGTTACAGCAACGTGCAGTGAACTTGGACAAAGTACTGTGACTATGTGTCCCAGTCCACCCAGCTGTGAATGGGTACCTCGTAAGGATAAGAAAACCGCAATAACTCGGTGCGCCTTGTGGCAGCAAGGGTTGTATGATCTCAGGGAGTTGAGATTGATAATACGATGTGACGTTGAGATTGACATCCAATGATCGAGGGTACAAATACAAGCGCCTTGAGCATGCACTAGTTGCCTGGATATGTGCGCTATATAAATATCATATAATGATGATGATGATTATAGTCACGTTTCATGACGTCTTATATTGATAACGCTACGTATACATTGACATCATCGATGTTTCTTAGTGGGTTTGTATATTATACGCTTTTTCCCTTTACTTCTTTAAAGGACAAATATGTATCCTGATATAATATGTAAGATGTAACACACCTGGAACTATGGGTTATCTGTCATTCGTTAAAGAACTGACTGACTGAATGACTGAGTTTGGTTTTACGCCGCTTTTAGATATATTCCAGCAATATCACGGCGGGGGGACACCAGAAATGGGCTTCACTCATTGTACCCATGTGGGGATTCGAACCCGGGTCTTCGGCGTGACGAGCTAACGCTTTAACCACTAGACTACCCCACCGCCCCTCGTTAAAGAAACGTGTAAGTGACTCGATGAAGGGCCTGACTGGGACAAATAAGCCTTAATACCTCGTGTCTCCCTGGATACATCTAACTATCACACAAATAAGCGTTGTTGTATTTTTTGTGAAACGAGCGTCTGGCTGTTTGTTGTAAATAAACAGTTCAGAGACAAGTTTCTTAAAATCATTTGGATACACACAAGGAGAAATCCTACACAGAATTGAATTGGGAGTTTACTAATCTTTTACCAATATTCCAGCAATATCACGACGGGGTACACCAGAATTCGACTTCACATATTTAACCAGAGACCATATGGTCTCTGATTTAACCCATATGGTGAATCGCTCCCCAACCCGGCGTGGCGAGCAAACACTAGAAAAATAGACTATCCCAGCATTTAGTAAGGAAATGGCAGTAAGTAGAATTCTTCTTCTTTTCATTAAACGTACTATCAAATGAGTCTAAGTCTTCGTTTGGGGGGACATCGTCACGACACCTAACATATACAGAGGATGACCACTGACCAGTATCTTGAATCAGGGAGACTTTATAACGTTGTAGATTATCCCTGCTTGAATACTGACGGAATGTCTGCTGTTCCATAGAAGGCATCATTTTCCTTCAAAGTTTCGTCCTTAATTTTGTACCAGATGTGTAGCCCGTTTTAGCCACTCATGTATGTCAGTTTAAAATCTGAAAAGAAAAGAAGAAGCACACAAACAAAGTTACTGCATGGTCTAGAAAATATGTACAGAAAAGAATAGCGGAAAGGTGTTAACCTGAGCAGGACACTTTTTCATGGGGAGTTTTATCATTAAGCACCGGACAATCCAACATGGCTGCGTTTTGTGTTTGTTTCTGACATAGAATTCTCTACATCAAGGAAATTTAAGTTTAGACCTCCAACATCCGATTTTTAACCACATTGGTGGTCCCTAAGATGGACCCTAATTGGAATACAGGTAATGATATTGCACGCTTGTTTTTAAGTTCTAGTGACTCGATGTGATTTTGCTCCTAGCTTTGTCGACAGCTCCAGCGAACGACCCACCTTGATGTAAGTTAGGCTTGTTTACTTCAGAAGATGGGTGTAGCAAAACAGTGACCATGTACTACATTTATTATATGGTCACTGAGCAAACGGGGGGATAACTCGGCGATAATTGGCTCGTATTGGTCCCCACGTATTTGTCTCAAAGTTACTTGGAAATAATTTGTTTAAAGTGAGTGAGTGAGTGAGTTTAGTTTTACGCCGCACTCAGCAATATTCCAGCTATATGGCGGCGGTCTGTAAATAATCGAGTCTGGACCAGACAATCCAGTGATCAACAGCATGAGCATCGATCTGCGCAATTGGGAACCGATGACATTTGTCAACCAAGTCAGCGAAACTGACCACCCGATCCCGTTAGACGCCTCTTACGACAAGATAGTTGCCTTTTTATGGCAAGCACATGGGTTGCTGAAGACCTATTCTACCCCGGATCTTCACGGGTAAAGAGGTGAGGCCCCTTCGAATCCAGGACAAAATCCCCCCAGACAAGAAAAACAAACAAAAAAATACCCCGGACAGGCTAGAATGCACTTTACGGGGTGCAGTCCTCGCTGTTCGCTGTGGGGCTATTATAGTGCTATAGTGCTACCGCACTGTCGCACTGTCTCGCGGTAATTGCTCCGTCTCCCTTCACTTGCATCTTTAAGTCAAACAACCCTTTACGATCCTTAGGGTTAGGGTTTAAGGTTAGGGTATGGCACTCTTGCGATCCTTAGGGTTAGGGTTAGGCACCCTTTACTAGGGCTGCGCAATATAACCGATTTACCGGTATATACCGGTTCAGACATGAAAACGATACGTATTGCGATATGTTGATCGAAAACTGGTATTTTGACATACATTCGGAAATCTTCGGATATTTTTGTTTGTCACACCGGAAGTCATGCGTTTGGGTTGAAAAAGTTCACGGTAGATGGAACTGTTGATAAGAGTTACGCGGTATGTAAAATATGCAATCGTAAAGTAAAATAAAGGTTTTTAATAAAGCTTAATCAAGAATAGTGCTTTTGTTGTGTTTTTGCTTTATAAATCAAGCATTAACTTCTTGCAATGTATTGCAATACATATCGCAATATATGCTTTCGCATCGCAATATATCGCAATATGAAAATTCTCTGCAATACCCACCCCTACTCTTTGTTAGGCACCCTTTACGATACTTAGGGTTAGGGGTTTTCATTTCTCGCGCCTCCTCCTCACTTCTGTGCAAATGACCCGTTAAACGAGAACTCATTAACTGTGATGTGCTTGTGGTCCCGAGGTAGAGCGTCCGCCAATTACATCACTAATTAACGAAGTCAGTAATCTATCGAATCTGGTAGACTACTCCCGAGCGGTCATCTTTGTTGTTGTCGGTGGTTTGCCTGTGGCTTGGAGGAGGTACTGGATGGACTTGCCTTTCTGGAACAGAACGTCTATGCCTGCTTGCTGCTGATGTAGTCGTCTTATCTGGTGGCTGACTGCTGGGACATACGGGATACTTATTACAAAGGGTGCTGATTGCCGGCGGGGTGGTTTATGACTTGGGTTGAGGGTGGTTCTGATGACATTGTTGACTAACTTCGGGGGGTACTGGTTATAATGGATGAAGACATTGTATAAATATGTGCTATGTGATCTTTGACCTTGTTGAATGTTGAAATAACGACAAATAAATAAATGGATATCTTTAACTCTTGACTGTTTTTCCTTTGGTGTGTGTGTGTTTCGTCAGGGGGTGATTTTGTCCTACGATGCACTTTTGGGGGGGATTTTGTCTGGTTACCGACCCCTTCCCTGTTATCACTTTGAGACCGTTGATAATTTATGGCTAGAGGGGTGATGATGATTGTTATGGAGAAGCATGTACAATGTGCATGACCCCCCTAACATTTATGTAGAAAGTAAGTGCCCCCCCTGCATGTCATGTACAAACTCAATGACCCCCCTGCCCCTTTGAATATTTTTATGTACAAAATTGCTGACCTCCCCCGAGTACATGTGTACAAAATTGATGACCCACCCTACCCAGAACAACATGTGTGAACCCCCTTAAAATCATCATCACCCCCTTAGCCATAAATTATGAACGGTCCCTTCCCGTATAAACCGCAAATCGGCACCTCACCCAGATTTCCAGTAGTAAATAGGTTTGATTTAAGGGGCAGGGCATGAACCTAACGATAGTGAAAGGGTGTTCGATCGGAAAGGATTACCTAACCCTAATTATTTTACAAGAGTGCTTGATTACATGGGTCACATCGAAAGGTTTAGGTTGCGTGGAGGCTGAAGGTAACGTAACCAAACGAATTGATAGCTATGGGAAATTTGTAGCCGTTTCCAAACCTGACAAAACAAATAAGATGGGGAAATAGACTTGAATATGGATTGATTACATAGCAGATAGAATTATTCGATAGCAAACCTTTTCTGAACCTTAATTTTGTGCCACCACCTCTGTTTAAACTCTGTTTCTACATCAGTTTTCATGCACGCACGCACGAGCACCCCCTCCAAAATAGTAAAGTGAAGTGAGCGCCACAGCCATTTACCTGTTGAAGACAATTTTGTCAAAAGTTCTCAAGCATGTTGCTGTAATATATGAGTATTAACAGTGAATGTCATCTTAATGTCTTAGACAAATTCCATTTTCCATTGAAATAGTTTGGATAATACTTTAAAGTGTCATACTTTGTTTGGAAATGTGTTGCAATATTTTATAACATTTAATACCTCCGTAACCTTGGTAACACTGTTTTGTTGCAGCCAACTATGGATATGGCCAGGGGTTTGTGACCAACTACCAGTATGATCCCTCACAGATAGCCTTCATGCAGCAGCAGGGGTACGACATGACAGGGCAGTATGCTGCTGCACAATATACCACGGACCAGTATACCGCGGGTCAATACGTTGCAGGCCAATACGATGCCTATGGCAACGTACAACAGTTCGAAACCTTCCAAGGCTATGGCAACCCACAGGTTAATAATATGTACATGCCCTTCAACACTCAGAATTCAGGGGCAGTGCCAGTGAAGCCTAAACAGAAAACAGGAACAGTTGCCCCGTATTCCTCTGCCAAGACTAATGCCCCAGGCTGTTACCCAGGGCCGAATACAAGTAAGGCAACTGCAGAAACTGCCACTGTTGCAAAGTCTTCCAATAAACCTGAAGAATCGCTCCCCACCCCTCCAGCAGAGTCCCCACCCCCACCCCTCAGGAAGTATCACCTCCACCCCTCCCAAACCAAGACAGAAACCCAGCCTGAATAAGGTTTCCATCAACATATCGTCTTCATTCTCCAAGGCTTTAACATCCAAAATCCAGTCAGTGTCTTCAGGATCAGTGCAATCAACTTCAAAAACAAATGAGAAACCTCCACTACAAAAGTCCCCACCAGCTAAAGATCCTGGACCATCTGAAGTGGCTGGATCATCTAATGTGAATGGAGCGTCTAAGGTGGCTGGTCCATCTAATGTAGCTGGACCATGTAAAGTGTCTGGACAGTCTAATGTAGCTGGATCATCTAATGTAGCTGGATCATCTGATGTAGCATCTAAAGATCCAGGACCATCTAAAATGGCTGGATCATCTCAAGAGGCTGGACCACTTAAAGATCCTGAACCGTCTAAAATGGCTGAACCATTAAAAGGTGTTGAACCACCTCAAGTGACTGAACCTATAAAGGTGGGAGAATCACCTACAGTAGCTGGACTATCAACAGTTGCTGAACCACCTCAAGCTGTTGAAGCATGCACAGTGTCTGAACAATCTAAAGTGGTTGAACCACCTAAAGTGACTGAACCTACAAAAGTGGTTGAAACACCTACACTGACTTTGCCATCCAGAATGATGATACCGTCTAAGAAACCAATACCAGGTAAAACGTTTGTACCAGCTAAACAGCCTGTTCAAGAGGAGAAAGAGGAAAGCGAGGAAGATGATGAAGAAGAGGATACTTCAAGGAGAGGACAGAGCAGAAAACTGACATTCCAAGAAAAGCGTATGTGTTCGCTGTCAGCACTGCTGTGTCACTTTGAAGGTGCAGGCAACCAGCCTCCGCAGGAACCAGAGGAGGATGAAGAAGAAGAAGAGGAAGAGGAAGACGTAGCAAAGCCCAGAAATAATAATGTTGTGACATTTGAAGAAAAACGAGCAAGTTCTTTGGCTGCCTTTTTGGATATGGTTCAAGAAAAAGAAGGTGTTGAGCCTACAGCCTTGACAACTGGTCCCCCTGTAAAGAAATACCCCAAGCCCTCCAAGGGCCCAGAGGTAGTTCCAGATATGACCCCACCACCCTTCATGTGTCCTGTAAGTTCTGGCGAAGGACAGGGGAGTTCCTCTAACCCCATTGCTCTATCAACACAGGCCATGCAATCGTTTCAGCAGAAGAAAGTCAAACAAGTTAAAGAAAACAAAGTTGAAAAAGAAAAACAGACTAGCACTCCCTGGAATTGGTTAGGAATCCGTAATGCCCATGGAAAGAAGATGGAAGCTGCCCACATGACAGGACAAGGGGGAGGTAATCCACATAGCTATGGCTCACAAGTCCCAGGCCTCACTGCCAGTGGTAAAGACAAGAGTGAGTTTAATTTCTTTTATAAAGTTCCCAAAGAAGCTTATTCATGCCCAGAAGAACTACGTGGTGTTTCCAAAAAGAAAGCTGTTCGTTTGGAAACACTAGTAAGACTGCGTTACTGCAAGTTGTGCAGTATTGTGTTTCCCAATACTTTTTCTGCGAAACAACACTATGAGGGAAAGAAGCATTACATCAAGCTACGTACGTACATTCTGAGCAGTGAACGCAAGGACGATGACGGGAATCCCATGTGTTGTAAAGTATGTAATGTCATATACTCGGATGAACACCACAAGGAAGTGCATGTCAATGGGAAGCCTCATGCCAAGAGAGTTTTGACTCTCAAGCAGAAAGGCATCATTCCTTTTGATGCCCCATTAAATGACCCTATGGTGAAGGGCCCTGCATTCAAGGACGAGAGTGACGATGAAGATGAGATTACCTTGGGGGATGCCCAGGTAAGATGTTGTGCTTGAGTGTGCATGAAGCTGCTATAGTATCATAGACCTAACATTAGACTAACGCTTAGTTCCTGAACATATATAATATTAATACCGTATATGACCGTCTATAAGCTGAATTTTGAGGACCGAAAAAAAGCAGTCTGTAGAAGGGGGTCGTCTTATCCATGGGTTATGCTTTCATGATTGTGATCAGTTCATGATTGTTGAATGGGGTAAAATAAGCAAGCCAGTTTGTTGCTACAATAAATATGATATTTAGAGAAGCAAAATATATTATGCATTTTCTGTCAACTACACTTCCGTGAGTAGACACAATATATATGACTGTGAATTCTTTGAATAATGTGGACCAAAGTTATAATTATTGGTAACTGCCAGTTGTCTGTGGTCTGTGTTTGCCGCGATTAGGACCCCATCGCAGGGGATCGACTTATGCACGAAACATACCATTTTGACACTGATTTTAAGGGTCAAGTTTGGGGGTCGTCTTATCCATGGGGTCGTCTTATAGACGGTCATATACGGTAGTAACAAATAAACCCATTTACATTGAAAAGAAGCCCCAGTGAGATGAGAGATTCTGAACCTGGGGAAATCTAGACTTGCTTCATTAACATGGCTTTAGCACTGCAGAGAGGGCTTGGCAGTAGGGAAAATAATGTGGTTCAGGGACTTGAGACAGACTAATCTAACATTTGATAGGGTGGAAGACGAGGTTGGAAATTTTAGGGGAAAAGTCTTGAAGAATATGTATTATGGATCAGAAGCCTTGAAAATGAACAAAATGTTGTGAATATTCACATTTTCTCTCAGTTCCAGTTTGTAGCAAAACAGAAATATTGAGAATTGGTTACTCCAGTAACTCCAGTAACGCTCCGCGAAAAGACAAAAGTCTACATGATGTTGGGCTTCAAGCAGTACCTGAAGAAATGTTCCATTTCTAAAACTCACTCACTTGTATTTGTTGAGTTACAACATTTAGTTTATATACTAGGCACAAGAAATAAGGGAACCCCCAAATGGAATTTGTAGTTGAAACAATGCTACATAAAAGTTGCAAGCTGATTGCATTCGAACCCAGATCGGAAATCACTTATGGCTGACACCACAGTCAGCACCATGTTACCATTACCACACTTGCATTCTAGCCTATAAAACTGACAGTAAGCGTGTCCCACTATCTCTTGTGAAAATACCACCTCGACAGTACCTGACAAAGGCACAGAAATGGCAGGCCATTGGCATGATAGAGGGTGGACAATCTCAGCATAGTGTTGCCGGGTTCTTCAGGAAGTCCAAAAGCGTCATTTCCGTCTCATCAACCTCTACCGTCAGACATGGGGTGTTAAAATGAGGACCGGTCGAGGAAGACGCCCTAAAAACACCCCCCAGACAAGACAACTTCCTGATAACTATAGCTCTGAAGAATCGATTTGTCACAGCCCCGGATTTGAAGATGGAATAGGAGCCATAGGAACACGGATTTTGAACTCTACTGTACGAAACAGGCTCCGTAGCAGAGGTCTTATGTCAAGACGTCCATTCAAAGGTGTGACGAGGACAGCTAACCACAGACGTCTTCGTTATCAGTGGGCTCAGCAACGTCAGATGTGGGGGAACCGGCAATGGCGACATGTGATGTTTAGTGATGAATCCCGCTTTTGTTTGCGATTCAGGGATGGCGACGCCGAGGAGAGCATTATGGGAGACCCACGGTACAGGAACACGATTCTTATAGGGGCTGCTCTATCATGGTCTGGGGAGGAATTTCCTTCAATAGGAGGACTGATTTGATTCTTGTACTGGGTAATGCGACTGGCCAGCGGTATATGGATGAGATCTTACAGCCACGCGTGGTTCCAATGGCTCACAGGGCAGGTCGAAGTTTTGTGTTTCAGGACGATAATGCACGTCTTCACAGAGCTCGTGTTGCCGTGAACTTCTTGCAACAACAAGGTGTTACAACTTTAGCCTGGCCAGCTAAAACACCAGATCTATCCCCTATCAAACATCTGTGGGATGTGTTAGGGTGTCGAGTGCCTCTCAGGGAGCCTGCACCAGCAAATCTTGATGTGTTAGGTAGAGCACTGCAGCAAGAGTGGCACTTGATTCCAAGGGCGACAATTCAGCGGTTGGTGTCCAGCATGCCTGCAAGGTGTCGTGCATGTATTGCTGCTCATGGTGGACACGCTCGTTATTAAGTATATCTGACATACTTACCGTACGGTTGTGCTGATTAAATTATACATGCTTCACAAAGTTGAGGGGTTCCTTTATTTTTTGTGCCTAGTATATGTCAACATGGTTTTTGCTATTCCATTTCTTTGAATCATTGACTCAAAATTCATTTGAGCTCTACTGGGTGAATCACCAGTAAATCTGGGAGAAACTCTAAGCAGCTGATTGCTGTTTCAGACGAATCCACTCAGTGTTCTTTATCTCACCACAGTAGGGTATATAGTGGTAAATGATCATGTCCAGTGAGGTTTTACTACAAACTTCACATTTTCATGTTGTCGCCTGTTTCGTTCATCTAAAAAAGGTCTGGCCCCGATTTCTAGAAACAAACTTAAGTCTGAGTTTTGACTTAAGTTAGAGTTTTTACTCAAATTTTTAGAAAAATGCAGGATAATGCATTTCCCAGAATAAACTGTAATCGATATTAAACTCAAACATAGTAAACAATTTGAGTTTGGTGGATAGATTACTAAAGTTCTTTGGGCTTTTTTTTATTATAAAAATGCAGTTGAGTTAAAAATTCAGCTGTTTCAAATTGTCAAACTCAGTTCGAAATTTGAGTAAAAACTTAAGTTTGTTTCGAGAAATCGGAGCCTGATGTAGTATTCGAGTGCACACATTACACAATTTTCCCGAAACCATCACCCAAGATGTGGTTCCTGCGTTGTACTCAAATGTGTACTGTATGCACTATTCATATTTCTCCTTGCAGGCCTGGGACATGACAACCATCAACTCCACAGAACGGATGTGTCCAATCTGCAAGGTGGGCTTTTCATCAGTGTACTCTGCCCTCCAGCATTACCACGGCAAGCTGCATGACAAACGGCTTAATGGTGCTGCCGCTCAACGCAAACTGACTGTTGATGACATCATCATAATGGGGTAGGTACAGAAAACATTTGACACGTGTAACCTGTCAGAATATGATACATAGAGATTATTAACCGGGTGTGTTTCAGTATCATTAATATCATATATTAGGAATAAAAAATTGTATTATGCGAGCCTTTGGAGACACACAAAGTTAATAATCTCTTTATCATATAATGTCATTCTTAAAATTACTCTAAAAAAAGAAGCAAATTGTACGTGAATTTATATATGAAGAGAATCGAGCATTCGCGTAAGAATACTTAGCGGCACACCAAGGGGAAGGTTATTCATGACGGCTGCATATGGTTGTGACTAGTCGCTAATACAGTGCAAACAACTCATGCTTAAAATATGATCTTTCTGTCAAAAAAGAACAACAAAATCAGGCAGGGTTTTCTTGGTAGTGTTTCTATTTTCATTGCAGGTAATCACCTCATCAATATCAGTTTCTGATACCTGAAGGAATCGATTCGTCGTTGTGATCGATAGATCGAAATCTTTGGTTGTTACCTTTCTTAAACGATAGCCTGTCACTCATGTCTCATAATCTGTACCTTCAAGTTGAACGAAGTTCTCCGTTTCATGTTTTCCAAAGTCAATTACTGCAGTAACGACTCCAGAACCTCTGTCATCAATTCTACAGAATCACCAATTTTGATAACGGGGGCAGCCATGTTTGTTTACAAACTCGTTGACGCAACATAAACTCGCGACTATGTCATCAATGAAATGTTAAACGTTTTAGGATTCACATGGCATGTATGGAGTTTGAGAAAGTAGTTTGTGCATTGACGTAATTTGCATAGTTGTCAGATTATGATACCAAGTTTATTGCTTTATTGCACTGATAACGCCCTCCATTAGATGATAAAGTCTTTGACATTATAAAGTTCCTTGTATATGTTTGTAGGGTAGCCTAGTCGTTAAATCGTTCTCTTGTCACACCGAAGACCCAGGTTTGATTCCCGACATGTATGAAGCTAATTTCTGGTGTCCCCAGCTGTAGTATTGCTGGAGTATTGTTAAAAGCAGTGTAAAACTAACTCACTCACTCAATGTAGATGTAAAATAATGTTACTGTTGAAGTTTTCTGTATGGTTTTGGAATCTAAAAACATTTTTTAATTCCAGAGCTGATGAGGTGAAGTATGAATGTATAGTGTGCAGTGTAAGCCTTAACTCCAGGGAGAGCCTCAACGAACACATCTGTGGCTACAAGCATCAGAGCAAACTCAAGTCTCGACAAGTCTTTACGAAAGGGGCAGGAAAACCTGGCACGAGGGGAGGGATGAGAGGTGGAGGGAGGGGTGGGGCTGTGAGTGGCCGAGGTGGCGGACCGAAAACTTCAAGTTACCTTTCACGAGGTAAAGCAGGAATCATCCAACCACGCCCTGCAGATAGGGGGCAAGGGGGCGGGGCAGGGGCAGAGGTAACTATGGACATCAACCAGTCTACCAAACAGGTCATCAGGCTGGGTACCAGGTGGGAAATCAAGGTGGCTTCCAGGGTGGGTACCAGGCAGGCAATCAGGGTGGGTTCCAGATGGGAAATCAGGGTGGGTACAATGGTGGGTACCCGGCAGCAAGACAACAGGCAGGAGGTGTCTACAATGGAGGCCTCCAGATGACTCAAGCACACGGCTCTGGAAATGCTATTAATAAAGGTATGGTCAATGAAACTGTTCAAATCAGAATTGATTTCATTACGTTTTTGTTAATGGAGTCTGCACAATGTTGTTTTATGTTTATAAATTTTTAAAAACACATTCAAGTCAGTTTTGTGTAAACATATTAACAATAACAGCATTGCAGACTGCTATTTTAACATAAACTTGAGACTACTGTAGACAACATTAGTTTGATTAATGTCACTAGTTACATGTCACTGTGCAATGTAGGGCCGGTGGGGTAGCCAAGTGGTTAAAGCGTTCGTTTGTCACGCTGAAGACCCGGGTTCAATTCCCCTAATGGGTGAAATATGTGAAGCCCATTTCTGGTATCCCTAGCCGTGATATTGGTGGAATATTGCTAAAAGCGGCGTAAGACTAAACTCACTCACTCACTGTGCAACTGGGCTTGTGAGAGGTAACTTGCTGTTATACACCATAGCATCAGTACTTACATTCAAACAAAAATGTCAGTACTCACTTTTTCCCTCTGTCTCTCACTGTCCCTTTCTTTTTTGTAAATTTCTACATACATACATCGACATGATTCATGGTGTCCTAAGCAATTGGTGGCACTCTCAGATATTCATTTGAGCATTGGGTCAAATGTCTGCTGATTGGTTGTAGGTGTAAAGTCTGCTGATTGGTTGTAGGTGTAAAGTCTGCTGATTGGTTGTAGGTGTAAAGTCTGCTGATTGGTTGTAGGTGTAAAGCGCCCCTGGGGCCAGAGCCAGCCACAGAATCCAGCAAGCACCTGCAACCCATACCCTCAGTTTGTCCAGTTCCAGCCAGCCAGCAAGAAGTTCCAGACTCAGGAAGGGCTCATCGTGACAGGGCCTCAGGGGCAGGCCTTCATGGACCTGGGGTACTGACCTTAGAATCTCCTGGGAGGACTCTCCTGGTACATGAGGGAAATTAAACACTTAGGGAAGGATGCCTCTCCTCCTTGTGTGTGTGTGTTTAGGGGGGAAAGAGATTTGAACAATTATGGATGGATACTTTTCCTTGTGCGTGAGGGAATTTGACTTTCGGATGTATTTGAACATAAGGGAATTTGAACATATGGATGGATGCTTTTCCTTGTGCGTGATTTAATTTGAACATGTATGGATGTAGGCGTCTCCTTGTGCATGAGGGAGTTTGAACACATGAATGTCAAGCCAATTTCTGGTATACCTTGCTGTGATATTGCTGGAATACTGCTAAATATGCTGAAGGTGATGTAAGACCTCACTTACCACACTCAGAGACAGAATTGTTGTGTACTGGTACACATTTGTACTTTGTTCACACGCTATATTTATTGTTTACTTATGTTATCATTTTTCTGTTTCTTCACATTTTTCTGAAAAATTATTTGATGTCATGCCTGTTTTGTGTGAACAAAATTTCTATTCCTTATCCATAAGAAATGTGTGCTTTTGTTTGAAGTCATATATATCAGTATGTTTGAAAGGCAAATATTGATCATGGCAATATGACTTGTGAGTATAGGTTCAGACCAGTGAACATCCGGGTTAGAATTGGTCTTCAGTAACTCACGCTTGTCGTAAGAGGCGACTAATGGGATTGGGTGGTCAGGCTCGCTGACTTGGCTGACACATGTCATCGTATCCCAATTGTGTATATCGATGCTCATGTTGTTGATCACTGGATTGTCTGGTCCAGATAATTTTTTATAGACCGCTGCCATATAGCTGGAATATTGCTGAGTGTGGCGTAAAACCAAACTCACTCAATTCAGATTCGAGGTACTAAAATAACCTTCCTTGTTAAGTTTACCTTACAAATTAACCAGGTGTGGTAATATTACTTTTTCAAGCAGTGTTTCTATTGCATCTGTTATGTTTTCATTTCAACTTTTTAAAATAGTAAAGAGGTAACAGCAGTGTTTGCCACCTGATCATGGCTGATGGTATTACAGAAAGACCTTCATCTGTGTTCAATGGCTTCCCGATTCACACTGTATGCTGTTATATATTTTTTTTGAATTTTGTATATATTTGGAAAAGGTAATAGTCAAATACTGTGGAAATCATTCTGCTTCAGTGCTTTTTTCAGGATGAATACTTCTTAGACATTGTGTTCTTGTCAGGCATGCATTTGTGAATCAGTAAAAACAGATATATACAACATACCTTGTTTGTATTTTTACTTTTGGTTATTGGGATAACAGGCCTCACCATCGATATTACTCCACAATACCATCACTTGTTAATACCTGACTGGTAGATAACAGGGACATAGAGGGAATATATCTTGTAACAGTCACTGGTTAACAGGCCTGACCAGTGATACTACACTACAATACCATCACCTGTCAATAGATGACTGGTAGATAACAGGGACATAGAGGGAATATATCTTGTAACAGCCACTGGTTAACAGGCCTGACCAGTGATACTACACTACAATACCATCACCTGTCAATAGATGTCTGGTAGATAACAGTGACATAGAGGGAATATATCTCGTAACAGTCACTGGTTAACAGGCCTGACCAGTGATACTACACTACAATACCATCACCTGTCAATAGATGACTGGTAAATAACAGTGACATAGAGGGAATATATATCATAACAGTCACTGGTTAACAGGCCTGACCAGTGATACTACACTACAATACCATCACTTGTTAATACCTGACTGGTAGATAACAGGGACATAGAGGGAATATATCTCGTAACAGTCACTGGTTAACAGGCCTGACCAGTGATACTACACTACAATACCATCACCTGTCAATAGATGACTGGTAAATAACAGTGACATAGAGGGAATATATCTCATAACAGCCAATGGTGGTTGGGGCGAGCATTGAAACTGGACATCTTCAGTCAGCTTATTCCTTTGCCGTAGGAAAAAACACAAGCTACCAGCAGCAAAAGAAACAATGCTTAGTGGAACTGATGAAATTGTTAAGATTCACCTGTTTGAATCTTATACATTATCTGACATTATATACTTGTACAATTCATATACATGTAAAGTTGACAGTATATACTTTATGTATGTGTTCTACACGTTGTGTACATGTTATCAGATATTACTGTTATGTAGATTTTTGTAGACAATTATGGAGACGTTAATTTTCATGTACATGTTTTACACGTCCCGTCATGTCACACATGGTTGTATGAAGATGGTCTGGGGCGTGAGTCTGGTGTCGACAACTTTGGGGAAACCCACAAGCTGACAAACCAGTAAACAATGGAATCAAGAGGTTTGACCCTTCCATCAAAGGTTTCACCTCGGGGACGCGACTTGATCTGCATCTCCTGCAGGTTATGGAATCCCAGGTTTTAGAATATTCAGCAACTCTCATGAAAAATACTCCATTGCAACAAAAAACATCAGGCTACGCCTGCATATAAAAAAAGAAGTTAAGACGAGACAAGTTAGCCTTGCTATGTTTATTTATTCAAGTAACATTTCCAAGTGTATATAATACTGTTGATACACACTGCAATATGCAGATTACTAATGCTCACAGTCCTGTATTGATAGCACTGATGCTCCTCACATGGAAGTAGTACCTCCGTCCTTATGGTTCACCTCAAGATATTGGAAATGGCTTACAGGCTTACAAATACAGCCACACTTACAAAAGGAAGCTGAATTTATATTTTGGTGATTTTTGGAATCTGGCGTGGCTGTTTTCAATGCAGGAATAGTATTGTATGATAGTACACAACGATCCCCAAAAACATGTCCAGCCACATTTCATTTTGGCCTCTTTTTACAATAATTTGGAATAAATTTGCAATCATTATCAACAGTGTACTATTTTGTCAGTTGTCTGCATTGATGTAATACACATCTGTTTGGGTTAAAAAGGGATAGTAAGATTATACTTGTAAAGTTGAAATTGATTTGAAAAGTTCTCACTAACTCTTTTGAATATAAGGCAGGGCCGCCTGCATCCTCCATGTATGTGCAGCAGTGCACACACTGCCGTATGGGAAAGACATCATGGACCCCAAAAACTGTGCCATATCGATGATTGTCGAATAACGCACAAATTGTACAAAATTCACTGATTTTTTTCTCTTATGAAATTTCAGCTCCTTCTACAGCATAATATTTTCCGACTCCAAATAGAAAACAAGACGCATGATCAAAAATAGAACACCATATTCTTCTCCTGGCCGTTATTAATGTTACACCTCGAAAGTACATGACCTAAGGCTAAATGTATGAAAATAACTTTACAAAGTGATTGATCTGTGACAGGATTAACATGAAGGTACGTGAACTAAAGCATGGTCATTCAAAACAGACTTCAGTGCATATACAGAGTAATCTTACACAAAATGTAGCACCACATACTTTAAAAAAACACACCTTAATGTCAAAAAGCAAAGAAATGTAGCACTAAACAGTTTGAAATTCATTGTTTATTTATTCAACAGTAAGTGTTGAAAAAATTCCAAATTTAATACAAAATATGAAAAACATTCAGTACAAAATACTCTATGCCTTGAGTCCATGACAGTAGAAAATAGTTGACCATCAGATGATTCCACAGTATTTTCAGTTATGACAGGTAATTGTAATTCCGTTTTCCCCAACAGTGTGAGAGTTCACAACACTGATAACGGCATTACATATACAGAAGTGCATGCTGGGTAGTGGCTATAGCATAAACAGCAATGCTGAGTACTCGTGTAATTCCTTCAATGATACGCACTCAGGTTAATGACATAATCAGTTGCAACCAAAACCGTCCATACCAACAGAAGCAGCGAGCCAAGACCACAATAATTTACAGCTAGATGTCGATGTAACTGACCAACAGTTTATACCTTATCCTCCTACACACTTTTGAAAATACTAAATCTTGCGGTGATTGTCAAGGATGCCCAAATAAACGTCAATCGTAATGAACAATACACAAGTTTTAACCAAATCAATATCGTACAGATAAACACACTATTATCATACAAAAAGGTTTAGTCTGGTCCAATATTACTCTTGTTATGTTAAAAACAAAGAAAGGTTTAAATTTTTTAATATTTAAAAATGAATTTAATTCCTTTCAAAGTTATCATGAGAAGATCGTATGTAAACTGTTGGCTGTTTTGGGAATAATTTAAGCACTTAATCATTAAGACATCTGATGTATTTCATTGATTGTAGTCTCAGCTCATGAAAATAAATATCAGGTATTACTAACAGTAAATGATTTCACAAGTGAAAATATGAAACTTCAAACAAAAACATGGGTGCAAATAACCCAACAGCAACAAATCACAACAGAATTATTAGAAAATGTTTGACATCAAATATGTTTCATTTCACTCTATTTCACACCAAGTGAAGTATTTCATTATGTGAGATATACAATACCAAATGGAGGACATGAAATACAAAATGGATGACGCGATTTGGCATATAATGTTAATCATTGATGCAATGTAGATCTATAATTTAATAGCATTGTAACTATGTACACTTCTGTCAAAAACCATATCTCATTTTGCATTTCAAAAAACTGCATACAATGCGGACTATGTTTAGGGAAAATATGAGCCTGCTGAATTCAAACATTTGATTATTAGGCACTGACTGTGAAAGACAGGTACTTGCAGGCAGCAAGTCATAAACATATTTCATGAAGGTGCTTAAAAGGGGTCCTATTGTTCATATTTCGGTCTTAAAGGATGAGTGAGATGGGTTTGGCAGTACTTTTGTCCAATTCTTCAACCACCTCTTTTCCTAATGATCAACTGACTTGTTGATAGATATCTTACACTCATATTAAATAGTTGAAAAATACCAGCTCAAGGAACAGCACATATAAACACAACATGCTACGAGTTACATATATTGTTTGTATCCAACGACTTCAGTATGTATAACATACTGTATTAGTTCTATTTATCACCTTTAATGTCAATAAGCATCATTATTGTAAATAGGTACTGTTGTTGCTTGAAACAAAGAATGAGATATGAGTTTTAACAACCAAACATCGACAATGGAGTGTTAGTTACTATGGT